CTTTCGAGGTCACTCGCCACTCCTGTCACACAATTAAAGTATTTTTTGTTGTTGGTTACACGTATGCCATATTTTTCATAATCTACCTAATAAATTATGATTGACTGAGGAAGTCCGATTTTTGGTCAGGCAAAACATTACAGGAATACATTTGTGTTAGTGTGCTGTAGGGCTCTCGAATTGCATAGTTCTTATGTATGTGTTGTGAACTTATGGTTATTGAATTTCCCGGAACCTCTTATATATTCAATTTCGCATCAGGATTGTGGAACAAGCTGTAATGCGTTCAGTATGTTCATTTTCACACTAAACTGAAGAATTTATTTAGTTACCAGATGTGCGCTACGAAACTCATTTTCTGGGCGTTTTCAAGGCTTCGTCTCACGGCCCATATCCGTTGTAAGGATCTACAAGTGTTTAATAACTTACCTATACATTTTTTAACAACGTCTTAGCATAACTTAACTAATAATAACTAAACAGGGCGATGGAAAGGCTGCCCAGCTCAACGCAAGGTCGAGCGGTAATAACTAATATTCATCCGCTCGCTAACAGCTGATTCGATTCAATTGTTACGTCATGCAGAAGTCATTGTTCATTGTCGAAAATGTAGAGAATATAGGACAGATCGTAGCACAGATTTCTTGTAGTAAAAGCGTCTTTTCCGTAAAACGTGCAACTTTTGGAAGTGGGAACAAGGCAATATTTGTTACTACATTTTTGAGGAACATTTTAAAATCATTTTCAGGTAGTTACCTGATGTGCGCTACGAAACTCACTTTCTAGGCGTTTTTCATGGCCTCGGCTCGCGGCCTACTTCATAAATATCCGCATTCCGGCGTCAGAAATTATAATATTTTTAGCTTGAAATTGGGACAGTTAATTTACAAACGTTGACAAGAAAGATCAAAGCCGACCCAAAAGATAAAAATCGGAATAAAATCCCGAATTCAACCCGATATTCGACAATTCCGCAAAATTATTCGATTCGATGAAAATATACTATTTTGCCCATCACGCCAGTAATCTGGCGAAACACGTGGTAGTTCAAACACTGATGTAATAAAATTTAATAAGACCTTCATAAATTTAGTAAATTGTACTACTTTACGAAAGTGTGATGGAATTGACGATTATTTCATATCTCGAACACAAAAACGGTTATCTTTTTCGGGTGATTCTATAATTTTTTTCGTCATTCGCTCGGAAACTTCAGCCAACAGGTGTCGCTGACCCGATGACTGTCACAGTCTTCGCGACCCCTTATCGATAACTATGAATCTCTCACTTGTATTAATTTCCTATGTGTATAATTACATTTTTTATGATTGCCATTATATACTTTTGACAATTTTTCTTGCTTTAATTTTTGTGGGGATTCTTGAATGATGGAAATAAAATATCTGAATCTGATAGTTTCTGCGGTCTGAAACTGCGGTGTTTCAACATAATAAATGCTATGATCTTTGCCATCAAATTATGTTCGGCCCTTGCACAAAATTCATAACGTGAAAAGATACGTTCAGCGGTGAAAATTGTTTATAACAATTTTAAACCTATTCAGTGTTTTTAGCGATAATAATTAATTGTTGTAATGAAATACAGTTTGTTTGCCTTTTTTATTTCTCTCGCCAACCGCCGACAATAACACTATTGAATGATTTTGGCAATGGGAGAAACATATTGAATTGTAACAAAAACGAATTGGGTTGTGAAAAAGTGATAATACTAAGGGCGTGGCGTGGAAAGGGGAAGGGCGAGCAAAATCGAAGCGCGTGATCGGCGGTGCGTTTGAAGACAACATATTACCCGTGCGGCCGAGCAACTTTTACAAAAATGTGGGGTGCTCCGAAGACGCTCTCGTTCACATTGATGTGAGAAAACAGTTGTAATATCGGTTATTATGAACCATTTGTTCGCGTTCGCCTATCACATTTTTATGAGTAGTTTTGTTCGTGTTTTGTGATAGGTGTGCCGTGAATATTTAAAAAGCTAAATGGTGTGCCGCAAAATAATAAAAAAAGGTTGGGAACCACTGCCCTAGATGCTCTAATATTTTTGCGTCGATATAACATGAAATAAATACGTGATTTTATTGTCATGCAAGTTGTTTCAATCTTTTATTTAATCCCGAAAAATCTCGGGATTATACGGCTCAATCCCGGGATATCCAGATACCAGGATTTCAAAAACTGGCTCAGAAATTCCAACCCTAGTTAAGATAATGTAAACCAGTTTGTAACCGCCAATCCGTCAAATCCGTATGAACATTCGCAATGGTAAAGCAGCATATAAAAAATTATTCTGGGATCATGAGTCGACAAAACTTTTTTTCATTTCAGAGAGATTGACACATTCATGTTAAATATCGACGTTTCCTCGATCTCATATCTCTGTCCAATATGAAAACCGTAGCCAAAGCGTTTGATGCGATTCATTGATATTCATACAACATGAAGTTAACTTCGATAAAATTCATAGGTCAGATCCAATCTAAAATTTTTAATTCGTTTTAAATATGTGCCCTTCGATAATGTAATTTTATTTAACCATTATGGCGCCGAGGAAAAGGTAAACAAAATGACCTGCGTTTTTGGGCGTGAGGGGTTAAAGTTATGACGCATGCGCAATAAACGGATTTCGTAACTCTTGTTAGAAATGGGAACTGTCTCGACTGATTGTTTCTGTTTTAGTTGCGGGGATTTCATGATTTATGCCGATACAGGTACAGTTTGAGGTATTCCCGACTTATGACTGGGGAATAAATTTAGTATCATTAGTTCTGCTTTTCTTTTCCTGTTCTGTATTTATATCTCACCGTTTCAAATTCAATGTAGGCCACAGGTACGGTACCGGTACCAGTACAATACCGTACAGCCGTACCGTACCGGTACCGTAACCGTTGGACGGCGGACGTTGATATCTGTGACTTCGCCACTTTTCAAAATTACTTCACACTCAGACAGTACCGTACTGTTCAATTTATGAAATTCCAAATTTCCTAGTTTTACAGTACAGTCTGCCGGTAATTGATAGTCCGGACGTTGATTGTCCGGTAGGTACGGTACCGCGTACCGGTACGGTACCGTACCGTAAGGCGTACCGTAACAGGACATGGCAACGTTTTTGCGCTAATGCAGTAATGTGTTGCAACGTTCATGCGTTAGGACTGTCAGACTGTACTGTAAAACTAGGAAATTTGGAATTTAATAAATTGAACAGTACTGTCTGCAGGTCTGAGTGTGAAGTAATTCTGAAAAGTGGCGAAGTCTAATTTATTTTTCGGCTAAATAAATTACATTTTTGCAAAAAATCGATTTAATTCGTGATTTCTACCGAAGATTACTTTGTCAAAATACTGACATTCGTTAGATGTCGTTATCAATATAAATAAAAAATTGGACTGACAACAATTTGCCATCATTAACATAATTCGATTTCTTATCTCATTGCCAAATGCAGAAATGGCGCCGTGCGTAGCTGCTGAACTATTACAGGAATATATTTTTTCGGTCTTTTTCCATGAGATATCGGGCGTAAATTCACAGATAGGGTGATGAGCCAGTCTGCGGACGATTTCATTCAAACCACTATATAATAAAAACCAATATTTCTTACCCGTTAATTTTTTCACCGTAGGTACATTGCATTTATTCGACACGCTAAACCTCGAATTAACTTTCTACGACCAGGGGTTAAAGCTATACAAACCACTAAAGTACGACACTCGGAAGACGTATTTGCGACCGAACGACCAGTGTGTAATCACAGATTTCAAGCCATTCGTGAAAAAACTGGGCTTCTAATTGCATTTTTGACCGTCATATATTTTAAGAACACTGTCATTTCGAACAAAACTCGTCAAATTATATACAAAGCACCGCATCACAGCAATCAAACAGACAAAAACTCGGTGGTCGCAAATTGGTCGACAAAGATATTATCGACATATTGGAAATGCGCACCCCCCTATTCCCCCTCCTTTAAATGTAGAAAGGCGAAAATTTAAAGATGTTTAAAAGAAACACAACTCTACCCCCTTGCCAAGTTTCATCTTTTTATCTCTTATATTTGTATGGATTTTCAATTTTTTTTTAATGGGACAATAGGTAGTTGGCCACTTGAAAAAATGGTCCGTTTTTTTGCTTTGGTCGGGTTTTCGGCCGTAACTTTTTTGTTTGTGGCCGCATTTTAGTGTAATTTCGCAGAGCTATGAGGGACTAGTGGACGATAACGCGTGAGAAATATCGTCGCGGTTCGTTAATTTTTTCGGCATTGATTAAATCGATGAAGTTGATGGCCGCAAATAGGCCGTGGCCGCAAAGTGGGTAAGCTACTTTACCTCGATCCCGGCAGGCTAATCCAGAAATTCTGTCGTGCAATCAGTGACCATGGCACGCCAAACGTCTCCATGCAAACCTACCGTCCCCTCATGAAAACCTAGATTCTTAGCGTGCAACTGACGGGAAAACTCGAATAAACAAGTAAAAAAATATTTGAACGAAAATCCCACTGGGGCTTTGACGTACAGTCTCTAGATTTTTGTAAGTATTCGAGTTTGGATGACAGCGACATTGTTATAAATAAAAATAGTTTTCAACTTGCGTCATTTGATCTGGATATCTGTCGTTGTTTTTATTATGAGATGTTATAGTGGGCTATACATGAGCGGTACCTATGGATGTTTTTTCAAGCATCGAATCTTGGATTTTCAACTACTGGTATATATGGTTTGTACAAAGATTTATAGAGATAAAAAATACACAACGAAAGCATCAATTGATAAAAAAAGGGATGATTAAGGACTCGCTGAAATGACGTTGACTCGAAATCGCTCTGGATTCGAATCTGCAAATTCAATTAGAGTAATGTCGAGACTATCACAGGGCATAGCTTCTTCGATTTATGTCAATTCAGCAATTAGCAATGATACAATTCGGTTGCTCACTGATTGTACCACTAGTTAAAACTAGTTAATGTTGTGCTTCGATATTGATACATGTTTTTTTATTTTTTCAAGCAAGCAATTCCTCTGTATTCTAGCATATTGTGCATTTACAGTAACTTATACCGTAATATTATATTTGATTTCACATTATCCTGTTATTTCTTCTCCACTGGAAATAAAAAAAACAAAATTCAAGATGCCCATACAACTTCAAGATATTCATGACCAAGACGATTCTGTGGATTGTCCGCTATGTATGGAAACATTAGAAGTTGATGACATCAATTTTTTTCCATGTCAGTGCGGTTATCAGATATGCAGATTCTGTTGGCATCGTATAAGAACAGATGAGAATGGACTGTGTCCTGCGTGCAGAAAGGTATACCATGCGACTTAAAGTATAAATTCATGACTTATTTACATCATGAGATTAAATAATAACCGCAGAAGGCCTTGGCAGTTGACGCATTGTGGTTCACTTAATTGCTAATCTGTTACGGCTTATTGTACCATCAAGCCGACACGTCTGAAACAAATAACATGGTAACTATTCAATATCCGACTTGAACTAGTTTTTGGTCGAGAGGTTGCGGTGTTTGCCACCTTATTGGCTTTCCTCTCGATTGGCAAATGTGAAAGGCCTATCCTAAATGATTTTCTCATCTTTTTATTAATTTGTCATTATTTATTGGGTTGGATATATAAAAAGTGTTGAAATAAGGTGTTTTACTATTCATTGCAACTGTTTTAATACATTTTATTATATTGCCCTTGTTCTTTTAGTCATATCCTGAAAATCCTGCAGAATTTAAGCCTCTTAGCGATGCGGAACTTCAAAAAATCAGATTGGATAAGAAACAGAAGGAAGCTGCACGGAGACAAAAAATTACTGATAGTCGCAAACATTTGGCAAATGTTCGGGTTCTGCAAAAAAACCTTGTCTTCGTTGTAGGTCTCTCACAGCGACTTGCTGAAGTTGAAGTAAGTGTTCTATGTTGAAATTTATGGACATAGCGGTACTTCTGTATTATGTGTACCAGGTTAGGGTTAGAGCATAATATTCCGATTTTCCTTATTTTAGTACTATTACGAGTTCGGGGACCTCCATATTGGTACACATACTTCTCAATCGCCAACATATCTTATAAAATGTAGATCATGTCAAGCATAGGGAGAAAGGGTATTTTGCTCAAAAAAATTCTATATTTTGGTAATCATGGACGTCTTACAATGACTTGTGATAATTGTTGATTCATCTGTTCCCTTTGTTAGATCCCTGGATATATACAGATTGTATTCATGGTCTGTCACTATTCTGTGTAAAACTTGTATGCAAATATGGCAGATGGTGCCTATTTCCTAAATTATTTTGGACATCCTGTTTCATTTAACGCTGTGCTTTCGGGCTTGTGTATTCCTGTTTGATTTTTTTATTGAATGTGTTATAGAATTTTTCATTTTGTGATTGATAATATTGAATTATCTTTAAAATTTTTAGTCTTGTTTGCTTATATCCCTTTTTTTATTTTACAGGTTTTGAAACGTCAGGAATATTTTGGGAAATATGGAAAAATTCTTAAAGTAGTTTTGAACTCAAATACATCGTATGCGGGAACGCAGGTTTGATGGATGATCAACTTTTTGTATTCTCTTGTTTAACCTTGACGCTAAACCGTCAAATTCACTTTTTTCATAGGCACCAAGCTGCAGTGCCTACGTTACTTATTCTAAAGTTGAAGAGTCCCTCAGAGCTATTCAGTCGGTTAATAATGTTCATATTGACGGGAGGACATTGAAAGGTAGGATTTAGACTTAAACTGTATTAGCGTCGCAGATTACATATCTCAGGATCAAATTGCATGACCTCCCACCCCACCCAAAGTTTATTAATAAATTACGTAGGCAATGCTGAACCGTAAAAATTCCAGTCCTTCCAAATACTATTATTAGCTTTAGCTCCTACGTGTCGTTAGATATTAGTGTGGCCGCTTGTAATCGATCTTGTTTGGAGTAAAATACGTGAATAAGTATCGTATGAATAGTATATTTCTTGTTTTTGGTCAATCAACATATGGTTATTGTTGAATACCCACCATGCTTTATTAATGAAATGATTTAAACGAATTTTATGTATTGTTCTATTGTGCATCAAATTAAAAAAGTTATCTATATTTATCAAATGATTTAGTCATGATACAATATAAATAACAGTTACGAACCCAGTAATGGTTTTAATATCACAGATTTTGTCTGTGAACTACTTGATTTTTTTTATTTGTTCGCATCTGGTAGCTGAGCAATTGTACCTTAGAAAATATATATCTGCAATAATCCTTATTTTGTTGAAAATAGTATCATTGTTATTATTGGCATCCAAGTATTACAAGACAATTGCTTCTATGAGACATGTTACTGAAAGTACTGTCATGCGTAATTTCCTTTGAAATATAATTGATCAGCTATCAGGAAATTCCCATTCAACCTTGTTACAAATTTTGTACATCAAAAATTCAGTAGGAGAAATCAGTTCTCAATTCAAGTTAAACGATAAGGATTCGACAATCTAGTTTTGATAAATATAGAATATCCATTATAAGAAAAAATATTCCACTATATACGAGTATTCAACATAGTGTCTTATTTGATTTTGGCTATCCAATTTATGAAAATTATCTATGACCATTTATGCTAGAAAAAATTATGTTGATAAATTAAAATATGAACAAATTCTATTTACAAAATGGGTGTGTGATATCCAAATTTGGGGCCTTTCAATTGGTTATTTATTAGGTTTGTTGAATTCTATATCGACTACCACTGTTTGCAATATAAGGATTGGACAAATATGAATGACAAATATGGCAAAAATTTCATGATTGTAAATGATATAAAAAGATAATTGGATGAAAGATGTAACACCGTTTGTCATGGCTTATCTCTGAACAAAATCCTGTATAAGCAGCCACTGATGTATAAGAAGCTACGCTCTGAAAGTTTTGGCATGTCCCCTCGCCCCCACTTGCGCTCTAATGGGTTTTGAACCTGGGATTGCAACTTGTTAGAAATTGATTTCACGATTGTTACTGGTCCCGCATAATCATAATCATTCCTAACTTTTATTTTAGCTTCTCTTGGTACGACAAAGTATTGCAGCAATTATTTAAAAAATCAAGTTTGTCAAAAACATGATTGTATGTATTTGCATGAGATAGGAGACGAAGATGCAAGTTTTACTAAAGAAGATATGCAGGTAAAGGATTATTTGGTGACAGTTTTAGTTTAATGGCTCTTTTTATAAAGGTTGAAAAACGGCTATGGTTCGAATAGGATTTAATACACCATTTACATGTTTTTCACTCTGAACAAGATCTATACCAGCGATCGGAAACCTGCGACTTTGGATCAGCATGTGACTCTTTGTTCTCTGAGCTTGGCTCCTGAGAACCGAGATGGCAGACACCGGAACGTAGTGTGTGTACCAGGTTAGGGTTAGGCCATAATTTCAGGTACAAATACTACGGGAGTCACTTGGCTAAGCCCCGAACTCGTAATAGAATTAAAATATGGAAAATTGGAATAAATTTATGGCCTAACCTGGTACATATATTGCATTCTGGTGTCCGCCATCTTGTATCACATACTTCGGGTCTCTGGAGTACCGTTTGTTGTTAGAAGCAGTGAGGATTTAATGAAAAGGGAGACATAAAGCCAAAATCATCCTGGTTTGGCATTGCATTCCCAATTTATTGCACAATGAACTTTCAGCATCTTACTGAAAATCACATACGGTAATTTTTTATGCCACTGTGGCTTCATGTTAGTTTGTAGTCATTGTCACAAACTAATGGTATGAAATTATATTAATGTTTTTCACCGAACTGTGCAGTTCTCCTTTTTTTATTTAGCATATTGGAATATTATTTTGTTGTTGCGCTTGTATTGAGCTGATGGAATTAGGCAGGAAGTAAGGGTAATAGTAATTAGTGACTGGCGTAGTCACAGCCTTATGTTTTACTCCTTATAAAGTGTATTAGTGAGCTGTGCTTTTAAAAGTTAGGAGTTAACACCATATTTTTCCAAACTGTTATGTGAAAACGGAGTTTAGTTGTGCAGTTATAGTATGAGGTAACTTCGAAAGCATATAAATTAGACATTTTTTTCAAATCTATAATCTTTATTTACCGTATATGTTCAGATGTCAAAGCATCAAGAGTATGAGCAAAAATTAATTCAACAAATGATTCAGAAAGAGATATCACAAGCTCAAGAAATGAAAACTAAGGCATCGAGGTTTGTATAAATAATGGTTTTAACATTATAATGATGGAAAAGATCTGTGTAACAGTTAACATGATGTCATTTTCTTGGTCTATTTTTTTATCACAGGTCATACATAAAATATACTTGTAGTCGAAAGTGTTGGATCAATTATAATTTGGCAAATCACTTCATTTATGGCTCATTCTGCATCGGAAAATACAGAATTATTCTTTGATCAATTAGGCTAATGGTTTTTTCATTATATTGTTGATACAGTAGTTAGTATACCCAAATCTATCTTGTTTCGAAATATTTTAATATGTATCCTTCAGAATTCAGTGTGTTATTTTTTTCAAAAATTTTCAATTTTTCACGCAGTGAAGTAATTAAGATGCTTTAAATGAAATTTATCTGTAAAGCGAAATTTTCGCATGCAAAGTACTTAAAAATCATGAATTATTGAGTGATGAATTCTCATTCCAGGCAAGATGCAAATTCTGAGAACGGTGGTACTTCAGCTGGAAGTAGCCCTCCTACTGCGACAAACACCATCACCCAGGGTTTATCAGTTGCTCAAGCTGTGAAAAAGAATACTAAGATGGCAACAGAGCGTCCACGGAGACACAGCAGTAGTACCCCAACACCCCCTTCCACTGAAACGGGGGCAGACTCGGACCTACAAATCAAGAACACTGGGAAGGCCCCACGGCTCAGTACTTCTGTCGGAGATCGAGACTCCAAAGTTGGGAATAAACCTTCTTCGCGACGCAATGTCGGGAAGAAAAATATAAATGTGCAAAATGGAAATCAAGCTCCGAGGCACAAGAAGCAACAGCAACAACAACAAGGAACTTCTAGTGGAAGTAAAAAAGTGCCATCGAGGGCACATAGTGCCAGTCCTTCCACACAAAACTCACAATCTGCACCATCTGTAGAGCATTCCCCGCCATCATCAATGCCCATATCCACACCCGAATCGGTAGAATCGTCACCGGTGGTTACGCCATTGAGAGAAGTTGCCATGGAATCTAATCAGATTGGAGTAAATAGTACTCAACAGACTACTACTAATGAGATGACGAATAAGATTGCACTGAGATTTTCTGAAGAAAAGTAAGCTTGACTATAGATATGATAGAAATATACTTGTAGATGTTGTTGAAGACTACCACTATCTTATTGGGCTTAAAGTGGATCTATAAACGTTTAGCTACATTCTTGTTATTGCTTATATAATAGAAATAAATAAAAAAAAAATTAATAAATAAATAAAAAAATAAAAATATTCTTTAAAACTGATTGACCAGACGATTTCAAATTTTTCAGCATTTGAAGGTTAACAAGACTTCCTTTTTTGAAATATTTTCTCTGGTTCTTGGGATTCTATATTGCACCCCAAATTTTGCTGTTCCATTTTAGTTTATGGGAACACTTTTTATGACAAATGGGAAGATGCCGGTTGCTTGAGCAAGCTCTGTGATCGGTTAAGAGTAAAACGTTACCATACTGACTGCGATCTTAGCATTGCTTTTTCGTTTGTTTTACTGAGTTTCTTTATATTGAGCTCCAATTGAAAATATCCTTTTTTTGCAGCTCTCTTTCAATGGGTGAAACACAGTCTCCGACATCTATTACAACAACATTACCAATTGACATCCCACCAGGGTCTGGTAGGTGTAATGACATTGATTTGCTGGGTCCACCTCTCATAAAATTTTGCCCTTAAATTCAACCCTATTATGCAAATCTCATACCAGAGTAATTTATTTATATCAATGGTTCTAAGGCAAGAGCATGGGTCCAAATCCAATTCTTATCTCCTAATGGTGTTATTAAATGGATGGGTTTTGCATACAGAAATATTCTGCTTTATGTGAAAGCTTGTCAGGTTCTTTATTAGTGACTCCCTGTCCCTGTGTACTGTTGAATATTGCTCAGCACGAGGATGTGAAAACAACGACATTTTAAATTTTCGGTTACTTGGTAATTTTATGAGTTATTAATTCGACTTAACCGATATTATGAAAATTCATTGCAAATGAGAATAAAAAACTAAATCGAGTATAATTGATCAATAGTGGTGATTGACCAAGTTCTTCTTGAGCTTCATCTACTTATCCTGGAGTTATTGCATTGTTCATCTAAGAGCTTTATACAAATCCCCACAATGTGGATTACACAACATAAAAAATTTTGTTACTTTTATGGCTCAGCTGGTACAAGCAGTTGGTTATTTGCACCAATACCAAATACCAGTTATTCAACTAGTGCAACCTGTACAAATTAAGGGATTTTTTAATCTGGTGCCTTTTTAATACTTGAAATAACATATAAATCTTTGTTGTATACTGTAGTCTGTGAATCAAGCAGTATTGAATTATATCTATATATACATAATCGAGGCTTGCTATTTTTTGCTTATATTCATATTCCTATTATCCAGATGCACATATGGATAAAAATCGTGACACACCACTCAGCGATACAAGTTCTATTGATAGAAAATCTCCTTTCGTTCGAGAAAATTTATCACAAGACAGTCAATCTTCTGTTAATAATCAGTTGAATTCAGGAGATGCAAACTTGGGAAATCGAAACGTTTTACAACAATCAAGATTCATGATGATGCATAAGGGTAAATATTTTTTTTGTGATATCCAAAAGAAAAATGAAATATTTTGACGTTGGCTGCATCTCCATATTGAAGAAAAATTTGCTGAACTCGAAAAAAAAATTTTTGCGAATACAGGGTGATGAAAAAAACAGAATCTATAAATTTCTTAATCGCTTCTAATTAAAGTGATGTAAATGTATTCTACACTTGAACTTATGTTTTGTATGATTGTACCTAAAAGCGTCAGTAATCTAGGCGCTTTGCATAAAAGTTAGTTTTCTCTAAAATATGTTTCAGACGGCTTGGGTTCTTTTTTTAAGTCAACTTGTGCAAGCAATATTTAATTTACTGCTAGTCAAGTTACGCCGAGCTGAAATTGCAACATTTTTAGCTTCTCAGAATTTAAAGGTTCTGTAGTAAAAATTACTATCATTCGTGGAATTACATAGTTAGGTTTGAGTTGCAGCATCATGTAATTTGTGAGAGAACTCTTGCTATCATGTTGAAGTTTCAATATCTATGATAATTCAAAATCCTGAAAGTGAGATAAAATTGTAAATTTGGTACCGGTTGCATATTTGTTAACACTTAGGGGCCAGTCTTTTTGTAGCAAAAGGTGTATAAATATGTAGTATAAAATTTAAAAAATAATTAAAACTGTTTTTAAAAAGAAATATTAATTTTTCCAGATCCTGGTAGTAATCATGATCCATTCTCAAGATTAATTTCCAATAATCTCGGCTATTCACCTTTCGGTATGGCTTCAAACAACACTGGACCATCAACGTTACTTCAGGATTTACCTACTCCAGATAAAGGGTAAGATAGATTTGACACACTATAATTTTTCAACATCACCATACCAGCGGTCAAGCATGTGCCATACATGTAATACAACTCAGTAAGACTGTAAATTAACAATTGCCCTGCGCACTGGAAAGCACATCGCATCGTATGTTAACTTCCTCACTTTGTCATGTTATTAACCAGTATGCTATGTGTACCAATCAAATGATTTTATCAAGGCGAGGTCGCAAAGTTGGATACAAATCTGTATCACTTTTGCTCAGCTATTTTGCCTTCAGTCTTATCTCATACATATACATATTATATGCCAACTTTCAGAACTTCCAATATCTATAGATTCTTTTGAAAACAATACATTGTTTGTTTAGCACAAATGCTTATTTATCTCAATTCAGGTTACCAGCGGCACAACCAACATCACGCAATATACCACCTCCACCACCAGGGTTAGCTGGAATTCAGCCTGCTAATAATTTGAGTGGTTGGCCATCAAGTAACCCCCACAACCTATCAGGTAAGTGCTAGTTTTATCACATCTTCGTTTTTGTCTATTGTCTATATACATGTGACTGTTTCATCACAATGCTTTGAAATTTGAAGTTAGGAGAAAATGATGACTTTGATAAGCAAGACAAAAATGAGTTTGAAATAAAGAGTGAGTAATAATAATGAGTTTGAAAAACTTCCCTATTTGGCAATATGAGAAATACTGAGGTTGTGCGGAAGGTCGCCCTGTTAATTAGAAAGAAAATTGGATAATAAGACGTAGACCAAATAACCAATCGTGATGTTATACGGCAGTTGCGTATTGCCCTTGATGGGCTCTCACTGAACAACTTTCAGGTCAGCTGTCTGTTTGATTGAGGCTTGCAGAATTAGACTCAAGATTTTTCTCAACCTAAAAATAGGAGCTGACCTTTTTTGCAACAAAATCTCTTGTATCCACTACAGGGTGACCCAAAAAATAACAACCCATAAATTTATGAAAATGAAGAAATTTTTAAGACTTTTCTGATTATGTATGATTGTGCCCAACAGTTTCAGCAGTTGATGATGTTTCGCACAAAAGTTATGTTCTCTCTAAAACAGGGGGTTGGTTAATTACGGTCCATCGAAGTGTTTCATCCAGTCTGCTGAAATTATGACTATAGTTTTTATGGATATAAATTTCCGTTGAAAATATTGATAAAAATAAAGTCATGATGATCCCAATTGTTACATTGTGCTTCTTATTGTTATATGAGCGTCATTACGTCAGCTTAGCTGATGGACTGGTTGTTGTAAATAAGCTCTTTTTTTATTCATAGTTTTTTGTATTGAGTTTAGAGCTTCTAGCCCAGTAACCAAGTCTATCATCGGTACCTGGCCCACTCAAAAAAGAAATTGCCCACTCCTGCTCTAGAATATGTTCCAAATGACCTTGTACTTACTGTTTTATTTGGGTGACCCTGATCATGTCCCATTCCAAATACTTACACATTTTTAGAACTTCTCATTTGTATATTACAGACAGCATGCCTATTAAAAGTACAAATGATTGGGAAGCAATATTTGGATTCAAATCATCTGCAAAAGAAGTTCTTCCATCAGCAGATGACGATCTAGGATTCGATCCATGGGTTGAATGTAGCAAAGGGTTGGCTGATTTGATGGAAAAAGAAAAGACGCAAGAGACTGGAGCTGTTCATAATAACAATGTAAGAAGAAATGTACAAGAACTTGGATTTGTAATTTTATGATTTAGATTTATAATTTAGATTTTAAATTTTTTAATGATCCACTTTTCAAAAAAAATTATGATTCATGCTCATATTTGGCAAATTGGAAAGAACTGCTGATCGGATTCTTAGAGCAGCAATTTTTCAGAATTACTAATTTTTGCCTATTTTAGCCCAGTAGCAAATGAGGCATTAAACTAATTGACAAATTATAGGCACTCGACAAATTACTGAATAACACAACATCATACTGAAAATAAGAATCAGTATCAAGAACATTCTTTTAACTTCCTACTACTGGGTGTGTGTCTATAACCTTGTGCAAACTCCAAAGACTAATGAAATCGAATTGAAAAAATCGGAATGAATCGAAAAATAGAATTGAAATTATGTTCAATATTTAAAATTTTTGATATTCTGAATAATATATCCTAGTTAAAATTCGAAAAATGATCATTTTTAGCAACGAATATTTCACAGTATAAATGAGTATAAATAAGTAAGTATAAATTTTTTAAATTTATATTTGATACATTTTACTAATTACATACTATTTCAGAATGTATTTAGAATAGAAGATCATTCGTTTTTGGCCACCCATGGACTAACCATAAAAAAGTTCATTTTCGTCAATTTAAATCTAATAAACTAAAGTTGTTTTCTTGTTTATAGATTCCATATTCAACCAATACCTTTCCATTTAATTCAAACCCAACTTTTTCCGATATATCTGCAACACAAAGAAGACCAACATCTTTACATAATCCCAACCATCCGGGTGTACATCAGGTAAAATGTTTTTTTTTTTTTCGAATCTCGTTTTTCGTTCTGGAAGCATATTTGAAGCTTGATATACATTTTTGTTTTATTCATTTTATAGGCTGGATTTCCTGGCGGGAATGATCTCATTAATGGATTTTCCAATCTTATGATGCATGGAACATCCCAGCATTCTCAACAGCACAAAATGCCTTTCCAATACGATAATTTACAACAACGTCAGTTCGAGCAAAATCGATACAATCAACAACAAAAAGTTTCCAATCCCTTCCAACAAATCGATCCATCAGATAAGAACATTCATCAATTTTTGGGATCTGCGAACTATCAAAAGCAGGGTTTTATAAACCATGGGGGCCCACCTACTCCGAACAAAGATCAAATGAATAAAAATCCTGCGAATATTACAGATTGGCAAAATGGACTAAGGGCTTTGCTGCCGAGCGTAAATATCAATTTTGCAACTCAAGGACAAATTCAGAGACCTAACTCAAGGCCTGTCGATAATTCCTCTTTAGGTTTATCCAGCTTAGGTATGCCAGCAGAACATAACAAACATATTAATATTCCTCACCCACCAGGGATTTCAAGCTCTGGTATGAATCCCCATCCCCCTTTCAACAAATCTAATATCATGCCCCCACCTGGGGTGGGTTTTCCTGGCAGGTCATCTTCTTTTATGCCATCAAGACAGCAATGGGGTGGCCCTGAATCTTCCATGTCCACACCTGGAATGTCCTCGAACAGACTTGTTAGCCCTGCTAGTTTGCAGTCCTTATTTGCTGGTGGAAACCGCTCTGAATCTAATCCTATGCCTGGTGGTACAATGCCATCCTACCCACCCGATCCTGCCATAATTCAAGGAGGCATGCCAGGTTACGGACCCACAATGAGGCGTAATAGACTATTTGAAAATCCACAAAACAAATCTTCGCACAATAATAACGAGGATCAGCCACATTGGATGAAATCGCTGCAAGCTTTAACTGAGCCCGACAGTCCAATCCACCCTATCCCACCTTCGAATAACTCTAATATGAACCAACTTTTTTCACAGCGCCCAACAAACAGTGGTATGCCCTCGTGGCCTGGGATGCCTGGCTTATTTTCTAATTCAGGTTTTGTGCCTTCACAGCCACCTCCTGGATTTCAAGTCAGGCCTTCTCTATCAAAACCCACAGAGTTTGGTATGATTCACAGCTTATTGGAAAATCAGTCATAGGGTTGGATTTCTTTTGAACGATATTATCAAATAAAGTAATTTATATATTTGTTGGAATTTCTCTTACCATAATTCAAATAAATGCGGTTTGTTTTTTCGATCCGATCACTGATCTCTGACAAAAATGGTACACATGGTAAAATGGACAACACAATATTTGAAAAATTGTTGCAATTTTAATTTCTTGAAAACGTGATAAAAAAAATGTGGATGATTTCCACTGGTATTCTTGTGGCTTGGTGAATTTTGGTAGTCGTGACAATTTTATCGAAAATATTCAGAACATTGAAGAGCATTTTCTGGTGACTTCTGGTTTCATTTAAGTGTTACTACTTTTTCTTGGCCAAACTTGATGGTGCTGGCATGATGTTCTTATTTGTCTGTTTTCCGCTTTATTTCAACTCAATGGTCAATAAAGATATGGATTTTTTCGCTTTTTATATGCTATTTTGTTTTGATTTGTGACTGATGTTCTTGGGCTCATGATGTGAAAGACTATTACTTTTTGGCTTGGTAGGTACATTTTATTAATCAGGTTGCAGTCCGTGATAACTATCAGATATTGTCTAACATCGACTTTTCACAGACCTCCAACTTTATAAATTGCAGCTAGTGCTGTGGCTGAACTTCAATAGAGAAGGCAATCTTTGATCATATCGAATCTGTCACAGTTGTCCATGGAATATTTGTTGCCTTGTTATACAATAAAAAATATGTTTGAAGTTTAACCATCTGGTATATTTTGCTATGGTTTATAATGTGGCAGAAACGTCCCTGGGATTTTCGTTACGTAACCGCTGGTCGGTTACGGCTTCCTCCACCACTAAGTCCATGCTTCCGAAAACAAACAATATAACTAATCCCATACCAGACTTGGAATGGTAACCGGACGAGAGGCTGTGGTTCGCCGTATGGATGAGCCGTCTTATTGGCTTTCCTCTCCCCCCGGGATAAATATGTAAATCCTATCCTATCCTTAGAAGCTATGACCAAATTATGCATGGACTTTATGCATACGTACATATTTTGCCACTCCATATTACTTTTACTCATTACACGGTTAGTTTGATTCATAAAGCCCAAAGTAGGTGCTTTTAGTCTTCTGAGTGCGTTCAAAGCCAGTTTCAGTATTATGGTAATTATGGTTTATACGTGGGTAGATAAAAATTAGATTCGTTGGCTATACCATGTCTGGTACGTATCCTACTAGGCTGAAGAAGACTCATTTTCAGAAATTCAGATCTAGTTGGTAAGTTTTGTGTGCGACCTGTTCAGACCCCCAAGACCCTAACAAAATGAAGACAGTCCGAGGGCTTCCGTTAACCCAAAAAGCCGAAACTGTAGGTTTGTAACAATTGCTTTGAGGAAAACACATATTTTTGACTTGAAACATCTGCAACTTGAACCACTTAAATGAATACGGCTTCAAACTATGATTATAAAGGCAGCTTTTGCGCTTTATTTCAAAATTCCAACATTCTCCCTTTTGTTTTGAATTCCAAGAGTCGCTGCCGCCGAAGAAAGTCGATGTTTTCGGCGACTCGCAGTGCTTTTTTCGGCTGATGTCTCTCGAAATGCCGAGATAGATACACCGGGAAAAATACAGACAAGCGGCCTGAAATCGAGCGTTCTGATTGGGCGTCGCTATCGATTTGCGTGAGCCCGTCTGTCTGGCGTGGCGTATTGCAGTTTCAAAGCGTTAGTACAGAATTACGAGGAGGGCGTGTGCAACCAGTTCAGATCGCACGGTAGTTTGAGCTCACAGAATCAAATTAGCAGACGATTAAAAACGACCACTGGAATTCGGAAAAACAGCAATAAACTAGGCCACGGTACTTCTGTCGACATCAAATATAAAAGACAACCCAGACCAGAAGACTGCAGCGACTCGTAAAACTGCAAAAACACGCACGAGATCGGCGAAAAACTGAAGGTAAGATGCGTTTTCATCATGCATTAGTACTAATAAAGTTTACTCAGACATCGCGACTTTAAAAGTAAGGTACTGGTATGTGTTTTACAGTGAATGTAGACTTATGAGATCAATTTTGAACAACATCTTGCTAACTGAACTGGTCAATTCGTGGTCTCGTTTAACGAGATAGCGAGGTAAACTTTGCAATCGAGGTCCGCCATATTTCTCTCGCGTTTCGCATAGAAAGAAGGCATTTTCATCATAGTTCATTTCAACCACCAGAGCGCGAAATTTCAATCATGGTAAGCGCGAGACCACCCTATTAGAAAAATACATGGTGTCCGAAAAATTTCCCGGAATTTATAGTAATAACAATTAATTTTTTTTGTTTTTGACTTAATTTAATAGATCTTAATGTGCCTGTAGTTATCATTTATCATAAAATAAAATTTTTAATTCTAACTCACAATTGTTATTACTATAAAATCCGGTGAAATTCTTAATTGTTTTTACTCAGTTACTATAAAATCCGGCGAAATATTTTGGACACCCTGTATAATATATAATTTATCAACTTTCACATTAAAGCATCCCAATTCCCAAGTACAAAATAATCCTTTTTCAATCTTAGTCATTGTTGTAAACTTCACATGTATTCTTGTAACATGCTATAACCTCAATGGTATAAATAACGCTAACCATGTTCGTTCCAAATCCAATTGGTTGCTCATTTTTCATGCAAATTATCCATTTGACTGTTTTAAATAATTCAGAACTATGAGTGCAAGTGTCTAATAATGTTTTTTTGTTGTTTTTAGAGCATTTGTCAACATTGGGAACTTCAGATTGATATTCTGATTTGAATATGAAAGGGGCAACTAAAAACAATTGTATTGGTAAATCAACATATTGTTATCAAGTCTAATACTCAAATCATGTCTTGTGTAGTTTCGTACCTCATGTACTTCTAGTAGACGCGGCATAACAATTTTTGCACATGTCAATCCTAACCCCCACCTGACTACGCCATCCAAATATTGTGTCTCTTTTCAAATGAAGATGGATGTTGAAACTTCAAAGTAATTTTTATTTGAAAATATTACAAATGAATAGGTGATCTTTAAACTACTGTTCAATCATAGTTTGAAGGAATGTTGAAGTATTTCAATAAAAACTTACAGAAATTTAAAATTCATGGGAATGATATTAATATTTACAATTTTGCAGGGAGTGAGGATGGATGGACAGATGCCACAACAAAAGAACTTTTAAATAAAATGAAGCAGGTATATTAGGAGATATTATAGTAAATCAATTTTTTTATTGATAATTGATAAATTATTATTTATATATTTAATAAAATTCATTTTTTCAGTTATCAACTTATATCAGTGCCAATTTGCTGTAATAATGAATCTTTAATTAAGTTTCTTATTTTAGGCTATTCCGAATCCAGATGTTTCCAAATATAAAACGATGTTGGAAAAATTCGAATGGGACAAAGTAAAGATGGGTCGTTTCTCAGCTGAAGATTGTAAGAAACAATGGTTCAGAGTTTATAAGAAGGTTTGTTCAAGTATAATTCTTGTTTTTGTATCTTTTACCAAGTGCACAATTGGTCAGCATGATATGGTGGGAGGTATTTGTTGACACTGAACTCCATCACCCACATGGGTTTGGGAGCAGTTAGACCAGGGGTGTGCAACATGTGGCTCGCAGGCCCGAACCCAGCTCATCAAGCAGTTGTGTTCGCCCCCCATTCAACAAGCATAAAATCCCAATCCGACAGTGCATGTTTAAAAAGACGTACACATGGGTAAAAATATGTGTATCGATTTTTGCTCTTGTTGCTGCCCTGAATCTTTTGCCGTTTTGCCCGGTGACTTTATTACTGGGAGGCTAAGCAATGGCCGTATTCTCTTTGTTTTCTGGTTGTCGCTAATTTTCCAATTCGTTGTGTACATGAAAAAACTAATTTGTTTGTGTGGCCCAGATAGATGTCTGAAGTTAGTTATATGGCCCACCATAGTAACTTTATCGCCTTTCCCTCTCGTGTGGGATAAATATTAAATATACTATTCTGCCTATCGCCACTGTTGAAAGTATGTTATATACACAGAACACAGTATCTGAGAATTTTCAGTTGCCTTGGACCTTGGTTTGTCTGGGATTGACTTGCTATTGTTAATATTTTATATTATTTTCACATTCAGCTGAGAAAGTTCAAAACTCTGTCAGACTTAATAGTGGATTCTCTCGATTATATTGAGGTAAGTAAAATAAAGTTGCTAGCCAATGAAACATGAATACATGTCGTAGTTATGCTACACCCAATACGAAAAGTAATAAAATGCTTGCTTATCTTGAAAGTAACATCTTTAATTTATATAGGATGATTGATAAATTGCAGAGAAACTTACTGTTTTTAAACATTGTGTCGTGAAGTCTTCAGCGTTATATGTTGAGGTTGTTTACACAACAGTTATATATGTATTCACTCTGACTTAAGCTCTGAACAAGTATTTACAGATATGTACGATGCTACTGTTTCATAGGGACCTGTGTCTGTCTGGTGCAGCTTATTATTATATAAACGATAGCCTAGCTGTAGAGTGTTGGACTTCCTTTTGTAATTAAACTGTTTTTTTTTCATAATTTTTCATATTGAGTTTTGTGCCACCAGCCAAGTAACCAAGTCTATTATGTGTAACTAGCCCGCTCAGTAAAATTAATTGCCCACTCCTGCTCTAACCCCTAAGCCATCTAATGTTTTCAGAATCCCTACAAAGGAAATGTGAAGAAACATCCTGATCATCCCAAACGACCTTTGACACCTTACTTTCGATTCTTCCTTGGTGAAAGAGAAAAATATGCTGCAAACCACAAAGATTTAACCAATCTTGAAATCACCAGTATATTGAGCAAGAAATATAGGGAAATAACCATTGAAGAAAAGGTAGGGAAATATAGTGATTCATTGTTTGATCCAAATGCTGATGGAAATGGAAAACTGTAGGAGTTGTTATTGATTACAACTTACAAACTGAAGAGATATTGAATTTGCATGTCATTTCGATCCTCATGGCTTTTAGGGCTGTTTAAAGCATTTTCAAATTTTTTTCCAACATCTTAAGTTATGTGGAAATCGCTACTTCATATTGATATGAATTTCTTCAAGTCTTACATAAATCGGTAATCACAAAAAAAGGGCAATTCGACACTACTTTTTTATGGTGTCTGTAGCTTAACATTTTATTGTCAACTGTGTCTTTAGCTATTCACAGATATATTTTCTCTTTGATTTCCCAGTGATTTATTGTGACCTCACTTCAAGAAAAAAATTTAAAAATAAAAAAATTAGGTTGGTGGTCTTGGTGCCTAAGCCCAAGATTTTTAGCCTGTGATGCCAGTATATTAAGTACGATCAATAATATCTAAGGGTGGAATAAAATATATTTCAGGAAATGTTTTTCATTTTTCAGGAGAGATTCATGAATGATTGGAAAGCTGAAATGGTTGAATATAGGAAGAATTTGGAAAAATTTAAACAAAATCATCCTGAATATTATGACAAAAGTCCGCCACGGACATCACGAACACCTTTGCAAATTTTCAATCAGGAAAACATGACTGCAGTTCCAGCTACAAAAAGTGTGAGTTGAAAATTTAGTATTGAGGAAAGAATAGAATGGTTATTCACCTTATTCTGGAAACACGAAAGTTGCTATGGCAACTGCTCATTCATATAGACAACCTCTGCTTCTTCCACGTCACCATGCAGAGTCTGGTATGGAAATACCTAAACAAATGATTTCCAAGCCCTTTCTGTCAAATTTCCCCCTATTTTGGAACTCTTTCCTCATTCCTCCACCCCCATGCAATAAACTACTTTCGGACCTCCTGAAGTATGCGCACCGAGATGGCGCACAACCTGTGAACTCAGGTTATGTACTAGGTTAGGGTTCAGGTTGTGCGACATCTTGGTGCGCATACTTCAGGAGTACCCTACTTTCTTTGTGCAATCTCTGATTAATCCTTTGATATTGTTATGCGCTGGTCGTACTCCCGTTTTTGTACAGTTAAAGTAGACTATTATGTGTTTATGAATATATATAATAGTAACAGTAATAAAAAAGAGTAAAGAATAATAGTAGTACTACAGCAAATACAGAGCCAAATTGCTCCTCAAAAAAGGGCAAATGTCTCCCTGGTTAGGAAATGTGGAATTGTGAACAATTCTTGATTTCCAGAAGCATGGAGTGACATTGTCAGACTAGGCCAAGGAGGGAAAACACCGCTCGGCCAAAGCATTTTGTGCTCCCTCCCTCTTCTCCCGGAGATAATTGTGAAAATTTCTTATAACTCATGCAGCTGTCTAAGATGAACAATGAGTTAACCATTATACTATCTTGATCAATTTAAAATTAAATTATTATGTTTCCATTTTCACAAATCTAGAAAGCATGGAAATCTAAGAAGCACGTTCAGGAGACTTTGAAAAACAAATACCACGATCTGGAAGATGATCAGAAATTACCATATATTTTAAAATCTATTGAAGAATGGGAAAAATACAAGGTAGTCCCACCTAATTTTTTTTTCAATTTTGTATTTAGGTTTGTCTTTTAGTAGAATATTGAAATTTCTGTCACTTTGAACGAGACCGTATACAAACAGCTACTGATATCTTATGATATGTTAATAGCTACTACTATTATGGAAGGAACGAAATCTTTGCATTTTGGCTTTGCTTACCTAATGTATTATCCAATGCCTTAAATTTTTTGCTGGTCTGAAAGGGCATTTTGAAAGGGGCATAGTAATAAAATGCATCAATATTGGACAAATCTAAATAACAAATAATTTCCTGGGTGTCATCACAATATCAACATTATAAAATTTTCAATTTCTTTGGAGTCTTTAATTTCTAAATTTTAGAAATTTGAATTATACAGCAATTGAAGTTCTGGTCAAGTTACTGATTTTCAATCCTTCCACTTCAAGATCATAAATATTACAATCAAATCCAACGATTCTAATTTTAAAGCTGCCGATATATAATGATGGAATATTCATTAATGATTTGCTTTCATTTGAAATGATGATAAATTTCACTTTTCAGGAAGAACTAGAAATGTACAAGAAATCTCATCCGAATTTTGTGCCAACGCCAATGCATACCAAGTCGGTGTTAACGATCAGCGATTGGAGAATTCATGATAAAAGCCTTGGAAAACCAGACAGACCACCAGCGTAAGTATCGCTCGTGAAGTTACAGTGTTACTCTCAAAAAAACAGAACCCAGGTCGTTTAGAACATATCCTAGAGAGAACATAACTTTTTTGCGGAGCGTCCTAGATCACTGAAACTTTTGATATTGTTACAAAATATTCAATGAAGCACTGTTGAAAAAAATACACATAAACAAATGACCGTTTTTTCAAACATGGGCACAGGATTTATAAGGTGACTAATCTGCTACACCATCACAGTTAAGTCTAACACTTTATTAACCACTAGGCCATCACGCTGCCAGAGTTGTAAAGGAAGGAAATTTTTCACAATTTAAGGAATGAAGACTACTTCATGTCTAATAATAATTCATTCCTATTTATAGGAATGGGTATAATCTCTTTTGCACTCGAATGATGGTGAGTGATGCAATGAAACATTTGTCAAGTAGGGATAGAATCATGGAATGCGGACAAAAATGGAAGTTACTAACTGATGCTGAAAAACAGACATATCAAACGGAGTTTTTATCACTGAGGGAAAATTACAGATACGCTTTGAAGAATTTTCTCAAAGTAATTTTTGCCTACTTCAATTTAAATTAGTGTTTAAGCATCTTTTGTACCTTATTTTCAATATTTTTGTGTTTTAGTCACTGACTCCAAGACAAAGGGAAGAATATTTGGAAAGGAAAAAAGAGACTGAAACGAAAAAGTAAATATAACTATAGTTTTATGGTCATGATCCAAGTATACATGAATGCCAGGAATGTGAAAATGAATTGAATAGAATATTCAAATCAATGGAAAATAATTATATTCAATGATTTAGATTCTTGATTTTGGCAAATCTGTCTGTAATACCAAAAAGGTCTTTTAATATTTTGACTGTAAAAAAATAGAATTCTTCCAGTCGAATCACTGTTAAATAACTATTCAACTTCCAATACCCGCCATGGACAGGTAACAGGACAAGAAGCTGTAGTTCGTCATATGATTAGGCCGGCTCATTGACTGTACTCTCCCCAAGTTTATAGCAATGAACTCTTTTTTGTTGACACACAGGAATCAAAAAAGGAAAGTTCCCATTCAAATTAAAGAAGAAGTAATTTCGGAGGAAGATTCCACCTCAGAGGAGGAATCTACATCGGATTCCACGAGCAGTGATAGTAGTGATGACGAAGAAAATGAAGAGGAGGAAGCGGATGAAGAAGCAGAAGAAGATACAAGTCAACCTGCTTCTTCATCCGATGCAAAGGTAACATTCTTTATTTTTATTATTTCAGCTGTCTTATTTGGATTCTCATCCAGTGCTAGGATGCAAATTTTAAGAACAGATTCTCTTTCGTATCAAACCAATTTACAGCAGGTTTTCTCATTTTTTGAAATTCGTTTATGTCTCTATGCAAGCTACATCTTTATGACACGCCTCACATAGCTTTCGAAACACCAAATATATCGCTAGTCGTCGACTGCAGTGCACTTTACCCATTTGCTGCGGTTGTCTAACGTCTAAAACGCTGGTCGTGACAACTGACGATATTCCAAGAACTGGTTTAAACCAGCTGAATCCCACCACTGTTTTATCATATTGTTGTCAAGAGTTTTGGGAACCACTGGTCTACCCGAGGAAATTCCCAGGTTTCGTCTCAAACTGTGTTCACTGGTGAGCAATTCACCACCATAATTTCATATTGTTCCTGTAGCTGTTATTGGCCATTTATGGATCACTAAACTAAGGTGACCGTACATTTAAACCCACGTGAGGTTATCCCTGCTCTTTCATGTAACGGTATTAATTATTATTCTTACTTCGTCAGGTTACAAGTTCTGCTCCTCTTCGACCAACCACACCCATCTCAGCTTTGTTTTTGTATCAAAAAGCTCATCGAGAGAAGGTTTCTAAGCTTTTATTTTCGTTGTATTGTATTTGCCGATCGTGCCTACCGTCTATTGTAATTAATACGAAAATAGAAGTTGCAAATGCATCATAATTTGAAGTTTAATGTGGTGATTGTTTATAAGAAAAAATGAGGGTGGCCCGCGTGCTTCCGGAATGGTGTATATTTGGCCTGGTAGTAAACAAAGTTTGTCGAACACTGCTCTAGGTCATCGTCGTTTGATTTATTAATTTTAGACAACTGTGCTTAAGAATTGGGTGAAACTTATATGCTTTTCCAAAATTTTTTTTTGTTTCAGTTTACTGAAAAACATCCCAAAGCATCAAAAAGTGACATCACGATCATGCTCGCACGACAATTCAACAACCTTCCTCAACAAAAGAAGGCTAAATATATGAGGAAGGAAAAAGAGCAAAGAGCATTGTATAACGAACAAATGAGAAAGCATTTGTAAGTCATTTTCCCTTTTAAACTCGGTTTGACTTGAGGCTTCATCTTGTTCATTTTATGATAGGACTGAGCTTCCAATCGTGTAGGAATTCCTACAAGGAGATATATCTTTGTATTTTGTTTTTTACTAATATTATTTTCTTATTTAGCAATATACATCATATTCATTAACACATTATACACTATTCAATCTGTTCAAAAGTCAAAGTGCGAGTGCAACTTTCATGTAACAAACTAACAATACCTAAGGATTAATTAAAGATTGATTGAATATCTGAAACAGTTTTCATGCATATTAGGGGATGAATAAAAAGTTCCAAAATAGGTGAAAGAAGGACTTTGTCACTGTGACGGGACGTCTTTTTACATCTTTCATACAATCATGGATACAGGGGCGCAGCATGCATTTTCAAAGGGGGTTATTAAAATCAGAATCTAGAATGCCTATGAGGTTACTGAAACAGTCACTGCGAATCTGCGATTATGTCAATCGTTAAAACAGCTGATTTTTCTCACTTCATAATGATTTTTCTGTTCTGAAAAATATTCAATCCATGACCTTTACAAGCATTTGAAATGTTTTGCCAATAAAATGTTAATATAATTATGTTTATTAATGTAACTTGCCGTTGCGTTGATTTCGACAAAACAAAAGCACTTCCACTTTATAATATTACAGCAATCTGCGAACATAAAAATGTTTGGTTAACAGCCTGGTGACATCTAGTCTCGATTCGTATATTGCGAATTCATACAATTTGATCTGTTCCTGCTAATATTGTCACCGCTCCTGTGAAATAGGCTAAACTTTCAATTTACTGACATAGAATCATTTTTTGTTTTGTAGACTAAACGAACAAGCTAAGGCAAGCAAGGAATCTACTCCTGAATTGAAGCCAGTCACCGGTGAACAAATTTATCAAGAACAAACTAAAGAAAATTTCCTGGTGAAAGCTGGCGTAAGTATATTCGTATGACTTTGGAAAATTTGGCAGAAAAAAGGAAACCGATATTCTCATTAGAAATCGGCGGTGTGGCACATCGTGCTAAGCGTTAGTGATACGCTTACGTGGGTTCGAATCCTAAAGGGGGATAATTATGTGCGAGAGGATTGCTGGTTCACGTAACTGTTGGTCGGTTACGGCTTCCATGCATCTGAAAATAAATAACTGACTATAATAACTATAATAACTGACTAACTAATCCCATACCCGACATGGACTGGTAACCGGATGGGAGGTTGTGGTTCGCAATGTGAATAAGTCGCTTATAGGCTATCTTTACTTCGGGATAAATATGTATATCCTATCCTAACTATAGCAAATAGTGCATTCCCACCATTTAGCCAATGATTTGGAGTTGGCTATTTTGGACCTTCCAAGAATTAACTTTTTTATATCAGTGGTTTCTTTACAGAGCCTTGTGCAGAGCGAAAGTGTTACAACGCCTAATACGAAAAAGTGCAATATTATTTATTTATCATTGTCGGCATTGGGTTGGAGGGATTAATATGGTTATATGAAAATTTGGAATATAGTTTTGTCTTAATTCCAACTGTTCTGGTCAATTTCTAGGGTTCTGCAGAGAAAGCTCAAGAATTGATGAGAAGTTCTTGGACGCATATGAACAAAGAACGGAGAAAAAAATATATCAATATCGCCCATCAACAAAATGCTAAAAATATAGCTGAACATCAAGCGACAGTGGCTGCCACAAAAGGAGGGAAAAATGTGAGTTTTTTTTTCTGTTGATTGTTTGTGATATGGTACAGGGTGACCAAAAAGCAGAACCCGGGTCATTTGGAACATATTTTAGAGGAGAATACAAATCCTTTGTGTAAATTGTCCTAGATTACTGAAACTTTTGGGTACAATCATACATAAACAGGAGTTCAAGTGTTGAATAAATTTTCTTCATTTTTATAAATAAAATCAGGAAATTCATGGGTTTAAGTTTTTTTGGATATGTCGTAAAATGATTATGATATATTAATTCTCTATTTTCGATATATTAATGCCACTCCCCAATTTTTTATGTATATTAGCTTAACAAGATAGCCAACTGCGTATCAAACAAGTTCACTACTAAAGTCACATATGCCCACTAACCTGCCACAGGCTGCAGATATTTTGACTGATGATGCTTTTCCAGACTGCTTCATTATATTGGTTTTATTCTCAACACACTGTAAAGAACAGAAGATGGTACCTTTATATATTAAACTGTTTTCTTATTATATATATTTTGAGTTCCGTTGAATTTTTTTTTTTCAAATATTTTCAGAAATCTAAAGATTCGCCGGCCCCCGTTGAAGAGAACATTTCACAAAAAGAGGTAAAGAGCGGTCGGTCCCCTGCTTTTGGAAAAAATTATGACCATTTTTACAACTGCAAATACCAAATTTTAGATATATTTATTTTATTTAAAATATTCAAACTATTGATTGTTAAAATAATATTAATGTGTTTTCATCCTCCGTGCAACATTGTCAGCCCCCTTTTTAAACTTGAAGGCCATTTTTGCTTTCGGTCGTTGCACTTTTTTTGGTCACCCAATCATGCTATTGAGTACTGACTAAAAGTCATGTTGAATTTAACGAGAATTCAGGTTAAAATACGAGTTAGTGTTAAAACATTTATTTATTCCTCATTTAGATTAAGTCATATTTGGCATTGGAACCGAAAAAGGTTCCAAAAGATGGGCTACTACTATTTCGACAAGAACATAAACCGAAGTTGCATCATCTCATGCCTAATGCAAGAAATCAGGTACCGTTTGGTGTATTTTGTGTAACAGTTAAATTCTCCACCACATTGCTGGATTGAAGTTAAGCAAGATTGTTAATGCATTACTATCTTTGTATTTAATTGGAAATGTCTTCGATTTCATTTGAGACCGAACCGGCGTTTCTCAGGACACTGAAATTTAAGAATTTTGACTATCATTTGATCATGTGATCCCTAAATACTGATATGCAAATTAGAACTCGCATTATATAAGTGAGATACAAAAAATATGAAACCGCATTAAATAATTGTAAATGTGACAGTGCTGAGTGTAGTAATATATACCCGCTGAGAATAATTGGATTCAACTGCAACCAATACGGCTGCAGTGGGTAAGCACTTTGTAGGACTCGCATTGATTATTGGTGTAAATTATTTAATTTAATGGAACAATTATAATGAAGTATGTCCCAAGGGCCAGTTTGTTTATTGTGAGCAAGACTCGTGAAATAAAGTTGCTGTTATCGGGATTTAACTCTTTGGACATATATGTACATTTCGTGCCATCCCAATTTCTTAACTTGAATCTATTTCAGGAACTACTTCGGATATGGAGCGAGATGTCAACTAAAGATAAAGGAAAGTATAAAGAAAGAGCTAAAGCAGGACTCGTCGAATATAACAAGAAATTACAACGATGGATTAAGGTACGATAGGCACATTAGGGATCGTTTCGTAAATTGTTGTAGACCTATGGATCGTTTTGTTATTATGTCGTTGTTGTTCTTTGACATAAAATAAAAATGGCTTTTCTCTTTAATTACTGGACCAATACTTATTTATTCTTCAATTTTCTATGAATCCTGTGGGATCTGATATTTCATTCAAAATTTCGCTGTATTATTTTTTACTCATGGGAACACTGTTTTTAACTTGTGTCAAGCGGTTCTGTGATCTAATTTCAGGCCTACAGCTACGGTATTGGCAAGTTACCGTACTGCATATGATGTTTGGGGAATTGATGATAAAAATTTTCGTTTTGCTCTACATGTCCATATATTTGAGCATCGCTCTCTTTTTTCTTAGTTAAGGCCACGGTACCAATGTATTTTTGGTTTGAAGCTACTAAATAATCAGAAAACAAGATTTCTACGTAAGAGTATTACTACTCAACTGCAGTCAGTCATTTTACCTTCATGAACCTTGTGTTCCAGCATTGCCCTAATCCAATATTATTATAATTTCAGTCTCTACCACCACAAGCTCATGATGCTTACCAAGCTCAACTAGCGAAGAAAACAAAGGCACCAGTCACACAGAAGAATGAAAAAACAGCAGTCTCGAATGGGAAGAGAAAGAAAGCAGCCGTAAAGACTGGGCCAACTTCTAAAAAAGCGAAAATAGCACCAGCAGAGGTATTTTTTATATAATGTACTGAATCCCAGGCTCCCAAAGTTGTGGATCAATTACCTTCTTCTATACAAATCATGATGTACTAGTATGGATAGTACTATGACGATTGACGAACAATAAAATATGAAGGGGAACTTAAGAAGTTTCACAATATAGGAAAATATAATCAATGCCATACATGAGCTTGTTTTTGTGCACATAAACCAGGGGTCGGCAACCTTTTGTCGCTCGCGGGTCAAAATTAAAGGTTGCAAGTCATTGGCGGGGCGCACATATTTTTAGAATGTTAAAAATCGAATGGATGACTGATGAATCACATTTCATCACACAGATCAGAAGTTAAATTTTAAGCAGCACGCGAAAACTGACCATTTGAATATTTTTTGCGCCAATATACCATTTGCACTTAGCATCAACTTTTCTGCGTTTTGCTGTCATTTGTCTAAATTATAACTTATAGGCTCATTAAACGAGTAATTGTGAATTATATACTTGATACGTTATAATATAATTTAGTCTACACGTAAATTCTTTTGCGTAAAGAATATAATCGACAAAACAGTTATAATTTGTTACTATATTTCAGTGAAGGATCGCGGGCCGGATTATATTGCTCCGCAGGCCGGAACTGGCCAACAGTCATTTTTGGTTGATGGGTTTTGATTTTATTGTCACTCTCACCCTCTTTCAAACATGTCAATTTAAATAAAAATTTTGAATTCTTTTTAGGAATCCGATGAGTCATCAGATGATAGCAGTGATGAAGAAAATGGTGATTCATCATCTTCGTCATCAGATGATGTAAGCATAAAACAATTTTATTTTATACAAAAGCATGCTCTGTGTGTTGAGCTTTTAAAAAAAATACCAAATTTACCCCAGTGGAGTTACTGAGAGTAATATTTGAAACAATGTGTGTGGATCTATTTAAAAAAAAAATATGACAATTTGCACTACACAAGTTCCAGTGATTGTTAAGAATTTAGTTTCAATCAACTCATATTTCATAATCATACCATCTACCAGCATGTTAGATGCCTAGCAGACAATGTTTTTGGAATGATATAGAATCCAATTAATAGCTATCTTCTATTTCATAAGTTATGTGATATCATATGATATACCATTTCTTGACATAAAAAGTTTTTTTGCCGTTGAAGGAGAAAGTCGCCAACATTCTTCTACTTTTATTTTCGTTTCCAAATTCCGGGACTTATTTCGTCCATAATTTTGCTTTTTTCATGCATATTACACCTCCCCATAACACTCCCATCAGACTACTATGTGAAAATATAAATTGCTGCAATGGTGGCATGAGTTACGTATATTCAAAGCATTGCTCTCTTGTTTTCAGAGTGATGGTGATTCAGATTCTTCCAGCAGTGATGATTCCAGTGGGGATAGCGACTCGTCATCAAATGGTGGTGCAACCAAGTACAAGATTACTGGCCAACCACAGAGTGGAAGTAGTGATGATTCATCTTCCTCTTCTGGAGAAGACGAATCCGATTCAGATTGAAATGTTTGCTATAACAAGACTTTAGAAGGCTATTTAATAGCTGGTTGCGAGACAAAAATCGATACAAGTGAGAGGGTCTGGGACCCTATACTTTCTGAAGATATACCGAATATGCCTAATGACTGAAGTTATGGGAAGAAATGTAGAGTTTATTTTTTATGGCGATTATTGAATGAGCCCTTTTACGTTCGAATGATGATTTATTGCAGAAATGGAATTTTTTTTGAGAAAACGTTACTTAGTTTTTAACGATGTTTTATTTAGCATTACATTATGTTGGTTAGATATTTTATGTCTCTTTCTGTTCCAATACATGATCATTATGTAGTGAAGTTATACAAAACAAAATATTAAAATAAATTGGATTCAAAAAACAACATATAAATTAACAAATTTTCCATTATGCCTCAAGGAAGATAGGTTCTTCAGGAAAATTTCAGATAACTGAAACTTGAAACATCTGTTACTTTGCTATTCACATTATCATGTCAATGTAACAATGGAACTTGTATTATAATTCATCCTCGACTCTAAATCTTTTTCAGACTATAATGTATATCATTCACTTCGCTATGAATCCTTTAATCTTGTTTTGAAAAAATACTGTATAAAGATTATTCGTTACAATCGCTATTTAATGGTGTTTCACCTGACTGCCAACTTTCCTTTGGGTTTTATACTTCATGTTTTTTTATTCATTTGATTATTAACTGGAACTTTTTATCGATTTATATTTTCACTATATATAAATGAGTAACTGAACATTCGTTTTTATATATAATTTGAGGATAATAATTTTTACATTAGTATAAATGTCTTGAATATCAATGTGTTTGAATACCTCTGCACTAGCCCAAATAATGTGGTTATGTTTACCACATACTACATTACACAACAGTAGTGCTACAATGGCTCAATGGTCTTTTCATGAATGATAAAACATAAGCCAACATCTCAGTTTTCTCTCACTTATATTGATCACCATCCATAAGTTCAGTGGTTTCCAAACTTTTTATCATGGTCACCAGTATAATTGAATTACCAGAATCTCGATTTCCCTATTCCGAAATTATAGTTCCCAGTACTTATACCAGAAGCTCGGTTACCCTTTTCATAAAATTATAGTTCCCAGTGCCCAACTCCACAACTTGATTTTCAACGACAACTATTTCTAATCCAGCTCGAATTTTAGCCCACTATGTCTCTAATGACAATGCGACTGACTACATTGTGATGCAACCATGCTGACTGACTTGCTGCTGCGCACACTGCACGTCGAGCTTTTTCGTTGACTAGCGAAAATAATGGGTATTCACGAAAGAAGTTGTTGAGACGGGGGGGCTGTGGGGGTACCTACGGAAGTTACTTACCCAGTTTGGGGACCAATGCATTCTTGTATCCTTGAAATTTTCCATATTGGCATCCAATGTATGTTGCAGCATGTGTATCATTAGGAATTTATGTTGTATAAATAATATTTTAGATTTGTATCGTATGTGTGGTAAGAATGATTACTATGGGCAAGAGTATGTGAATATCAATTAAGGTTGCGTGTGCCCTACTTTGTTAAATATTACAATCATTTTTGTCTGCATATACTTTAGTCAATATGTGTATGAAGGTTATCATGGTTACTATTTTATAATATTATTACCTATTCTTAGTGGAATTTTTTTTTAAGTCTGAAATTTTGTTTAACTTTGTTACATGGTGGGCAGGTTGAAGGATCAAAAGTTTCAAGCCGAATATGTTTCGAAGACTGCTTGGTTGGCTATTCCAATCAACTTCATCTAAACTAGTCCATTCACTGAAGATAAATACGGATTAATTGTAATTGATGTAATTAATTACAGTTTTTCATGTAATTGAGGCAATTACAGTCTGTGTAATTTTTTGGCTCAATTACACCAGGGATCACCAGACTACGGCGGCGTCCTTCATCTGGCCCGTCGCAATAACACGAAAAAGGGCGACATATTTTTTCAAGGGCGTTTTCCGAGAAACGCCTCAATATTTCATTTTGTAACATTAGCCAATCAGCAAGATTGGGAAAAGTGACGTAACAATATTCACATCCGTTAAGACACTCGGACAGATTTTCAGTCGTGGTTGTAAACAATACCTCATTTTGCGATTTTGAATACTATTAGTTAGTTTTTAGTTGTGTTTCGGAAATTTAAGTTCGAATCAAATAAGTGAATCATCATATTGCCTTCCTAGGAGTTGTAGTTTAATTAATAGTAGTAGTCAAAAATTAGTCTACAAATAGATGGGATAAATCCATGGGAACACTGGCTGTCTGGTTTGATTCTGTAAATTCTTGCTACGCGAAACTCGGAATTTTGTTGAGGGTAGCGGTGGCGTCAAGGGTAAGGACTGCTTCGCTCTGTGCAACATGTCCATATATTTGAGCTTAGCTCTGTTGTAATTTGGTATTTTTTGCACGGAGTAATTGTAATGTAATTGAAATATTTAAGGGAGTAATTGTAATTGAACTGAATTAATGTAATTGATCCAACTCTGATACCGAATATTTGTTGAAACCAGATTATTAGAGAGCTATAACACCTCGCAATGATATTAATACCGGGAATAAAATATAGAAAAAATAAACTAATTTTCCACAAATTAACTAGATCGTAGCTCTCTGTGGATGCTTCAAGGTGTGAAAAATATTTACTTCCCAATACTGGAATATTTCATCGTTTACTTTAAAATACTTCACATTTAGTGGTGGATTTAGGTAATGAACATCGAATTTTAGTGGATGACTGTACAGGGTCTTGCTCCGAGCAAAAGGAGTAAATAAACATTTTGAATAACTCAAAACGAAATAAATCATTAAACTTTATAATAAATGTTTTTGGGTATGCAATGAATTCATATATAAATCTTCAGAGGACTGTAATTACGGTTGATAGGTCGAAAAATATCATGCATCCTTCAATTCGGAAGATTTGTTGGGAAGCGACGTCACCGTAAATAAATTGTAGCAGTCCAATTATTACTGCATTCGGCATCTCAGCACCCACCATCATTAAGGATTACTCGTATGGCGAACCACGGCCTCTCGCCCGGTTACCAGTCCATGTCAGGTATTGGAGTTATTTGTTTTTCGGAAGCATGGATTTGATGGTAGAGGCAGCCGTAACCGACCAGCGGTTACGTGAACCACCCTACGACGGTGAGAAGTTATAGGGATAGTCCAGCGACCCTCTCACACATTACAATCCGGCATGGGATTCGACCGCCACACCGCCGAGCTTCTTCCCATGTAATTTTACAACAATCGATTAGACTTTTATTTCTCTTATTTTATTCCTCTCTTATTTCAGATAGCTGATAGATAGATATATTTTAGGCGTCTTTTTGGGCGTTTGGGCAAGTTTCACGTTCTTTTTTATTGTTTAATATTCAATTATGTAATACAAAAGATGAAAGTAAAACAGCCATTTCAAACAAAACAGGCCAAAAAAACCTGATATAAAACGATAAACAACTGTTTTAAAAAAATCGTTTCGAACAAATCTTTACCGGAATATGATTTTACGAAAAGCCACTCTATTTTTCACGGAGGAGAGAGGTAGAGAGTACGGGGATTACCCAAAACGAATCATAAAGATGTCAAACTTGATGAGGCCAGCATATAGAACAGTACTGTAAGTTATTATAAGTTCATGCAACTAAATTGAAATACTATATTTGGATAAACCAAAACTATCACTTTTATAAATCTGAATTGACAATGGATTTAAATTTGGCAACAACAAAAAGCAAGTTATGTATAGATTATTATATAGACTATTATATATAGTTATTATAGAGCTGTGTACCGGTAACGGTACCTAGTAGGAATGTTACAAAACGCGCTTTTCCGCGCCAAAAAATGTACGCACCACGTCTGCTAAGTACCGTTACGACGTGTCAGAATACCGCTCATAAAAACGATTACAGACTGCCTGCTGTTGTTTGGAATTCCATGAAATTTTGACATAACTTAGATAAAATACACAACTATGCTTCGGTATTTGAATTTTTTCATTAGCGCATAAATTTCCCAACATTCGGGGCTTTTAAAAATTACGCTCACGGTATACCTATACGTACTGCAAATTAATGATATTGTCTATGGACACCAATAAAATATATATGGACGCGTGTATGTCATTCCTAACTTGATACTCACCAATTTTGATGAAGTTTGTTCAATCAGAACATTGTTAATTATTACCCGCAACGAGGCACTGTCAAACTAATATGCACAACTCCAGGGTTGATTTGCGACGATCTTCCGACGGCGTCAATGACTGTTGCCAGAATAAAATCCCAAAATAATCCCAATATTTCGTAGATGTGACGTACATCGAAAGATTAGTCACTGATATGTGTTCTTTTTTCATATTCATTAAGGTTCTTATTAAAAAAAAGTCAATTCGCATACGTTTACGAAACGGTACAAATTAATTCAACGTACGAGAAGTATGATCTTAGCACGCGTCTGTCAACGGGCATCAGTTATCGATTGAATGCCGACATTTTTCCTCGCAGCGATTTCTCTCGTTTTGCGTTTCACTAAGCGCGGTAAGTATCTTACGAGATAAAGAATATTAAATAATAATTATTCGTTCATCAATTAAGGTCGGATATGAAAAACGCTGAATCAGTTAATTGCCGCGTAGGCGGGAACTTGCGTAGTGGCAAAGTCGTTGCAGACCAGAGGTTATGTAAAGTTCAGAGACTTTCTCGTACATAATTAATTGGAAAGCAGCTAATTTCGTTGAAAAGAATTTGTAAATTCTCTTGCATTAGGTTCTTTTATTCACAATAACTTCTCGTTCCTATTTTTTTTCGATTACCTTCAAAAATAGCCGAGATACATTCTGTTGTTTATCGGTCTGTTATGCTAATTATAAAGTTAAAATAAACTTTTACTGATATTCCTATATATATAGGAATTTCAATGTTTGATAGATTATACAGTGGTACAAATTACCAGAAAATCTTGTGTCTCTGATGGACAAATAAGCTAATTGGTATTCCTTATCATTTACTTTCAGCCCTTCCCAATAACCTTCCTGAATATATATTGCCTAGTTTATTTTTTCCAACCAGTAAAGAAAGCAGAAAGCAATAATAATCTTGCTTTGAGTTATTGGGGCAAAATTATTTGGCCGGATTTTGGGAATATTTGATTAAAATTCACTCGTGTATCAAGGTATATCAATTGGGAGATATTGAATAATTTTAGAACTTTCTGGAATAGTTATTTATTCATGGCAAATCCAAAACGTGGAAGCCATTTATTTGGTGAAGAAAATTTGTCGCATTATCGTGATCGAGGAGAGAAACATTGCCGTGCATGTGAAAGTTTTCAAACATGGAGAAATTTTCGAGAAAAAGGGAAACCTGGAGAAGACAAAAACAAAGAACAAAACAGTCCAACTTCAAGTGATGAGTGTCCTTTAGATCGTGAAGAATTGGGCAGGAACTCTTGGTCATTTTTGCATACCATGGCGGCATATTATCCAAAGAAGCCTACTGACGAACAAAAGAAATCAATGACTCAATTCATGGATATATTTGCTCAGTTTTATCCCTGTAAAGATTGTGCGAAAGATCTTAGAAAAAGCTTGAAAAATTCAAGACCGGCCGTGCAAGATAGATATACATTTTCAAATTGGATGTGCCAAATTCATAATGAAGTTAATAAGAAATTAGGGAAATCTGAATTTGATTGCTCGCTAGTTTTAGAAAGATGGCGGACTGGTTGGAAAGATGGGTCATGTGACTAATAGTCAAAAAAAATTTTTGTTTGTAACCTACAAGTGTCATATGAAGACTTGACAAAAAAGATTGTCAAATAAAAAATTAGCGTGGTTGTTGACGTTATACAGATAAAAATGTACCTTAATAATTGAATATACCAAAAGTTTTAGTGTGTTATTTGTCCTTAACTCATATCTTTAAAGTTTGTGAAATTTGGTTTAAATATTTTTCTATGTCACAATATTTAAACAATATTATGAATTCTCAACACATTTCCTCTTAATAAGAGAAACAGTTAGTTTCAGTGGAGAAATCTTGTGTCAGCAGAGATTCATTTTCATCCATTTCACACTGTTTGTATAATGTCACTGATCATTTTTACACGTCTAATCATGTTTACAATTAGGCTCACAATCTTGCATTGTAAAAAATTATGTTCATATTTAACAGCTAAAGTTCTGTTTGTAATTTTTTTACTTTTTTAAATTTGGTTCATTCATTTTAAAACATGGTACTAGCGGTGTGATTTTTAATTTTTATTTATTCGTGGCTTTTGTGTTATATGTAGCTAATACCAAACATATAACATCTAACATTTTAGGTTGATAATTTGATGATAAACAATTTTTTTAAGAAGGCCTCAGTTTTGGATTAAGAAATACGTACCGTAATTTTTTCTATCACATGGTCTAAGATACGAGGCAGTGAAGATTGTTATCAGTAATTCAAATATGACATTTTTAAGTTATTACCGTTTGTTTGAGATGACTATATCAAATTAGATGTGTAACTATGTCAAAATTCTTGAAGTCTTTTCATAATGTAAATTGGATCGAGATAAGAAGAATTTCTATATATGAGGGAAGAAATGGACAGAGAACTGCAAGCGTCATTCCATCTACACAAAATGATAAAAAGGTGACAAATGGTAAGACATTTTTATGATTTAATCATACATTGATATTTTTCAATATAGATTTCTAAAGTTGCTGCCTGTGTGAAGACTTTTTTGAAGAAATTACTAGAAAAATTATAAAGTTGTAATGATCAGCAATTTGTGTCCATAGAAATAATTATTAAGGATTCTTTCTATGAATAACTATATTTGAATAATCTTTGTTCTTGAAAATATTCTGAAATATATTTTTGAATACGGTTTATTGAATATATATTTTAAATTACCTCATATAGAATAGAACAGAGAATTTATTAAGCACAACTCATTGCGTATTTATAAAAACTAAATTAAATTTCAATAATGCAGTGAGATGAACAATGTGTTGGTTGATTTTTCCATTTCAATGGCTATTTTTTCCAATTTTTGCCAAATTCTAATAAATATGTTTGACTGACCTAAATCTATTTACAGACCATCGTGAAGCATTCAGGCATGCAAAAATAGGGGATTTTTTTCAGGATCAACCCGTTCTTCATAACCCTTATACAACGGACACTCTTTTAAAATCGTTTCTGAAGAAGAATATTCCAGAAAATGTAAGTTTAATTCGAATTTTTTTCGTCGTAATAAAAACGTAATAAAAACATTGTCTAGCCCTAACTTGGTACACATACTATGGCAGTACCGGTATACTTTCACACCTTATTTGATTTTCAGCATTTCAAAGTGATTGAGGATGATTTGATTAGGTTCGGAGATCGGATTTGCACAGAAATCCATGAAAAAGGTTTAGAATGTGAAAGGAATCCACCTACACTGACTCAGTATGATGCGTGGGGTAGAAGAATTGATCAACTCAATACATGTGATGCCTGGAAATCGATGAAAACGGTTTCTGCTGAAGAAGGAATGATTGCTATTGGATATGAAAGAAATTATGGAGAATATAGGTTGGTTGAATAATAATTATTTACTGTAATATATTGCTTTATTAAAGCAGGGGTGTGCAACCTTTTATACTGGAGGGCCAGATACAAATAACTGGGTGAAACCATGGGTCGCACTCGCACCTTTGTTTTACATAGGCGTTCAAGTAGTTGCAGACACAGGCACAAAAAAATTAGTTATTTATCTTATGACACGCGTTGGTCGCACAAACTAGCTGGGAGGCACTGCAAAGTTATAGGCATTGATAAATTGCACTTGGGTATAGGCCTCGCAGCGAAAAGGGATTGGAATTACCGTACGTACCAAATTAAATTAAAAACTCGTTTCGCGGCCCACGCATCATTCAAAATTGGTACTTCTCCTCTTGCCCCATGAATTTTCTAAGAGGGCCGCATTTAGGTCACAGGTTGCCCCCTCCTGCTTTAGTGTATTGAACAATATTAACAGTGTATTGAAAAAGGATGGAATAGGCTGCCAAATTTTTATTCTGAGCAGAGAGAGTGAGCTGAGAGAGTTCTGAGCAGGAATCTAAGTCGAAATTTCTGTCAACCTGGAGTCGAGAGTCGGAATTTATATAAATTTAAGTTTTGCACAATAACATTCAAACTCTCTTTATTATTTGTTTATTTTCTTTCCATTTTTCATAGTCGATTATATCAAATGGCAAAATTATTTTTGTTTGGTGCATCATCTGGTTTGTATTCTTGTCCACTTGCAATGACTGATGGAGCTGCTAAAGTACTGGAATCATCGATAAATGATGTGGCAAATAATGATGGAGTATTTGGAAATGCATATAGGTTTGTGCCACTTATATTTATAACTACCGGTATATGTATTTTGAGTTATATTAGCTTGGCATCAGCAATGGATGTTATTATTATATCGGGATAGTGATTTATATTTTTTTACCTTACTATCAATTTTAGTGTGTTGCGGCAGATTTGTATGACGAATTCTCTATCTTTTATTGTATGTTTCTTGGGTAGCCTACTCTCGTAGTATATGTACCAGGTTAGGGTTAGGCCATAACTTTATTCTGATTTTCCTTATTTTAGTTCCATTACGAATTCGGGGACTGTCTGTTATGTCCCCTGCCCATACCGTAGGTTTCAGTCTCTTTACACAACTTGATGTAAAGTAGGCGAAGAAATTTAGTTACCTTCGTATTGGTACATACACTTCTGGAGCGCCGTTTCTTGGATTGTTGGAACCATATTTAACCTGCGGAACGAATCTCATTTCACATATTACAAGTTTCACATAGCTGATGCTAGATCATAGTATGGATGTAAAACTTGAAATATGTGGAAAAAGATGAATATGTGGAATTTGTATGTTTGATCCAAAAAAAAACAGTTTTAAAGTTTTGAATATCACCACAGCTATCAGTTCACTACCAGATTATGCATCTACCTAATTTTTGTAACAATTTCAAGCAATGTAAATGTTTGTGTCCTCAATCCCATTGCTTATGAGTTATGCCAATGGTTCCCCACCTTTTTTGATAAATTTCTTCATTTGCCTATTTTGGATTGCGTCATCCCTCCCTCATTGCGCATGAAACGCTTTTTCTGTTTTCTATACGAAACGAAAAAGTTCTTGTCCTCATGGGAACGTGTCAGTTTTGTGAAAATGGGAGATGCTTGACTGGAGTCTTTTTCAGAGTCATACTGTAAAAATACATTTAAATTAATTGTAATTGTGTATTGTAAAATATATTTATAGGAGATTAACGTCTCGAAACCCTGATTTGTTTTGGACATCTGGTCAATGGATGACTGAAAGAGGAGGGGGATCTGATGTTGGTAAGTACCAGAAGAGTATATTTTGTTTATCATATTTTTATGCTGTTAATATTGTAGGACACTTTCAGAATTATTTTAATGTTAAAATAAAAGGGTTTTAAATTTGTCGATTTTCTAAGTGCCAAGATAACAGCTCTTTTTGTTATCAACATAATGTGTAGAAATAGCCAGGGTGTAGTTGGGTTCTTGTTTTGATGCCCTTTGCATTTGTATAATACTGAGCCTGAATTTTCAGTGTCGAAGATGGAAGTGTCTCCTATTGTATTAATATTTATTCAAATTTCTCAACTCGCCATTTTATACCAGATTTGTAGAATTAGGTACCGGTAATATTATGCTATTTCACAGATTTTTTACTTATCTGAGTAAGTGTGTTTGAGTGAATATAATGAACAGCTTATGTCTGTGGTCCTCAAACTTTTTAAGCCGCGTCCCTTTTTTAGAGTTTGTCAAATCTCGCATCTCATCTCAAATATGCCTAGTTACCAATAAGCTACAAATAACAGATAGTAAGGCGAAAGTACGTTTTATTCAAAAAACATGTTGGAAATACTTAGATGGTACGGATAATAAAGATACAAGCAAAACAGCTCTCTGCAATCTCTAAACAATGAAGAAATGTAAATATCAAATCTACCAAATATTCTTATTATTAGTTTCATGCCCTCTCAAAAATTTTTTACATCCCGCCCCCCCTCCCGTTTGAGAACCACTGGCTTATGTTATCTTTTGAGGTACCACGTTCATATCCTTGAACTAAATATTTCTGCTTTTTCCAGCAAATGGAACAGAAACAGTTGCTTGTAGGCAATCAGATGGAACTTTTACATTACATGGATACAAATGGTTTTCTTCAGCCACAGATGCTGATATTGCATTCACGCTTGCAAGAATAATTGATGAAAAGTAAGCATTTGCATCTTATTGCAGGTGATCCCAAAAAAGCAGAACCCAGGTCAATTGGAACATGTTCTAAAGAAAACATATTTCAGTATTCAGTAAATATAAGTAAGTATATTTCAGTATTCTATGTCGCTTTGCACGCAAAATAACTTTTGTGTGCAAAGTGTCATAGAATACTGAAATTTTTGGGTGCAGTCATACTTAAAATAGAACTTTCAAGTGTTATTAAGTGAATTTCCCTCATTTTTGTGGAAGTAAAAAACATCTATGGGTTCTGTTTTTTTCAATATTTATGCCTTCGGGTCCTGTACAGGTTTCTTTCCATGTTGATCTTGTTGATTATCTTATCTTATTTTATCTATTTTGATTTCAAGATTTCTTCTAATATGCGGAATAAATGCTAGAATATTATTATTTTATTCAATATTTTCATCAAAACAAGATCCCAACTACACCTTTGCTATTTCTACACATTATGTTGATAACAAAAAGAGCTGTTATCTTGGCACTTAAAAAATCGGCAAATTTAAAACCCCCTTAATTTTAACATTAAAATAATTCTGAAAGTGTCCTACAATATTAACAGCATAGAAATATGATAAACAAAATATACTCTTCTGGTACGTACCAACATCAGAACATCCTCCTCTTTCAGTCATCCATTGACCAGATGTCCAAAACAAATCAGGGTTTCGAGACGTTAATCTCCTATTACCTTTTTTTGTTTGCAAACGCAAAGTATAGTTTATTATTTGGTATACTTACATTATGGTATATTATTTATCATCTCCGCACCGCTGTTTCCATAATTACCTCGCTTGATAGTGACTCGGCCTCTTATGGTGAAATGAGTGAATTTTAGGTCAACCAGTTCACCTCCACTTACTTATTTCTAATATACGGTAAGTATTTCGACTTCTTTCTTGTACCATTGTATTGATATTTTTTATGCTCTCCATCAACGCTAGGTTACTGCTATTCGATAACCTGGGTATATTCTTCCCATCTCGTTTCACCCTAAAATGCCGTATTTTCTTATCTTTTTTTCCAACAGTGTGTATTTTAGGTATAGTGAAATTGATTACTTATGTTTCAGTGGTGACATAAAACAAGGATCAAAAGGTTTATCATTGTTTTTCCTTGAAACAAGAGATTCAAAAGATAAGAAATTAGATTCAGGATTAAATGGAATTCAAGTACAAAGACTCAAAGATAAACTTGGAACTAGGCAACTACCTACTGCTGAATTATTACTGGATGGAACGGTTGCACATCAGGTTAGATTTTTTTAAAAGCAAAATTTATCTTTGTAAAACCCCACGGATATCCAAAGAGATTCAAATTTATTTTCGAACAATTACTCACCTAACTGCAAATTCTCCATTTTAAAAATGGATTAAAATACTTTTATTTGAAAAATTACATTTATCCCGGGGGAGAGAGAAGCTGATATGACAGCTTAGTCATATGGCGAACCACAGCCTCATGTCCAGTTACCAGTCCATGTCAGGTATGGAATTAGTCAGCCAGTTATTTGTTTCGAATGCATGGATTTAATTGTGGTATTCAAGTGAAAAATATGATTCAATTAATTTCAGAAAAATGTATCAAATAGAAGGTAACGTTTATATCAATTCGTTAGCATTGCCAAATATAATATTCATTTAGAATGATACGTGCTAATTTCTCTATTGCAATTGATCAAAAACATTTTTTTTTTCGTTACGACGTATTAAATAAGATTATTTTAGAATGTCTTCAGAACAATTAGTAATTCAGTTTGGGCCATTCGTGGTAAACCCCATAACTTGATTTACACCATCTCGTCTTAGTAATGTAGAATTTGTGAAGCATTTTGGCTGCGAACAAGGCTCTGCATACGCAGCTCTGCAAGACAGGACTGTCTGGTTCGGCATTGTCCACCCAATTAATTACACCCTTCCTGAGGTGGTGGGCGCCAGGGTTGTACCTGAGGTTGGGTACTCCTGTAGTGTGTGTACCAGGTTAGGGTTAGGCCATAATTTTATTCCGATTTTCCTTATTTTAGTACATTTACGAGTTCGGGGATTGTCTGTGTTAGCTAAGTGAATATACACCCTGCCCATAGGTTTCAGTCTCTTTACACAACTTGATGTAAAGTAGGCGAACTAAATCAGTTACATTCATATTGGTAAATATACTTCTACAGCGCCGAGGTTTGTACAAAAAGTATGGTGTTGTCGTCGTACAGCAATGATTATTATTTTATGTAAAATTAGCAATTTGGGATATTATATGGAAAAGTAGTAAATTTTGAGGATGATATAGCTCATAACTTCACTTAATGATCAATCCACATTCAATATATCCTGCCTGGTATGAAAATATGCATTTATTGTTGTATATTATGTCTGTGAGCTTGATGGTACCGGTAGTTCTTTCAATTCGGTATTGTAGATTAAAGACCCTAGTTTTTCAGCAGTCCATTGTCCAATACAGTGGCTCCCAACCTTGCTACCCTGGTAGTACATGTTATGGCACAGACTAAAAAAAAGATATCTCAAAACACCAAAAGCAACAAACAATCAGTTAGACCCGATTATACCCTTTTGTATTCACTGGCTCAGAAACAATTTAAACGCATCAAGCTGACGAGGTAATCAAATTTTGCAACTATATTATGGTTGCTATATAAGAAAATCAATGTTTTCTTTCGTTTTCTTTTCTAAGATTAAAACTTAAATGGATCTAAGCATCACGATAATATACGTATGTTACTTTGTCGAAATTTTTTGTGCAAATGTTTTTGTCATCTACTGATATTTATCAATAGCAGGACAAATATTAACTTAACATACTTATACTTTTTGCTAAGCTGTGTTGTGTATTAGAAAATTTTTTCAACTTCTTTAGATTGGTGATGAATCCCATGGTGTTCGTCATATTTCTGATATGTTGACGATAACAAGAATATATAATTGTTTGATGGGAATTTCCGGGATGAAACGATTACTTCAACTTGCTGTTGATTATTCCTGCAGAAGAACTGCCTTCGGATCAAAATTATGTGACAATACACTTCATGTTCAAACACTTGCAAGGTAATATTTAGGTTGACGATTTTTCATTAATGTGGTAAAGCCAGATACAACAGCACTAAATTTATCCTCAGATATTATGCTCTTAGATAGTAAAGTAAAAGTGATGCATATTTTCAATATGTTTTAGATTATATTTATTATTATGCACAATCTAATGCTAAACAGCAGGGGGCTAATACAGGGCGGTCGCTAAAAAAGCAGAAAATTTGAAAGTCCGATTAGATCATAAATAAAGTGCATATAGGTACAAGTTAATTGGAACGATATCCCACAAGTTAACCCTCAAAACACTATACAAGTTTGGACTTCCAGGTTGAGACACTGCTCTGAAATGCATGGTCGACATTTCGAGCATCTATGAGTGTAATAAAACATACGCCTTTAAAAACTTCATAAAAGGTATTCTTTGTAGAAATGAATGGCTGTTTGACAAATTTTCTGTTTTTCTTTGGACTTTTACTCAAATCAGTGATGAAAAATGTTGCCCGATAAATGACGCTATTTTTTTTTTTTATAATTTTTTTACCACCTGTTTTGTATCACAGAATTGATATTGAAACAAGAGCAGCGTTTTTGATGACATTTGAAATAATTCGATTGCTTGGACTTGAAGAAGCAGGAATCGCAACAAATCAAGATTTGGCTTTGATAAGGATCCTTACACCAGTGTGCAAATTATACACAGCAAAGCAGGTAAGGATAGTTTTTGTGTATTAGAAATACACAGGATAGTTTTTGTCGATATTAGAAAGTGTTTAGGTGTTTTCAATATGAAATGACTGGCTTGGTGGTTGGCACATTAGGTCAAGCATCGTGAACACGTTGCATATGATTACTATAGGAAGGTTCGAATCCCATTTTACTAGAGCAGTGAATTTTGAACTTACGGTATATGTCACCCCCTTACAGCACTCTATACATCAGGGGTCGGCAACCCACGGCCCATGGGCCGGATCCGACCCGCGAGGCTTCATTGAATTATAGCAACAAAACAGCCGTTTCGGCGATTAAATTCTTTAGACTAAATTGTATTATAACCTAACAAGTATATAATTCACAATTATTTGTTCAATGAGCATATAATTAGATTATAACTAGACAAATGGCAACAAAACGCAGAAAAGTTGATACTAAGTGCAAAGGGTTTGATAGCGATGAAAATATTCAAATGGAATTTTATGAGATGCAATGAGGAAATAAATCTATATTCTATTTAAAAGATGTATCACTGCTTGATTTTTATTATAAAATATATCATCCGGGTTTTATCTTTCTAAAAATATGTGCGGCCCGCCAATGACTCGCAACCCTTAATTTTGGCCCGCGAGCGACAAAAGGTTGCTGACCCCTGCTATACATGATCACCTATGGCCACCTATACAATACAACGACTGGCAATACAAAAATGTGTGAAGTTCCAATTATAGGGCTGTCCAAAATCGAATAATTTTTTGATTCGAATCGAAACGAATATTTTTGCCGAATCGAACCGAATATTATTGCGCAATCCTAAATCTTGTCTCTATTATACAATAAACGCCTGCCCCTCGATGTTGTGGTAACGTATGTGCAGTTACATCTTACTTACCGGTACTGCTGGTTTTTTGTAATAGAATGTTTTCAGAGGTCACACGCTTGTATGAACTGGTCAAAAAAGTTGGAGGACTCCAAAATTTGGGTCTCAAACTGTTGAGTGTTAAGAGTAGAAATTGCACAATTCAAAAATTGCAATCTGATGACAATATTATTTGATGACTATAATATTGTTAGTGTACAACAGCCATCAAAATTCAAGAGTGCAATTATTGGTCTTGGTATATGGATGGATAATACAGTATTGCCATCAAAAGAAATTACAAATTCTATTGAAAGAAGGTATTGCCATCATAAGGATCCCAAAAGACGTGTTTTAGCTTTGAGTGGCCTGTACCATGTTCTTATGATAACTAATTCAACAGCTTCAAATCATTCTATTTATAGAACTATCGTTTTTAAATTGCCTTCTAAATTGCCTTTTTCTCTATGTTCTCTCTCAAAAACGTCATTACCGATTATACCTTTTAAGTTATGATGACCATGCATGAAAAGGCTGATTACGTGCCATACGGGCGGGTATTAGGAATGACATGTTTATCACAAAACGAAGGCGAGAGAAATATCGGCAAATCAATTAAGCCGGGAGCGAGAGTGGTCTAAGCTCAAAGCGCTGCCGTTTGTCCGATGAAAAACGTCCTGCAAAGGTGGTTTCCGCTTTCTGTACCCAATTTTAGCGATTTAGCGAAAGCCAAAAAACGATTCGAATAATTTGCGATTCGATTCGATTTCGAATATTTGGTTCGCTTGGACAGCCCTAGTTTCAAAACACACTTGAAGTTCAGTGATCACTGATGTTGCCAATATTCAAAATTGTTAAGGAGAACAATTGAAATCTTAGTGAAATTATTGGAAACTTGATGCAGTCGCGTGTATAATGTTAGCTTTTCAAGAAAAATTAACTTTTATTTTTACCTCTTATTACTTATCGATTTTAATCGGTAAGTATGTTGATAGGTATTTGTCTGTCTGTTTGTAATTTGATGCACGCGATATCTCACGAAAGCGAGAATTGAATCTGCTCCAGATTTTGCATGTGCATTCATCTTATCTCGGACCAGACGCTTATTGATTTTGGGCGAATTATGTCGTATAATTAGCGAGTTATTAATTAATTAGTGATGGGACACAAGGTGTCACTATGGAGTAAGAGCGCTGGTTTGGGGGATCCCCTAAGTTAGGTCTTGGTCTCTGACCGATATTCTGGTTTTTTGTTTTGTTGTTGTATGAGTCGTTAAAGCTGTACTTTTGTCAGTTTTAGCCATTCTCAGAATAACTCTATTGGATCGACTAATGGTCCCTAAACTTTTTATTTTGCGGACTTCTTGATAGTTCTGCTAGTGGGTCCACATACCCCACTTTGCAAATCTCTGGGATAGACCATTTTGGAGGTTGAAATTACCTATCTTTCAGAATATCAAAAAGGCAAAATAATTCTAAATAGCTTGTATGAAACAGATTTGAATAAGTAAAACATTCAAGTTCGGAATAAGATTTTTATTGCAGGTAATAATTATGTACCGTATCTGTTTTAAGGGTATACATAATTACATATCATATATGACGTATACATAAGAAAGTGATTAATAAAGTCAAGCAAGATATGGTACGATATGGTGTAAAAAATATGAAAATCATGAAAAGATTTACAATACAGATTTTGGAAAAAATGTGATATACGGTAGTTTATTTTTATAATTAATGTTAGTCTATTATGCGATATCATCAATATGAAGTTGTTTAAACTCCCATTATGAACACTTCACTTTACAGTTTGGCTTTGATAAACCTTTTTTCAAATGCTTCTTTTATCACTGGATTGATATCCTTGTGCAAAAAGACATAGTAACACGAATACTTTCCTTTCTCATATTTTTCCTTTGATTCGTTAACACACTTCAATCCTGATTTATAATTATAATGCTTATGAACAACTTCATGAACATAGTTCAGTTTTTTCGCGAATTGCAAAGCTTCTGGAAACGTATCTATATATGGCATATAGTGGAATGGTGGAATTCTAAAGGGAGACCCATCAGATTCAGTATACTTCTTGAGCCCGAAGTCGTATGCGAGTTTTGTCATAAATGAGATGTACTTGAATCCATAATTCTGGTATTTGTACTCCACATTTCTTGCATGGCGTGCTAATCGCCAAGCGACCGTTCCGAGGTTCGCTGCTATTTCACGAATTGGTTTATCAACAGCTAAGTCTAGCCATTGATCTCTTCTAAAAAAGTAAGAGAGTAATTCTTAAATATTTGACCATAAAAGTTGTACTGTTATTGTGGGTATAATATCGCATTTTGCACAATTTCATTTTTCAGTATAATTGTTTAAGAAAATATAGCAGTTGTTTGTCTTAACCAAGTCGCTGATATTAAACAACATGGGTCCAAATCTCATTAAGGGGTGTAATAAATTGGGCGCTCTAGAAGTGTGTGTACTAATATGGAGGTAACTAATTTTGTTTGCCTACTTTACATCAAGTTGTGCAAAGGGACTGAAACCTATGGTCAGGGGGTATATTCACTTGGGTAACACAGACAGTCTCCGAACTAGTAATAGAACTAAATAAGGAAAATCGGAATAAAATTATGATTAAACCCTAACCTGGTACACACACTACGGCCTACGGGAGTACCATAAATTGGGTAAACCAGAAAGCCGAATATCAGTAGCAGCTTACACATCATTAGATATCATTGGTTATTTTTATGGGGCCTTTTTTGAAATGAAAGATATGGATAGGCGTCGTGTAAAAATTATATAGGAGCATTCATAATAAGTTTCTCCTTACTTTATCATTGCTTCAGCACCTTCCCTGTATATCATTTTTATTTCCGTATCATCGGCTTCCTTAGTAGGAGTTGTATCAAATTCATACAATCCTGTATACACAGTTTTCCAAATTTCCTTCCCACTTGTGTTTTCTTTTTTCTTCAAAGCCATGAGAATTGCTTTACCCTGTTTCAGTGATTCCTGAATGGTTTTCAGTTATCAAGAAATTGGGAAAATTTGTATTAGCAAAATAACAACGACCCAGCGGTTAATGCATCAACTAATTGTAGATTGCACATTCTGGGTTAACATCCCATGCCCCCCACCTCACTTGGGGTAAAATAAAATTTGTTAGTGTATGGCTGGGGTGCAAAACCTTTTTGCTATTGGTGGCCACATTTCATTTATTTGTATTCAATACGGCCTCCAGGGGTTTTCGCATTTTAAACAGATTTTTCTTTTCGGTGGACTTCTTCTTGAGCAGATATATTGCAGCAAGTTGCATAATGGTTGCACAATTTTGAAAAAAATCGAAAGTCGGGGAGGGGCGATCGCCCAGATTGTGACGCATCGTGTCATCTGACTTTTTTGCAGTGCTTCTGTTTTGCTTCAATATACGCAAGCATAGCCGCCAAATCCTATATTTTAATTTTAAACTTTTTTTTTATAGGATTTTGCATGTGGACGGCCGCATTATTTTTTCACAACGGCCGCAGGTTGTGCACCGTTGGTCTATGATAAACCCGAAAAATTTCTCCCAAATAGGAAGCAGCTCCTTATCAGTGGCTCCTTATCAGTGGCTGCTTAATCAAGATTTGTTCAGACCCGAAGGCCTGAATGTGGTTCATATAAAAACAATTATGTAGAAATTAAATTTATCTTTCAATTTGATTTGATCGTCCAATTTTTATTATACCTCATGCGCATATCTAATATACGCTGGCAAAAACAATTTCCGTTTCTCTTTGTCTGGTAAATATCTGTATGATATTGCAGAATTATAGAATGCTTTCCCAGCTATTTTATAAAAGTCTTCACGTTCTTCTTTCGTCGTGCAGAGATCAACTCGTAAGCTGGAATAAAATAATAGTTTTTTCTACATTAATGTGCGAAAAGATTGCTAGGCTCCTCGCTTTCATAGGCTGTTCACATAAACGCTGGTTGGTTATGGTTTCTTCAAAGAGTGCATTCAAAACAAATAACTAATTAATCTGGACATAGACTGATAACCGTACAAGAAGCTGTAGTTCGCAATATGATAACAACGATATGGCTAACAAATTCTATACCCAACAGAACGAGAGACTTGATACGCCCGCCGTATGATTAAGCCGTCTTATCGTTTTTTTTTTCTCAACCTGGATGAATATGAAATCCTACGGAGCAAACAAAATGCTGAAGTACTTTAACAGATTTCTGAAATACTTCCATAAACACTCTGTAAAGAATAGGATTTTGCTACTCTATTCAAAAAAGTTATGGAGAAAAAATTATGTTTTAGAATAATGTTTTGTATAGTAAATTCCTACTTATTATCTTTACTTACTCTTTATCGATAGATTGATGTACCACCATATTTGTCGGAAATTTCAATCTTTTAGTGCCTTGCTAAATATATTTCAAATTGTTTTCTAAGTTTTTTAAAAAGAATGAAATATTAACAATATAATGTTGGTATTCCTGAAGGATGCATACCAAGATGGCGGACACCGGAACATAGTATGTGTACCAGGTTAGGGTTAGACCATAATTTTAGGTACAAATACTACAGGAGTCTCTTGGCCAGTCTCTGAACTAGTAATAGAACTAAAATGAGCAAAATTGGAATAAAATTATGGCCTAACCCTAACCTGGTACACATACTACATTCCGGTGTCCATCATCTTGGTACGCATACTTCAGGAGCACCATAACGTTATATTAAACACATCTTAGTTGAATTGTATTTACTGAAATTTTTTGTCAAACATAATCCCTTCACTGCGAAAGTCAAACCTGAATGATTTTCTCTACATTTCTGTGAATTTATTCACACAGAACACTTGCATTAAGAATGACATAACTACCATTACTTACTGACATAACTTCTTCTTCTGCAGTTACAGCTTGTTTCCTAATCAATAACCAATTACTCAAATCTCACTGATCATTGGTGTAATTCATCATTCATTAATTTGGACTTTCACCGATGCATGAATAACAAAATTATCACTTTCTTGTTAAAGTCAGATTATTCTGTTCAATATTGCTTGATTTATCAAATCATTCAATAGAAATTGCAATAACCCACGTATATTGAATATAAAGAAAAAGTTACAGAAATTTCACTAAAAAAAATTTTGTGTTCATGACTGGGTAGCTCAAAGCCGACTAATCTAACAATATTCCATTGTGTTAGCACACGACTCAAAGAGCGACTTCTCAAAATCATAAAAGCAAAATCCACTCACTGATTACTCTATTGACCAGTGATCATGTGCAAAAACAAGCGCTGATAATTTTCACAATGCCACGGCCGCAACTCGCCAAGGCCTGGTTAAACTGAACTATGCAGACATCACATCACTAGAGTTTGAAGCTGGTTTTTATCGCCGTCGAGTATACTAAATTGAATGGGCTTCACATATTTAACACATATGCTTGTGTAGGGCTTGGTTCAGAGTGAATGTGTCAATTAGTAGCCTCTCACTACAGGACCACACAGGGTGATCCAAGAAAATCGATACACAAATTATTGGGAACATTTTCTAGAGCAGTGGTTCTCAAACAATGGGGCGCGCCCCACAAGGGGGACGTAGGCCATTTTTGAGGGGGCGTGAAGCTAATTAAAAATAAAAATATTTTTTGATTTGATTTTGCCCGCTTTATTTTGGATATTTACATTGAGGTGGGGTGCGAGACTTCTAAAAAGGGAGCGCGGCTTGAAAAGTTTGAGAACCACTGTTGTAGAGAGAACTTAACTTTTGTGCAAAGTGTCCTGGATTGCTGAGAAATTTTTGAGCACAATCTTACACAAATATAAATTTACTCTTTTTAATATTTTTTAATTTTACATTTCTAACAAATAATTTGCAAATTGGAAAAACAGTATGAATAAATCTAAAAATGCAATTTTAATCAATTTAATCCAAATTTTCCAGGCATTAGATGTTTCAACGGAAGGTTTGGAATGCTTTGGTGGTATGGGTTATCTGGAGGACTCAGGTCTTCCAAGGCATTTGCGGGATGCTCAAGTATTAAGTATATGGGAAGGCACAACTAATATTCTATCAATGGACGTGCTACGAGCAATAGAAAAATCCGATGGCAAGGTACGTATAATATTCTCTGTGTTTCTATGAAATTATATGTCAGGATGTAATCATATAACATACAGAAGTTATAAACAATATTGATTTGTTGTAAATATGTCTGTAGACTGTAGTCAATGATTTTCTTCTGATTATCTAATGTTTATTGAACTAATGATTATCTGTGAGATCATAGTTTATGTGAATCATGAAAAATTAAATTATGAATTTGATGGAAAATTACCACTTTTGCGAATAAAAAAGGCAATTATATATAAGGCAAGTATTATAAGTTCAGTTAAAAAAGCTTTGATACATCGCATTTAAAATCTTGTTTATACTATATTTTTTAACTGTAGCATATATTTCTTACCTTGTAGTTTCTTAAAGAAAAAAATGAAACTGAATTAATAACCTTAAATAGTTATGACAGGTTATGATACCTATTTTCACAAAGCAAGGTTATAGGAAATTATATAAAATTAAATCACTCTTTCAGTATTTTTCGGGTATTGGTTTACGGTGAATAGGTGTTGTTTAACTGAATGATTTTTAAATTCATCTCTGCATTTTTGTTTTTTTCGTTAGTCTTTTTACAGCCCTTATTGATTATTAATATTTCAATCTATCATGTGTATGTAGGTGTTGACAGATTTCTTTTCAAGAGTGGAAAAAATAGTAAACTCTGTGAAAAACTCAGAGAAATCGTATTTGTCGGAACCCATCAAAAATGTAGAATCTGCAATTAAAGATTTATCAGCATTTGTACTTGAAATGGTAATATTTTTTTATGCAAAACTACAAGGTATTCCTGTAATGTTTGTACCAGGTTAGGGTTAGGCCATAATTTTATTAAGATTTTAGTTTTATTACGAGTTCGGAGACTGTCTGTGTTAGCCAAGTGAACCCCTTGTCCATAGGCTTCAGTCCTTTTACACAACTTGATGTAAAGTAGGCGAACCAAATTAGTCACCTCCATATTGGTACACATACTTCTGTAGCGCTGTTTTTTTCATTGGTTCGAAAATAGGGTATTTTTTATTGATGCTGTATTGTATTGTACTCTAGACTTGTATTATCATCCTTGTCTTCATATCTCAAATACAATATTTACACAGCAGAAAAAAGCTGACCAATCTGAGATAGTAGTTGCAGCGAGAGATATGTCATACAGTATATCAAAAATTTTTATGGCAGCACTACTTCTGGAGCATGCAATCTGGGAAAGATCTGACAAAACGGATATATATGCTGCAAAACGGTATTTCAAGTCTTTCTCATTGCATAAAGCAATTAGCTTATTGCAAATCTGTCTAGTTTCAATAAGAAAATAGATGTTTTGTTAGTGGAACAGTCAGTCTAGTACAGACTTTTTCCAACTGGGGTTCACGGACCCCTTCGGGTCCATGATGACTGCACAGGGGTCCACAATGATATGATAAGTCTGATCGATCTTTAATGATTGATTTCAATCAGATTGCATCTTTTTGGTTGAGCGTTGTGAACAAATATCTATCGCTGTCAGAAAAGGCAATTGAAATTCTAACAACCTAGATGTTTGAGGCACTATTTTCAGCTCTTACCAATATAATGACAAATTACAAGTCGAGACTTGCCGTGGAGTCCGATCTCCGAGAATCGATAAGTTGTGCAGTGAAAAGCAACCTCATCCATCACATTAATCCTGTTTGTGTTGTTGTGTTATAAATGAAACAATATACTTCCTTATTGGTTAGGCACAGAAGTTGATACGACATAGGATGGGGTCCGTCAAAACTAAGATTCACAAATAGGGGTCCACGGCCCAATGAGTTTGGGAAACCCTGGCCTAGTAGACCCAGTGCTACCATGACATTATTTCAAATTGTTAAATTTTTTTCAGGTGGTGCTCTCAAGATTTGTGTCCTGTTATGACAAATTACAAATCTGGATTCTATGATAAAGATTCTTCTGGCGTTGAAAAACTTCTTGTTTATGCTTCCTATCCCGAAGACATTTAATTCCATGACAATTTATTCCAATTGTAACAGCATGTAATTTTTACGATTGTTTTTTTGTGTGTATTTTGTTATGATTCTGCTTAATCAGTGGCATGCCAAACTTCTCGGCTGCCCTGGGCGAGTTTCTGATAATGCTGCCCTTTATACCTAACTTAAAAATTAATTTGGAGATAAACAAATTCTATATGTTGTTATACATGGGTATAAATAATCGGCCAATGTAGAGTAAAATGCTCATAATATTATTATTTAAATCATCATACTAAGCAGCAAATTCACCCCTATAACGTCATGCGCGAGGCGGCTGCCCCTTTACCCCTCCCCCTCAAGACACATACGCCACTGTGCTTACTGAATATAATTGGATTTGAATTAGATCTATGAATCGCTTTGTTAACTTTTTCTTAAACAAAAAATGCTTTTCTTTAGCAACCTCTACCTCCTTATCATGCAGTGTTTTTGAATAATACCAGTGTTATCTTCTTTTACACAATTTCATATATGCTTCAAGAGAAGAAAGATAACAGCCAGTTTAATCAATTGTGGGCCAAGGTCATTCATCCAGTCATGTTTCAGAGTTGGTGTGAGATAGTTATCAGTTGAATTTGTTTGTGAATGGCGCCCAAAGGGATTAGTGGTTTCATTAATCTCTCTGCAACGTTCTTTGAATCGCCAGCAACGTGAATTTCAAAATCTGAGCAGTTTGCTCCCACTTGTGACAGAGAAGATGCATATACTACCAGACCGGTTAAAAATCATTTTTGTCCATGTGTGGTATTCGTATATCTATTTTCTGTATATTGGCAAAGCTCACATTAGTTTGGTACTTATATTTTCTTAGTATTTGTAAAAATTCAGGGAATAATTTAACTAGTAATTTTTCATGTATGTCATAATTTCACCATGCCCTTACTATTGTACTATTGATCTTTTTTTTGTAATAATCGAAAGTATGGAAATTGACTGTCTGCTTGGCTTCCAAGTTCTGCTATTCTATGACTCCAAAGAGTTATTAACAGAATTTTCATAACTTTCTTTTCTTTCTGTTCAATGCGGAGATAATTATGTGATTTTGATGCTGGATGTAACTACAGGAATGAGCATTTTTTGGTCGACGGAGCACCAGTCAGTCAATTATATTTTGGTTGCTCTGGTATAAAACAGACAAACAAAATGCAGGGGAAGGTGAGCATAACTTGGGATGAAGTTGAAAACGCAAAAATATAGGCACACAGTAAAGTGTAAATGAACGATATAAAATCGGGCGAGTTCCTATTCAATAATTTCTAAATCAATTCGGGATGTGAAAACGCCGGACAAAAATTTTACAAAATAGCATTGGATAAATTTATACTTGGCCACGGTCGTCACGGGGTGCGATATTTTTATTAAATGAAGATACATGGTTTTTGACATCTATATGTCAAAGGGTAGGGCCACCCCTTTATAAAATGTAATAGTGACTGCGATATTTATTTACACTTTTCATCAGGCCAATTCGGTTTTGGTTCTACACAAGGACAACGTTCAAGACTAATCTAAATGATACTTTAATTTATCTAGCTGATGCCAAAGCCAGTTTATAACAGACAAATACATAATTACGGAGTGCAAATATGCTCCTGACATCAACGGAAAATCTGAAGATATTGAAGACTACGTTGATATGTTTTAATTAGCTTCACGCCCGTCGTTTGATAACCGCTGTTCTAGTAAATGCACGGATAGTAATTATCAGAGATCGCCACCGCATCTCTTATTACCCTTCGTGGGTTCGCAGGTTCGATTCCCATGCGGGGATGATTATGTGCGAAAGGATTGGACTCCTCGCCGCCGTAGGGTGGTTCACGTAATGTTAACCAGTCCTGAAAATTAAAAGCGGTAATCGGCTTAGGCGAAATTGCTGTATCACGAATCCAGATATTCTTTTTTTTCTAAAAGAGTCGTAAATTTGGCCTGACGAGGGTCCTGGGCCGCTCTCCATCCACCTCTATAACGAAAACTTCTAAAATTTGTCTTCTTGGTGAGCAATTACAAAATTTTCAAAATGCAGACTAAAGTAGGCTAGAATTTGGTACGGTATATGTGCCTTCCTAATAAAATTTGTATGAATACTTGCTATGGCGGGAGAGTTTGAAGAGTCTAACTAAACTCAATTGCTCGGACTTTCTCAAGGCGAGTGATATCATCACATACTGCGGTTTCAGCATCATATCTCCTTTAAAATGAAGAAGCAACATTTGTATGACAATCAACATTGTTGGGCTTCAAAGACTAGATCGTATAAATCGTTAGGAAATTTTTAAGTCTATCAGATGACCTCGACTTGATTCGTGGTTTGATAATTACCAAACATTGAACTGCGCGGTATGGGTGAGATATCATACTGATTTTACCACTGAGATACTTGGTGAAACGCATGTCTGTGACGTATGTGCATAATGACACGAAGGGTAAAGACTGACAGAGAAATTCCAAGGAGATGTTATTTTTCGCGTCCGAAAAGAATAATTTCAATAAAAAGTGACTAAGGATTAACAAGATAATAAATGATGTTAGGTTGAAGGACATATAGGGTGTCCATAAAGTCATGAACTTTTTGAAAATTGCAGAGGGAATTTATCAATGCAATTGATAGATTTTTCCATCACAGATGTATAAAATACTTGAACAATTATTGATAAAAAACAAAAAACTTGGTTAAGATATATTAAGAACTGACTTTAAAAAAACAAAATTGAAATTATAATGAACACCCTGTATTGTTTCAATAGTTATGAGAAAAGCAAAAAATATTGTTGCGTTAAAGTGTCATATTTGTATATGTGTACCTACTCAATTACAAACATGAAGTGGAGTTCTGTAGAGTGTAGACCAGTGATTCTCAAACTAGGGTTTGAGAGCCGCATGCGGCTCTCAACAACCTTTCCTGCGGCTCTTGTTGATGCTTTAAAAATCAAGTACTTTCAAAAAAAAAATTTCATTGAAAACTAATCATTGACTTGAAATTAAAATACGGAAGTCTATTAGTTAGTCGAATAGATTCCCCCACGTTTATTTGCGTATCGTTGACTAATCTACAAGATGCAACAGTGAACGTTTTCGAGGCCACTCGGACACTTTTCACTTGGGAAGATTTTAGACATGGTTGTAATCATTGGCTTGCTTTCGTGGATTTAGAGTTTTTGTCGCATTTGCAAATATTATGTATAAATCAAATAACTCAATGATTATTTTTTTCCAGAGCGTTTTAATTTTGTTCCAGTAATCCAGTAAAATAGTCCAGAAATATCTGGCGATCATCTCAAGCAGCTACCGCACCTTGCATCCTCCCCGATTTCGACCCGCTTTGACAAACTTATTAGAAATCAGAATCCAATTAAATGGCTGTCAGTCTAGGGTGGGCAAAATCGAATCTTTTTTCGAATCGAATAATTTGAAAAGTTTTAACGAATACCGAATAATGAATATTTTTTATAAATAACAGTAAGGTCTATACTTCATTTGGAAATTAATAGAAACATTGAAAAGTCGGCAATAAAGCGTTTTATTACTGGGTAATGGTTAATTTCGTCATAATCGCTGATTGTCTTTGTCACCGCGATCGTTAGGTGGCGATATCCTAAAGTTGGTATTCTATATTCTCGCCCTTTCTCGTTTTTTGCAAGAATAAGGGGTCACCGGATATCGAAGTTTTATATTTCTAGCATACCCTCACGTTTAAATTAGCGACAGCTGTTAAATACATTAAGGGCTGATGTCAAAACCAAATTAATTTTATTCTGAGTTTTATCCTCTGTCTTGGATTTGATCATCCTTATAACCGCTTGTAAAATAACCGTACCTGTTTAAAATGAACGGTAACCGAGTTGCAGATATTTATTAAAATGATAACTTGAGTTTCTCATGCTTTTCTATGGTGTTCGTGTTATTTTAGTATTACATAGATAAGCCTAGCAAATTTACGATTGCGTGAATCCTGAATGTTGATTTGAAATAGAGATTAAAAAATTGGCAACAAAGGCCTTTTTAGGCCTTTGTGCCTAATACGGGGTCAGACGCTAATTATAACTAATTCCTTCAAGTTTTAACGTTTTTTCTTCAACAAAACAATAACTCGACGGTTATTATAGCTAAATTACTTACTGAGTAATGCTCAATTTTCGTTACAGAATTTGCAAATTCAGCACTTCACCTAATGAATTTGATTATGTTATGCTTTAAGGCTTAAGCATTACTGCCAAAATGCTTCAAAATTTAACAATTGTAATCATTTTCGATGATAATAGACGCAACAAATCGTGAACGAGTCAGTGCGCATTGTTACAACGAAATTCACGATTGATTTTACGTTCTACTCTTGGCTCAACGGCCATTCATGGTCGAGTAAAATGTTTACATATTTGAAACATTACTTGGCCAAGGATGGAAGGGATCACTAAATAGCTAATACAAAGTGCTTTGAATGGAGTAGGACATGACATTTCTTATCTGGTTACAACTTAATAAGTGTTTTTCATACAAGTAACTCATACCAGCTTTTGGAAAAACTTTCGGTCATTTTTAAATCCATGCTATTTATATAACTAGAGTTTTCTAACGACCTAAAATAGGCTTTTTCACAATGAAACGCCGAAAGGTAATTTCAACATTTAATTTTAATCAACTTTATGTTCGGTAAAGTAAGAAATGACTAATGACAGGTCACCAAGAATGCGGATTTTAAAATCTGAGAAATTGATTTTATATACCTAATCTAGTTTGACGTTTCTAAATTTACGGAACGGTCGGTACGTTTTTTGCAAAATATGGAATTGAAACGATACGTTAAGTGCAATGATAAGCATATAACACCATAACGCAAAGTAACGACTTTTCAAATTGAATTGAGCAAACCGGTACCCATGGATCACGTTCGTTGATCATCTGACGTGGAGTGAATATATGGATCGGCGAAGCAAGCGCCGACCTAAAACCCGGTTACAGAGTGATAAGCTGCCATCTAAAAATAGTAGAAAAATCCAATTAAAGAGTAACGCTGGAACGACACGTATTTTTTATATATACGGCCGACCATTAGCCATGGATAAATCGAGTGTAATTACTGAAATTTATCTACGATCATGCATGATCCGAATAAAAATTTCAAAATTCCACTTTTTCTAAGGTCCGACCCTTCAATTTTGTCTATTTTCGTTTATTTTGGGAAGTCGGAGGGAGCTTCATATTTTAGATATCTGCGTAATCCAATTAATGACGACACGAAATTGATACGAGACAGTAATTCGCGGGATTCAAACTTTGGTCATCAAAAACAAAATAAAGGTATATCAACCGCCTTTACCAACTAGGCCAAGGAGGAGCGCGATAGTGAGGTTTTAAGTTCTAATATTTATCAGTCATCTTAAATGACTTCATAATTTTTTTTTCCAAAGTCGTTTGAGATGATAGATAAATATTAGAACTCCCGCCAAAAGGAAGTTTTAAGACACTTCTTACACCTATGCCCCGCATTTCTTATCCGCACCTAACAAAACCCACTTCCCGACAACCGGTAATCATGGAGAACGGATATTTCTTCAATAATTTTAATATTCTTTTTAAGTAAGAGAATAAAGAGACAAAAATATACGAGAGCTTTGCTTACCTGGGTCAGCTTTCCAAACAAGTCGATTTTTAAAGGCGATCTGAGTGGATTTTGATATATTAATGGGAATGCAGAGACAGATTGTTTAAAGAAAGCAACATTGAGATATTTAGCTTTTCTGCCACGATCAGACGCGAATTGAAGAATTGTGAATTCCTGTGCTCCGTGGCATATTTAGGCATGAGGGACACTGTGCCTGCCCCCGGCCATGGGCCCATTTCGATAAGAACGCACAATGGGCGGAACCTCATTTTTGTAACAAACTTACTTTGTAGTAATAACTTAAAAGTATCCCAAAGCAACAAACAGTAAAAATTTCAGTAAACGATCAAAGGGGCGCATTTTAAACTTTCCAAGGTAAAAGAATGGTAATGGAAAAATTAGAATATTCGATCTATATAATTTAGGACTATCAAGCCATTTATTTCTGTCTCCGTGTTGTCAATCTTTTCTTTGACCTTCAATCTAGAACGCAACTTAATTATAAGAATAGATTTAACGCAGGACATGACACTGCAGATGAGAAGTAGATTTTGATTATTCAAAAAGTTAAAAATACATATAAAATTTGTTTAACTTATACAACATGAGAGCGATGCTCAAATATATGGACACGAAAACCATCACGAAGAAGTAAGGGTATGCAATCTATCACGGTAGACTACCATACTGTTTCACCACTAGATTGTTAACGCTCTAGCGAACCCCCCATTATGTGCGCAACTTCAATTTTGGGGACGTGACGGCATCCAATTTTGGGGACGTAACGTCATCTAATGTTAATGACGTCAACGGCATCGCACAAATGAATAACACACAGTACACAGAAATTTTTGAAATAAATAGAAGTAATTGCCTTCCAGCTTTTAAAAATAATTTAATTTAAATTAAGTTCATACTTTAATAATGTACTATGACCCCATGATTGTGTTTTTTGTATGTGTCTTTATGGTCTGAAATTACGATCGTGTTTTTTAAAATTTGATTTAAACCTCATAACGCCAGTAATACATTATGTAGATTGCACCAAATTGCTCTCTCAGTTTTATCAAAAGCACTCAGTAATGTCAAAGGAGGTCTATCATAGTGTTGTTTCGAAAGAAGACGTAACATGTCTTTTTATCTTGAAGAAATGATCAAATCTGTAAACAAGAGAAAAACAACAATCCAAGCATCCAAGGGTGTATTAAGGACATAACATAATTCAACCCAACATTTCTATATAATTCTGATATTCGCTCAATAGAGTTGTAGCCCACGCCCCTTCGCGTCACGTCCTAAAACATAAATATTTGACGATTGAAATCGTGCAAGTGAGATAAACAGTTGAGAAATCTGTATCTGCGTGATTCTTAAGTCCCGGTACTCATATTTTGTTAGTATTTGTAAAAATTCTGGGAACAATTTAACTAATATTCACCTTCATAATTTTACCATGGAATGTATTGTTGATTTTTTTTTTGTGATAATCAAAAGTATAGAAAATGATTGTCTTCAAGTTCTGCTATTCTGTGATTACCAAGAGTTATTAACATAATTTTAGAAGATTTGTTTAATGCAGAAGAAATTATGTAATTTGGATGCTGGGTGTAACTATAGGAATGAGCATTTCTTGGTCGACAGAGCGCCAGTCATTCAATCAATTATATTCTGGTTGCTGTGGAATAAAACAGCAGCAAACGGACAAACAAAATGCAAAGGAAGGCGAGCACAATTTGGAATAAGGCTGAAAACGTACAAAGACGAGACGCCCACCATATAGACATACTGTAAAATAAACACGAACGATATAAATCAAGCGAGCTCCTAACCAATAACTTCCAAAATTCAAGATGTGAAAACGATGAACAAAATAAGACCAGGCAAAAATTTTAGAAACTAGCATTCGATAAATTTGTATGTGGCGATGGTCGTCATGGGGTGTGATTTTTTTTTTTTTAAATGGAGATAAATAATGTTTGAAATTTTTAACATCTATGTGTAAAAAGTTTCGAGAATAATCCAATTTATTTATAAACCGAAAACTCTGTAAGGGACAAGTGTTTACTCTTTATGACGTAATAAAACCAAAGAGTTTTCGCTGGGAGTTACCGCTTGCCATATAGCTGTGGAAAAATTGCTGAACTCGTCGTCATCGGATGGTTTCCTGAACTGTCGATCGGTTATTGTGTAGTTATTGCCTCCTCCTCTGAAAGTAATAACTGGTTAATTATTTCCACCAAACGTCCTATGGGCTTTTCTATCCAGAGGAGTATCTATCCTAATTAAATTATTACACCCATAAATTTTAAAATGGTAAATGGCTTGGTACTACTTTAATGAAGCTAACTAACATCCTGATGAGTTTCCGCATATTGTCTTTAAAATAGATCAAATTTCTCGTTCACTATTTCAAGTGGAAACGATGATACACCCCATATGGAATACATGAATCCTTATCACTTACTAATAAAATATTAACATAGGGTTACAGCAACAGAACGGCGATATTATCTCTACAATGTATCATTTACTATTGCTGGTTGTTCTCTTTTCTAGTGTGGAATACTGCAAAGCACATTGCTGGTATGTATAATTGTACGCATATATATATAGTCTATATCTATACAAATGCGATGAATAAAGTTAAACTTAATTTAATAACTATGTGCCTAGCCGTTTTTCAAATATTAATAAATGAAAATAAGCTGCGACCCATAAACCTCAAAGTAAGGTCCCAATAGGAATCTAAGCCAAATTATGATGTAATTGTATATATATATACATGCTGAGTATCACTAACCCGGGTAATGCGGTAATTCAAGAAATTGAGTTACTTGATGATGTCCAATAAACTGCAAAAAAATCAAATTACATATGTTTTTCTATATGTGAAGTTAAGATAGAACTCAGTAAATTTCTTACTTTTAGAATAATTTAACTCCATGAGGTTCCATTTTCGCACCGAGATGCTTTTTTCGTGCCTTTAACTAGAAATTCTATTTACTCTTTCACGAATAAAAATGCTTGAAATTAAGTTAATCTATGTTAAAATGTAATATTGACTGCGATATTTATTTACACTTTTTAACAGGCCAATTCGGTTTTGGTTCCACACAAGGACAACGTTCAAGGGGCCGCCAAATTCTGGATGGCCGATATTCAAGAGTAAGAACTACTAACCTAAATTAAATTTTAACTTATCTAACTGATGCCAGAGTCAGTTTATAACAGCCAAATACATAATTACAGGGTGCATATTTGCTCATGACGTCCAAAAAGAATCTGAAGATATAAAGGACTACGTTGATATGTTTCAATAATGTAATTTTTTGTATGTATGATTGTGGTCTGAAATTACGATGGTATTTTTTAATATTTGATTTAAACCGTATACCGCAAGTAATACATTATGTTATGCATCGAATTGCTCTCAGTTTTTTTAAAAAAACATTTAGTACTTTCCAAGAAGGTCCGTGTTAGTGTTGTCAGTGTTGTTTCGAAAAAAGACGAAACATGGTCTTTTTATCTCGAAGAAATGATCAAATCTGCGAAGAAAAGACAAACAACAATTCAAGCATCCAAGGATGTATTAGGGATCAATCCAACATTTATATAATTCTGATATTCGCTCAATAAGGTTGTAGCCCACGCCCCTTCGCGTCACGTCCTGAAACAAAAATATGTGACGAACGAAATCGTGCAAGTGAGGTAAAGAGTTGATAAATCTGTATCTGAGTGATTCTTAAGTCCCTGAAAGCAAGCTTGTTCGGGGACATCTTACAAAGACAAGGACGGACAATCAAATTAGTCCATTTGATCGTAACACATTAATATCATAACATAATTATGCCGCTATAATTCGATTCAGGAAATCACGACCTAAATCGTGTATATTATTTTCCGTATAATCGCGATAATGTTTCGGATAAAGCGTCTCAGCACTGGAATTGCTATGCATTCATTATTCACCGCGAGGAACACAATATGATATCACAATAATAATAAAAAACATACCCGATTACATATGGACGCAAATCAGCCGCGAATTGGTGTTCCTACTGCTCAAGTCTGGGCAAAGTAAATCATGTACCGATTCCTTGGCTAAGCTGCAATGTAGGACGGAAATGAAATGATGACAACCATCCGATGTGTACCGTGGATTAGTAACACGGTCTACACTTTTCATATAAGATTTAAACCATGTAGGCCTTTTGTGTTTGTTGCTCAGCTCAATGCATATCGGATAAAATGGAATATGATTGTGTAGTATGTGCCCTTCCACTTATATTGGTGATATTTTCTAGCATTTCGAGTGCTCACGACATGTGTCTTGGTGGAAATTCTCCGAAAGAGTGAGTAGTTGAGTTATTTTTGTTGTTTAAAAGTTTCCGTGATACAATCGTTCCAGCAGTTCTGAATTAAAAGTGTGTTGAATTGAAAGCACCTGAAAGTGTATTTCATATAAGGCTAGTGTGTCTGTACTAGGGTTCGAACTTGTATGACTCGTATTCGGAATTAAATTTGTAATAAGTAAGAAAAAATAAACATAAATTTAAGTCATCACATGTGTTCACGAAATAGATTTTACACTCTAGAACAGACCTGGGCAAACTACGGCCCGCGGGCCGGATCCGGCCCGTTGGGTAATTCAATCTGGCCCGCCTGATGCTGTCACAGCCAAACGTAAATCAAATTTTGCTGTTTTAACAAAAAATAACTCAAGGAATTTGTTGGGATTGCAATCAAATTGAGTTTTGGCACGAGGCTTATCGTTCTCTACTTTTGCTTTTGTAACACTGTAACTATTGTCCATGAAATGTAACTTTTACTTCATACTTACATGGCCCGCCAGTCTAAATGGAAAAAAAATTTGTCCTCTGTTCAAAAACCTTGCCCATCCCCTACTGTAAAAAATAATAAACGCATTTTAATTGAATGGTTATTTCTCCTTTGTGCCAACTTTGAAGCTATCCGATGAAAGTTTATGGTCGATATATTGTATTTTTTTTTCGTAGCTGAGCTATGTTGACCAATAGGTATTATACAACAGTCATAGGATTGCATTCAGTTGTGTTTTTCATTTAGCCGCACGAACGAGCAAATGGTCGATGTATGCGGAAAATACAAAACTAACGGATGTTGCGACAGTCAAGCGCTTAGAGGAATAACAGATAAACTCTCCACAGATATGTCCATAGAAGAAATACCCAAAACATGTCTAAGCCTTTTCACGGAAATTTTATGCCAGGTCTGAACTTTTTTGTGAATTGCCACATTATTTTCGTCCAACTTTATTTCATTGTTTGGTCTGACGAAAAATACCGACTGAATAAACTTATAAAGAACTAAACATGGAATTTCAGGAAAGTGAATAAAAAAACGGCTATAGTTGTTTATGTAGCAACGATACCCCACCTAGGTCAAGTCAAACAGAAATTAATACAATAGCAAAAATTAAATTGTACCTAGTAATCACTCGTTCCATATTATTTGTCGCCAATAATTATCTACCGTATAGATCAATTGACAATTTCAAAGATGAAGCATGAATCACTGTGAATATTCTACCAAAGTTTACTCAAAATTCCTATTTTTATCTTTTGTTTGGTTATGACATCAATTTTTATTAAAACAGCTTACATTCTCAGAAATGCTCTCCAAAGTCGGGCCATCTTTTCGAAGGAGAAACGAAAGAAGATAGAAAATTTCCGATACTATGTCAAAGTTTTTGTAGAAAGTTAAACGACAATTGCGCAGAATACATCGTGATGGTTTTTGGGAAAGAAATATGCGACCCTGATGCTTCTGACAAGACGGGAAACTGCTATCCAAAAACAGACTCGCTGGACGAAAAACACGAAGAAGTTAAAGAGAATAAATTTGCAGAAAGTAAGAAATTTGAAAAAATTAGCCGCGATGGTGGACGGAGTGAATTTATGATCGATTCATAGTGAAACTGTTAAATAACATATTACAACATAATATGACGTTGTTCAAACTGCATATCTCTTCGTAAAACTTAACTAAATTAATTATTGTACGATTTAGACATCTGGATGTGTGCAAAATAAAATTTGACGGCTGTACGAAATTTTACGGTCCATCAACAAATAATAAATATTTGAAGTATATTGAAAGATTGATGTAGTTTACAATATGCAAAAAAATGATTACTATTACTCGTTTTTGCAGATTGCATTCCCATTTGTCTCCGGAAAATAACAGACGGTGTGAAAAATGTTGTGGATGGAGCATTTCCGCAAGACAATTCCAACAGGTACATATTAGGGTAGCCATATAGTTCACGCGAAGGAGGAAATTAATCGTCTTTCTAATGTTGCAGACTTTTTGTTGTTCAGCAAAACGGAATCATTTGGGAGTTATCAGCAAAACGAGAGAGATTACAAAAACCATTTCTAAACATTGCTAGCAAAGTACAACAGAGCGGGTACATTGTTTATCATACTTTTTCATTAGTTGGAATATATTACTGTGGTCTAAAGCAGGAATACTCAACTATTTTCACCAAAGGTCCGTACATAAAATTTAAACATTACCGGGGTTCGGGTCATTCCGAGAAATTTGTTTTCTCTATGCAAAATTCCAAATGCATCGTTTGATAAAATACAAGAACAATACCCAATATCGCGCTTGTGTAATTGAGCGCCGGCTTTGCTGAAAAGATGTAAAATAAATGCCCCCACAAAAATATATATATTTAAAAGTCTTCCAGCGACTTGAATTCTTTCAAGACTGAAAATTTAGAATATATTTGTTGGGAGGAAAACGATTTCTCCAAACAATATGAAGAAAATTATAGCGTCCACAAGAATTTTAGCAAAACGTTTCATTAGTAGTTTTCGTGTTTATTAGCAGTTATTTGTCAATCGTTACTCTGAGAAGTTACATTTCTTCGTTTTTGCCAATTATTTCAATCTTGATTCTCATATAGGAAGTGAGAGTATACTATTTGGCAAAATCGGTTTATTTGTCCTATTTTTAAATTTCAAATATACTAAAAACTGACAAATAGTATACAAAGCCACAAAAACAATCTAATGTTTATCACAATTTCTAAAAATCTGTGAAAAATGGATCCAAGAAGCCACTAAAACTTCAGTTTTTACGCATTTTTACGCAACGTTGACGTCTTGCTGATTAGCCAATGCTAGAGGAGTAAACAAGTGAGTCAATGTTCTGAGAAACTTATATTGCTATACGACAATTTTTTCCTCAGTGGTTTAGCGAAAAATGCATTATATCACAATTGTGAAATAAAATTAAATGATGCATTCAAAGTCAAGGAGCAGATGCGGTCCAAATCCAATACTTAAAAGGTCCGGATTTGGACCGCGGTCCGCTAGTTGTGTAGCCCTGGTCTAGTAGAGAATTTAAACTGTCAGTTCGCCAAGGCGCCATATTGTCGTATTATAAATTGAAGATATACCTGAATGTAAAACAAAACTTTCTGTGTAGCTAGAAAATAACTTTATACAAACTTAACATTGCGAAAGAACTCTAGAATATAATGCGTGCGTGCTTATATAGTAAAGAAACAGGATTCCTTTCATCTAACGAGTGTCATTAAAGCCTGATAAATTACAATAATCTGGAGTAAGTAAACCCGTCGATGACTTCAGGTTACATAGAAGCGTGGTACATAATCTCCTATATCCGAAGTTCTCAAAAAATAATTTCACCAGGTCACTCTACCAGAAAGGTGTACGACAATAAAGAAATAACAGATATGTAGCTTTTATTTTTTTCTGATAAGAAAATAACGAATTCCAAATATTCAAGCAAGGTATCGAACTTCTGCGCCATTTTTGTTGGTAGGCTGGTAGCTAAAGGTATTTGCTTTTATACCTCAGCGCAGCATAATATAACTTGTTTTTCTACAGAGCAGTTGATGAGAGAGGTTTGCTCTCGATGGTTTTCGATCCAGATTTTCTCTCGAATAAATATTTCTACTTATTTTATAACCCTTCCGTGAGAGGAACCAGGGAACGCATCGTTAGGATGAAGGTAATAGTTTGGTGATTTAGTTGTGGGATCACGAGCTCATTGAAGCTGTTTCTCTCAAGTCAATGATCATATAACTAAAGCTATATTTGGTCGACTATTTCTATACTATAGCCTGAACTAGTATAACAGACCAACAAACGTTGAGTGGGTTCTCTATTGACTTCTCTCTTTTCGAGTAACACGGAAAAGCCAATCCTAGATGACTGTTTATTTATACAATACCAAATAAGGTAGAATTTACGCAACTGGGGCGAAATTCATTTTTGCAATGATGAAATAAAGATTCCCTGCATTTGAATATGTTTTGTGTAGACGTCCCCATGCAGCATTCTCGGTAATTGTCTGAATAAAACTTGTGACGTCGAGAAAGAGTGGCGAATTGCTAGAACTGTTATGCTAGATCTAAAGTGTAATGGCTTTACGGATTATACCCAGTGGTGGGACTCAAATTTTTTGTCAGTCGGTCCAATCACAATAGTCATATTTTTCGGCGGTTCTGTTACATGTTTTTTTAGTAATGCTAACCGGTTCGCTGATCTTATAAAACTCCGTGAGACGGTTCTATAGAACCGGTGCGAACCGGCCAAATCCCACCACTGCTTAAACCATGTCACAAGCAAAAATTACAGTTATTCTGCGGAATTTTTTTCAATTCATGCTCATCTTGTGCAAATCTCATTTCACACCTAAACTCTTTACTGGTCATTCCCGGCCCCCTAAAACGGACCCCAGTTTTACAACCCTAATACTATAAGCCAGTGATTTTCAACCTTTTTTGTACCGCGGAACACTTTTTTTAATCTAAAACTGTGGCGGAACACCAAACGAGATTTTTGGAAATACATTATGCAATTAACTAACATCGATCATTTCGACATGAAAATAAAATAACTAAATTAATAATATAGCTTATCAACTTTAGCTGGAAAGGACGTGACACATTCCGATTCAGAGCTACAAGAGCTAAAGTACGGTACTGGCTGTAATTGAAGAGAGACAAACACGCATCTCTTTCTCAACGGTTATCAATTTCTCGCGTTTTTTTTATACGCAACAGGAGTCCAAAAGATCGCGGGTCTATTTGGAAATTAATAGAAACATTGAAAATTGGCAACAAAGCGATTTTTACTGTTTAATTTCGTCATAATCGCTATTTTTTTTGCCCCCTGAACGTTTTCATATTACCGCCTTTGTTCTTGTGCGCAAGTATTAATTCTTGCCGATCGGCGGAGATCGAAATTTCATATTTTGGTTTAACTATATGCGTTCACATCGACGACAATTGTTAATGACATGAGGGAGCGATTTTAAATCCCAACTTAATTTTATTCTAATATTTATCTTTTGCGCCAGCTTTGAGCTAACTTATCGACGTTTGCAAATTGAAACGTCACAGTTTTGAGCGAATAATTTTATCATTATCGACAACGGGATGCACACATTTATTAGGACGATAATTGAGTTTCTTATGCTCCACACTGGTGTCCGTGTTATTTCCGAAATAAATCAATTAGATACTGTGATTAGATAAATCTGTGATTGCGTGAATCCTGAATGTTGATTTAAAAGCTGGAATAAAGGAATTTCTACGTGATCATTAGGTGAGATGACGATGAAGAGCACTTCTTTCACGATATCTTACAAATTGTGAACAATTTTGTGCCCAATTGCTCTCGTGCCTAGTAGAAAGGAAGACGCTGATTAAAATTAATCACCTCAAGTTTTAACGTTTTCTTTTCCAACGAAACAATACCGCGAACATTATCATAGCTGAAATCGTTACCGGAAAATTCACAATTTCATTTACGGAATTTGCAAATTCAACACTTCCCTTGACAATTTTAAGATGATGCCACGCCCTAATTATTACTACAAGAAAAGCTTCAAAATGCAACGAATGTAACCAACTCCGATCATGACTCCATCCATGGTCGAGTATAATGTTCACATTTTTGAAACATTAATTGGTCAAGAATGGAATGGATCACTAAAAATACACGCCGAGATATTCTCTGGTTACAAGTTTTTTATACCGACTTCCCAAAACTCTGACCCGCCATTTTCAAATCGACGCTATTTATATTATTCGAATGACGTCATAATACTTCAAAAAAGAAATTTTTTGCGGAACACCTGGAGGTCTCTCGCGGAACACCAGTGTTCCGCGGAACACCGGTTGAAAATCACTGCTATAAGCAATGCAAACAAGTATAAAAAATAAAAATAAAAAGAATTTGTACGTAATTAAAACAGGTTTCAGATATAGGCCCACCAATGGTCGTTGAAGAAGAAAGTGAAGAAATAATTTTAGAATTCCCAAAACCAGAAGGAAATCACGATGGGGGTCAGTTGTTTTTTGGAAACGATGGATATCTTTACATTACTACAGGAGATGGGGGAGGGGGAGGAGATAAACACGGAACGCGTGGAAATGGACAATCTCTGTGAGAAAGTCCTGAATTTATTTATTTTTGATATTCCAATCCAGGTGTTAACTATTAACGCGTATAGTGGATGGGTAAAACTCAATGAAAACTAAATGTCATATAATCATGTTTGACTAAAAATAACAATATTTTGTGCATATTGGAGTACAAAAATTGAGTTTTAAGCGAGTTCGCATAGTTTAACTTAGACATAGTATTTTACGAGCGCTGCAAAACAATACCTATATACTTATTGGTGCCACTCAACAAGGCTTGAAGTTCGATTGTTGAAAACTTTTTTGTCTCCACTGAAAAAAACATATATTTGAACCCTAAATTCTTATAGGCCTGCATGATCAATATCTAACAGTAACTACCTATTCAGAACAACTCTTCTTGGTAATATTCTTCGAATCGATGTGAAGTCGAATCCTAATGTTTCATACACGATACCCGACGACAATCCATTCGTTAATTCTGACGGAATGGAAAAGAAAGAGATATTTGCTTATGGCCTGAGGAACCCATGGAGAACTTCTATCGATCGTGAAACAGGTAGCCCTATATTAATTAGTTCATGTTGCTTTGAAAGCTATTATAAGTAGATAAACTTGGTGATCAATCCTGGTAGCGAGCGCTAAGCAAGCACTTGATTATAAATGTCCGAGTCCGTCATCTCAGCGGTTCCCAACCTTTCTACCTTCGCGGACCGGTAAAATTAGATTAAATGTACTCGAGGACCAGCAAAAAATTTAAATGGCCGGAACAGAAAAGAATAACATATATTTGCGTAATATAATGCAATGCCAGGCACTCAATATGCTTCTAAACAAAACAAACACACTTAAAAATATTTCACACGGAGAAAAACTATAAAATAATGTGCCTACCAAAAACTGAAAATGGGTGAAATTTGCGTAATGAAATGCAGTGCTGGGCACCCATTATGCGTAAGAAATGCACGCATAAAATATCTCACATTACAAACATGTACATGCCAAATCATGTACAAACACAATTAACTCATGTGAGAATTTTGCTGATGTTTCGTTTCCAATAGAAGGTTGCAAACGACGCCTCAAATAAGTTTTTGCAACACGTAGCTCTGCAGCCACGTGCAGCCGATTTCTTTGCCACGTTTTAATTGAATCTAGTGATGAAAATGTTTATTCGCATAACCCAGTAACTGACTGAAAAGACGGACAACAGTTTGACTGCTGGATTACTTTGCAGTGGGCATTCGTTATTAGGAGATATCTAATAGTGTGATAAGTAATTTATTTTTAATCTGGACTGTAAAGTAGAATCACTATTTTAATCAAGCCTTTCCTTTTCATTGGGTTCATCATAATAATACCTCTGCAGTTGATCGACGCCTCAAACGTAATGAATTTGCATTACAATGATAAAGTCGTCGATAACTTGGCAACAGGCTCAAAATCCTACTGTGTCTGGAAAAGATGGTGACCGTACATTTGAACCCACGTACATTTGAACCCATGTGTATATCCACGGATTCAATCTATATGCGGGTGCTAAAACCCATGGGTTAGGGTTAGTATGGGTTCAACTATCCGTAAAACAAAAAAAAATTCATAGGTACAAAAGCATACAGGTGCAATTGTCATGGGTTCAAATGTACGTGGGTTCAAATGTAATGGAACCGGAAAAGATCTCTGCGGCCCATGCTTTTTTGCGCGTCTCTTGAGTCTTGACCACCTGTGGGGTCGCAACAAGTTCTTATCTTACTGGAATATTATACTGTTCTTGACTGTTTTCTTGTTTAAACGAGGAGATATGCATTGTGTTTTATATGGATGGTCATATTAATCAGGAAAAGCACGCAGAACAGAAAAAGCACGCGTGCCGATTTTTAGGCTTCCTAATTTTGTGAGATTTGATGGAGCGCATTCGCGATGAATCGGCGCCGGAAAAGCGTGAATGCTCGACGCCAAGATGTCGAGAAAGACGTCGCAATATCACGGCGGAAGCGAATTGCGTAGTGAGCTAACGCAACTTTGTCTACGGTATAGCGATTGAGACATAAAAACAACGAAATTTCTTGCGGACCGGTAAAAAAGCTTCGCGGACCGGCGGTTGGGAACCACTGGTCTAGGGTTTTTGATATATATAATATTGAAGTAAAAATTAACGGGTTTAGAAAGCCATGATATTCAATAGCATTGAGGGAAAATAAATACAAACATTCGATCGAATGCAGGTGAATGTTATGTGAAATAAACAAGTTTCAGTACAGATTCAGCTTTAACCGATTATGTTAATTAGAGCTTAGATTTAAAAGAGTTTTAGATGATCTGCGTTAGATATTTATCTAACTTGGGTATGAGTTTCTTAAAAATTACACCACGCCTGTATCATGTGCCTCATTTCACTTCCAGATAGAATATTCTGCGGTGATGTTGGACAAAATCATATTGAAGAAGTTGATATAATTGTGAAAGGTGGGAATTATGGATGGAGAGCCTACGAAGGAAATAATTGCTATGATCAACAAATGTGTGACGAAATTAAAGCATCTGGTAGGTGTTTAAAATTACAATTTAGTTTGGTATATAATTTCAACACTTTTGTCTTTTCGAATTGCAAAAGATCAAAACGATACAGGTTAAAAAATCAAAAACTGACATTTGATTGATCGTAGTAACCATTAGAAGAGAAATGAGATGTTACTGTTCATTTGTTATTGAATTAATTAACAAGATCCCTATTAGCTCTATAGCTAGAGTAATAAAATCTTATTTTCTGTTCATAACAGACCAAGCTCTTCAATGGCCAATATATTCTTACACACATGATGTTGGACAGGCAGTAATTGGGGGATATGTATACAGAGGGTCTAATGTACCAGAACTGAACGGCAAATACGTTTATGGAGATCAGCGTAAGAGGTTAGATGTTGTGTAATGATACAAAGAAAACATAAAACTTTAAACATGACTTTTCCAGTTTCTACAGGTGAGTGAATAATTATGTTGGCGATGCATCGATATCATGTAAGTCCTGATATCTTTTGATGAGCACTCTCGGTGAAAAATCATTGACATCGAAGGAAATCGATTCGCTGTACTTTTACGTATATAATTAGCTAGTGTTTACCTAAATCATCTTATTTGATCATACGTGAATAAAAACGAATAAAATCAGGTTTTTTGCATAGCATGTCTAAGAACCGTTCGATTTAAATGGCATTTTGAGATTTCCATTTACTGCGCTTTATATTAATACTAAAATATTCTATTAAAACTATCAAAAATCTTGTTCTTCACAGTCAAATATGGGCTCTGGAGGAAAATGGCGACAAATGGGAAAATCGGAATATTTGTGTTGGAAAATCTGCTTGTCCTGATGGAACTATATCTCACAATCCCCGACAACATTTGTTTGCATTCGCACAGGACGAAAAAGGTGATTGGTTGATTCTCGGTGTGGCTGGTTTGCTTTGAAAAATGCTAACATTAGTACATTATACAGTTACACGGTACTAAACAAAACTTTTGCTACATCGAGACGCAACTTGTCTGTGCTTTTTTGACAAGAAGTGGACAAAGTGATGTTGTGTAATAATCGCTTTTCTCTTTATCTACTGGACCAACTGCTTTGAAATTTTCAGTAGTTCAAGATTGTTGTTGTCGCTAGAAGGCTATTCCTATATATATTTATTTCAAATATTTTTCTGGGCTCTATGGGCTTCGTTTGTCACTATGAATTGTTGTATGATGATATCATCAAACTTAAAATAGCGTTCGCTATCATTGCGATTTGATGTCCTACTACATCGTTTGGGCTTTTGTCTTCATATATTGAGCATTTTCGGAAAATTTATTTGTTTTGAGTTATTTATGACCGGGAAAACTATAAGGCAAGAAAAAATAAATATATATATATATCCTTTTCTTTTCCAGGTGAATTGTATATGTTCGTAGCTAAAACGGCGAAAATGACGGAAGCAAATGGCGAAATTTATAAACTTATATCGGCAATTAATTAAATATGTATTTCTATAAGCGAACTGGCAGCCGTAGATCTTCATATGGTTGGCCGCCGTGTCGGTTAATGTTTTCTATCATCGGGAACAATGTGAAAAAGTCCCTTTACCCTTTTTCGTCACCTCACACACGCAAAAACAATTTTTACATTTGTACATTAACAATATATATAATTTATTTTCATTTTGAATCAAATATAATTATATGGTAAGTAAAACAGAGAAAATCGACATCACCAGAAAAACGTGTAAATTCACTGTCTTTTACAGCGTTAGTGATCAATCGGCTTAACTTAACAGTGATTTGAGTGAATGTTATTTCAAAAAGGATGAAGTATATGCGTTTATTTTAATTTTTCGTCCGGAGTATTCCAACAATTTATCAAACTTGAAAACATTCAGTTCATTATATTTAAAATACGAAATATCTTATACAATAGGTGTGTGTGTGTGCGGTATGGAGTAAAATTAAATGCAAGTTTAATGTGAGTGCAATTTGAAAACTACAATTCCTAAATCGAGCACAATAGAAAAGAAAACATCAGACACCAAAAACATCCAGGTCTTCGCCAAAAATTGACAAGATAAACCCGAACTGACCAACGGTCTACTTTTCAAGGACTATTTTACGATAGCTGTATGCACGCCAAGGAATGGTAAGCCCCACAAGGCATTTCAGACGATGAGACCAAACAACATGATCTCAAGCTGGCGGTGCGGGACAATTAATGTCGGAAATATTTTTGCTGCTGGAGTCTACTGTTCGACTTATCCCCTGGTCAGTTGGGTAGTTTTTCCATGGCAATATTGTGGTCTTCCAATCTGGAAATGAAGCAATAATGGTCACCACATTCATAAACATGCGGATACGCATGAATATTGATATAATGTATGCGTCCTTTCTACCAAGGCCAAATGTCATCGCTGTTGAAATGAGTTCACTTAAGGTACAAGCCAATGCTGCAAAGAAAGCTCTCTGTATCACAGGTTTTAAAGATTCTTTGCCGTCGTCTGCATTACTTTGGTGCTTTCGTAAAGGATGCAGAAATAAACCTAGTAGTAACATCTGCAACACAATCGTTGAAATACCAATCATAAGCCACGATGTTAAAGGTGAAATATACGCTTTAGATACAACGCAGCCAAATTTTGTAATTGAATGATGAAAACTAAGCGCGTACTTGAAGTAATTAGCTACCAATCCCACAACCAATATTGCAAGAGCTAATATACTGAGAGATCGAGAAACAATGTTTGTCAAGTGTTTCAAAGCTGGATTACTGTAAATCACTCTTTGTCTTAACCACAGCACCAAGTAAGTTAAAATAAAAGAAGAACTTCCCCAGAATGCCTGAATTTTTTTTGCAGACGCACAAACACCTGGCAACCCTTTAAATTCGACCCCAATGGCTATCACAAGAGCGGTAATGTGAAATCCCAGAGTAGAAATAGATTGTAGGAATCTGACTAATCTCATCAAGCGCCCAAGTCGCTTTCCAGTTGTTTCTTGATCTATTCCCCTGCTTTTTGAAAGTTCCCTTTTTCCATCGATTGCCAGAACCACGATAATATATGAATCTAGTATAGCAAGAACAAGCGTAATTACGGTCTTAGTCATCCAACTGGTAAAGTGTGGCCCATTTAGGGTAAAAATTCTGGGTGTAATCTGATAATCATCCGAATCATTTGACCATGACGAAGCGGGCAGTGTAGCATCCGTAGTATAGTTGGGAACGGTAGAGTTTTCCATTGCAAATGTTACCTTCCAGACAGTATTAGTAAAAACAGGAGATCACACTTTATGCAGCGAGTCGGCGAAAGTGACAAAAAATTGTAACTCGCTGTTTATATTGTACTGGTCTGCTTAATGAAGAATGTCATATATATATATATATAGAATCGGTATCCTTTTTTATTATTTTATATCTAATCATTGAAAAAATGTAAAGAAAAGTACACGACAAATTACAATGTTTGAAATTAACAATCCCATTTTAGGGCATAATCAAATTTCAATTACAACAATCGGATAAGCCATATTTAGAGAAAAACAAACAAACAGTTTACACCGTCCGGTCATGTCTATTATTTGCAGAGAACATGCTTTGCAGAATAAAACAATTACAGTTGTTATCAATATATCAATCATCAGTGCATTTTTTAAACAATAGGTACCCGGAACATCGCAATCTCCAATTAACCAAAATTATATTGATATTTCTTCGATTATAGTAGTATAATGTCGGGTTTGAACCATTCATCAGGAGTAAATAATTGATGTCGATGTCCCCTATTTCAGAGTTACACGCCGTAATAAATCTATTTCTGCACATCAAATTAATGCTTTCAACATATATATATCATTTTTCTGTTTGTGTAATTATAAAAAAATTATTTTCATTTCATTATCATGCCCATAAGGCGTGCGTGAGAGCATGCATGAGATAATATGAAAAACTGGTACCGATAATTATCTAAAAAAAAGAGAAATGTTCAAATATACGTACACAAAAGTCAAAAGACTAACATGAAAATCAGGATGTCATAAATTTTCTAGAATTGTTCCGATTGACAGAAAATATTTTGTCGTATGAAGGTTTGCACGTGAATTAAAAAAATGGGAGAAATATCAAGCACAAGAGAAGATTTGAAAAGAAACAAGAGAGCAATGATCAAATATATGCATGGGAAAGCCAACACGTAGCAGCACGGGAATCTAATATTTTACCGTAGAGCAGTGGTTCCCAACCTTTTATAGATCGTGGCCCTCCCTATCCGGAAGTTTTAAGCATTCATTGTCTCCATGTTCATCATTCCAGTGGTATTCAGAGTGTTATTTTGATTGGTAGATTCCAAATCCCATCATATTCGAACAATCCATGCACTAAAAATTGGAACACTCTGTGAAATAATATTATCAAGCAATGAAACTAAAAAGAACAGGGAGTTTCCTTGCAAACACTAGAGCAAAATCTTTTTTTCGCTTAGCATTGTGGCCCCCACCAACTGGTCTGTTGCCCTCTTGCGGAGTTGGGAGTTGCGGAGTTGTTCGGTTGGGAACCGCTGCTGTAGAGTAGACTACTAATAAGGCAGTCTTCACGACTTCGCCTGACCACCATTTAGCAACGAACGCGAACTCGGAACCTCCACAAGGAGCGCGATTTTTAATTTTGATGACGTCATCAAACACCCCAAAAACGAAATTTAAACAGCCCACAAAAATGTTTGGTATAAATAAAGTATTAGCACTCTAGCGACAAATACAATCCGTAACCACAATAATTTCAAAGCAATTGGTCCAGTTATTAATTAAAGAGAAAAGTAAGTCAAAAGAGGTCTTTATTCTGACCTAAATGCACGCGGTTACGTAAGTTGTTCTTAATGCAAGATACGTTTTGAAGCTGACGCCCTCACATTGGGTTTTGAAAATGATTCGCGGCGCCTGAGTTTTCAGAAGTCAGACTGTCACGCTCCCCAGGAATCCGGCTGGAAGTCGATGGATGGGAAGACAAATTCGGCACACTCGCCTCGAGTCGGTCCAGTTGCCTGCCCGATGATAGTCTTGGAATCAGTTTAAAAAAGACAGTCCGCTGTGATCCAATGACTCGTGCGCAAACCAATTCAGTCAGGTAGAAAAACTCGACTTAGCAGTTTGCCAAACAGCACCTTAACTCAGTTGTTCGTCGCTACTCAGGCGGAATCCGACTTTGAAAGCATTCAGATATGATCCTCCAGATGGTGGCTTTGAGCCTTTAGCTTAGGGTGGTCCAAGGTTGTCGGTTCCGCCATAAAATTATTTTTGCATTGTTCGCGGGCCACAATAGTGCCAAGAATAGGTAAACAGTGCAATCCCAAACAAATACTTTTCTTGTGCAAACACATTGATCAGTTTATGTCATGTATCAATCTAATCCGTGCAAAAGCCACCAAAAAACTTACTAAAACATACAAAAAAAAATTCTATAAATATCTACATACAATGTAAGATTTCAAACTCTTAATAACGAAAAAAGTGCTTCCGCAAATGAAAACTTTTTTTGGGGAAAATGCTCATTGCTCACAAGATGCTAAAATGCCGTTTACAATTCAATTCTTTTGTCACCAACACAACTTGCGACATATTAAGCAACCATTGTGGTATTTTCCATCCCACACACACAGTTAAAATCTGTTTGAATTCTTCAGCTTTCATTTCAAACTCACGTTTACAAAATGACTGCAGATTGATTGATTACCATATGTGAGGTACAGAATGATAATTACTAAATTTTCTGACATATAGGCAGCATTTTTTGTAATACTGTTTAGGCTGGTTGCAAAAAACACCCGGCATGAATAACATTGTCAGGCCATAACATTTAGTTATCAGGCATAGCCAACTGAAGCTAATAGAATCAGCATTCGATTTTTAGTTTTCTATGACGCCAAAATTGTTAGCATATATTCCCAACCAAAACGATAGAAAGTCAGATAATAATTAAGACCGCCGAGCACATCATTCAACTTCGCTAGTTACTTCAGTGACATTAGTGATGAAACAATGAGTTGAAAAACTTTTCTGGTTAATTTTATGACAAAACAACACGAAGTGCGATTTATTGATTAGTCTCCGAATGCGACTCGGCCCACAGATAATGAAGCGGCGGGCCACATGTGGCTATCCAAAGTCATCAAATGTCACAAAATCAGGCGCACGTTTATGCTCTGGCATTGTCACAAATCACAATTATCCACTTTGCCAACGACACCGAGAATGGTTTCATATCGGTAAAATACAGTACCATGAGCGAGACTAGATGCAAGTCCAAGCAATATCAAGGGTGCAAGGGCAAATTGGTTTTTGACTTTTGAGCAAGGCATACTCCGTCAGTTCATCCACAGGCCCAATATCTACGAACCCAATATTGAGGTTCTGCCCGCAAGAGGGCTCAAGCTCAAAAACTACAATTAGCCCTGCCAAATACTCCCTGCAAGGCTGCAACTGTTATATAAATAGACAACACGTACTGTAATAATTTTATTTGCTAGCCAAACAGTGTTTTCTACCACACTAATAATATGCCGGGATGGAACATGCAAAAAATACAAAATATTTTCAACTCGAGATGAAGCGTTCATTCATCACATCATCGACGGGAACACTGTATACCTGAAAACAAATTGTATTAGACAAGTACTAGTAATTTTTAGAGAGGGTTGTAGAGGGGAAAAGTGCACAGCAAATTCATGACATGTAAAACTTGGCTCCTTTCAATAGTCTTTGGCACCTAAATTTGGAAACCAGACTCCAGGTTGAAGTTAATTTCAGTCAGATTGGACATCTGCTCCAAACTTCGACAAAATCCCTTTTTGACTGAAAAAACCTTGACATGTTTGGCATGTTGAAATTCTCACACAGCAAACTTTCAAGCCTTACCCAAGAAATCAGATAATTTATACAAGGGAATTTTCAGGAAAGTCATTCAAAGCCGGCAATATTTTGTTTTCTGCACTTCTCTCTTGTATTTCTTTCTCTAATCGCATTTTTACATTATTTACTAACCCAGCTCGAAGGCCAAAAAAAAAATTATAACAGATAATACAAATCTTTAAAACTTTTTATCAATAAGGTAAGAATCTCGTTTCAGAGCCTCTCGTTTGGCACGCATACCAGGTGTTGGCCCACCCCTGACCTATACAAAAATTAGAAACATTCCGGTCCTAATGAAAGCATTGGTAGCTCCCAAACCAGCAGCTACTTGTCTACCGCACGGTTAAAAGAAAAGAAGATAAAACACCTTGTAAATAAAACAAAACCAACCACTTGTCAACATGGTTGTGGCACAGGAGTTTGGCAGGTTCGTTGTTGATATCGAAATCAAATTGATTTTCCAAACTCCCTGGAGTGGAAGCTGGATTCCTTTTTGAAATTGCTTAGCTTGGAGTCGAATTTAAATTATCCTGAATCCACAACTCAGCTTACCTCACCAAATCTATTTACATTCTGTTTTTTTTTAACCGATTCCTGCCATAATAACTACACATTCAACTAAACAAAAAGATGTAGAAAATTTGAAAGCAGGCACTTACATGTACTTCAAAAACAATTCGTGCAATTTTCTAGAAACAAGTTTGCAACATTATCGAGGTCTTCCTCTACCTCTGCCCATACCACCGGGAGGTGCGTCGACTGAAGATCGTGGGTTGCGGATAGTTTCATCAACTGATAATATCAAGCATGCAGCTTCGGAGGCAGCTGTAAGGGCATTGACCTGAAAGTAAATAAAAGGTGTATTTTGTTAAATCAATAGCTGTATCCATGTGAAGATCCCGATTTTTTGTGCCGCCAAGTGAATGCTTTCGAAAAATGGGCAAAAAGCACAGGGGAAAAGTCATAATCATATGGCATTAACATTGGAGCTATATTCCTACTCTACAAGGGTTTGCAGGTTTAACCCCTGTATCCCGAAATTGAAATTTGTATGTAAGACTCTGGAAACTAACCAATGTGAGGTAAAACACTGCGGGAAGTTGACAGAAATCATTGTTATTTATTGTTTGCCTGTATTGACCCCGTAAAAATGTAGAACCTTAGTACGGCAACATTCCAGGCACACTAACACGATAACCTTCAGAATATATTAATTACCAACAAATGTGCATGGTTAAGTATAGAAACAATGATAATAATTGCTGAAACATTTTGATGTTCCACCAGGAAATAGAATAAGAAGCATCTAATGGAGGTGGCACGGTGTGAGCAGATAGTCAAATTTTATTATATCTACTTGAACCTGACATAAGAACATTGAAGCATATAGTACAGCAGTCGAAATCATTAGTGCTTCACAAAATGTGCAACTAATTTAGAGGTGTTGGAAATATCAACCCATTTCCTAAAAGTTACTGTTATCTGTCTGCATATAGTACTTGACATAAAATTATAGAATCACATAAAGCAAACTCAAGTTGCACACTTGCAGTTTCTGGTTATGCAAACAAGCACAGTTTTTGACAAAGCTTTGTGAGAATACACCGAACAGTTTGAATATTATTTTATGCTTACTTTAACGAGAGATGGTTCCCAAACATAAGCCTTGAAGTTGTCAGCTACGTCTTCATTGTTTATATCTACACCACACCTAAAACAAGCAAAAAAGATATCAATTTTTAAGATTAAATCTTTACAAATTTAATCCAAGAGGGATGTAGGACTTTGTCCAAACCAACTGTTCAAGCATAAAATCCGTGAAAGTGCAATGCAAGACCTTTGAAACACCTAATATAGCCATTTTAATTCCTGCCAAAGGATTCTGCAGTCAGTACATATGGTTCTACTAACTAAGATAAAGAAGTAGTTAGAAATAAAACACTAATTCAAACATACACAATTTCCAATATGTCACAACTGAAGGAAAATCAGCCATTTTGATTTATAATTCTGACAAACAACAATTTTAATGCTTTCAAACTTAATATTAATTTCTAGGATTCAATTCTGTGGCAAACTATTGGAGCACCAACCATATGTTTCCAGTAGCATGGGCCTGTCGCAGCTTGTTCAATATGTTTGTTGCATCGAAACCAGCATTGTCACACAACTGACGAGGGATGATTTCCAATGCCTGTATGAATAAATAGCTATTTGAGACTGAACATATGTTAATTACAGGATACATAGTAAAAAAGAATCCTTTTTAATAATAAGTTGAATTAAATATCATTTTATATAGCAAGTAAAGCTTTGATAATCGAACATCCATCAAAATTATCAATTCTTGCGACGTACTCTTCAAATTTGGAAGAAATCATTGATGGGGCATTCGACCATTAATAAATGCTGAATTTTTGAATGTACGGTTCGCAAGTAATGTCAGACATGTAAAAATACCATGTTCAACGATGCCAAGAACCATGTTTTGATGTTCGCCTGCATTGACCCCGGAAAAAGGTGACAACTTTTTACGGCAACATCTCAGGCGATAATGACAAATATAATAGGAGTAAACATGAACCTTGGCATACGCCGCGATCAACATTTGTTGTTTTCCTTTTATAGTTCTTGAATAATCTCTCAAATGTTTGCTTAACTCCATTTCTATTGCTCCACCACCAGCAACAACTGAATCATTCTGTAATAAAAATATAGAAAATGGAAATAAGAAGAATTCCTTCATTGAATAATAGTTAAGTTATTTAATAATAAGCAATTTTCTATAGATTCACACAATGATGAAAAAAATAGTACATTGATTAAATTTAAAAAAAATATTCCGAATGGTAGAATCTTGAGAATATTAGAAGTTGGTTTAGATTTAGGAGGAAATTATTTCAATCACGCAATATTTAGATATTTTTTGCCCGGTTTTCAAACTTTCATACTGTTAAGAAAACCTAAGCCTGCTAATATGTCTAATTCGAATTTTGCTGTAAAAAAAGTCAAATTTTCAGGTACAGGGTATGTCATAGCATTTCCGAAATCAAGAATGACCAGTTAACTAGTGATTTGTATGGTTTCCAAGTAATATCGAACACCATGTCATAGATGTTAAATGTGCCAGAAACCACGTCGTTTTAATTATTATTGGCCTGTTATGAGCCCGAAAGAATGTGTAGCCTTCTATCGGGGCATCCCAGGCCTACAAATATCAGAAAAAGTGGAGAACTTTGCTATTCTCGTAAGAAAAGCATAAAAGTAGACACAATGCAATAGGCTTTGTAACCTTAATAGCTCTACGGACGATCATAATTGCATCATGAAGTGAACGTTCAGTTTCTTCCATAAATTGTTCAGTTCCTCCTCGGATTATTAACGTACATGTCTTTGCTTGTGGACATCCTCTAAAGAAGTTGAACCTGGGAAGAAAGGTATAAATGTTGAGTCAATGGAACAAAAAAAAGGTAATTAACTCTTATTCAGCTTACAAAAGAAAAACCATTAGTTTCTGTGGACGCTTTTGTAACAATATGCATACAATGCGAGGATTCTGTAAGAGTGTTCCAAGAGACTGGTGCCTTATAAAGCACAAATGGATTTCTGTAGCGATTTCTCTGACAAAAGTCAAGACTTCATCAGAGAAACATAATTCAATTCTCTCAACTACTATAAATGTTTGGTTTCCAAGTAAAATCCAACTCTACAAATCAAAGTTGAAAGTGCCAGAAACCGAATTCTTACAATATTTTATATTGGCCTGTCATGAGCCCGAAGTAATGTATACCTTAATCCGGGGCATCCCAAGCCGTCTCGACACCAATTGCGACTATATTTTCATATAATAATGAAGACATTGTAAAACTTCAAAGTAAATATAACTAACCTTTCTCCGCCAACTTGTTCTTCATCAAATTCTTCACAAGTGCCTAAAACATCTTCAGTTAAACTTTGTACTGATGTTTGAATCGATCCACCGCATGCCTAGCAAAAATTAAAATACTTTCAGAGTTAGATCATACTCATGAGTGAGATGTAATTATAATAGTTATTCAATTAAAATATCAGGTCCAAGAGTAAATTGAGTTTAACCCAACCAATTCAAAATTCTCATCTAAGCAACAACTGTTAAATTGTTCATGATTATCAATAACCAAAACGTTTTGGTTGAGATTTCCATCGCAATGCCATCACGTCACTATAGGCTGGCTCGAAGTTATTCAAAATCAAGGTACCTTCATTGTTCTTTTCAAATCGACTTGAGGAACTCTACCAGCACAAAACATATCACGATCAGCAAAATACTGTGTGGCTACATCACCAATAGGAAGTTTACTGAGGACAACCTGGTAAAAAATTATAAAATGGATGGAACTTTAAAGACATCTAACTCTTAAACTATGACCTCAAAATATAATCAATGGTTTGTTAATGTTCATGAAGCTTTATACAGCATTATACAAGTAGCCATTGATAGAAAAAGACCTATGATATTATGGAGAGACAGGAAAAATTTCTTTATCATTTTATTAAATATGGCCATATATGATGTCCAAATTCCATCCCACCTATTATAACAGTGGAAGGAAATATCTGAACATCATTGATATTTAATGTCGGCCTGTATTGACCCCGTAGAAATGTGTTAACCTTTGTACGGCAACATTCCAGGCACTCACAATTAGGAATAGGATAATTCGGAGAGTGAAAATTCCCAAGTTTTCCATCACAAAACAAATAATAACAAAACTAACCTTAGCTCCGCTATCACATATGGCTTGTAGCTTTTCATACAAAATTGACCATTCTGCATCTACAATAGCTTGATAATCCTGAAAACACACAAAGTTATTAATAAAATAATTCAAAAAGGTACTTAATGAGTAACAGGAACAATAAATAAATGTGACCGTTTTAAGGTAAATCTACATAAGTGATGTTTCATAATTCCATTTTACTTATAAAGGGGCACAATTAGACACAAAGTGGACCCGTGGTTATTTGCACTATATTGTTGCTCCCGATAAGTGTCTGAAAATCACTTTCATCCGCAACTAATGGACATAGTTGCTAGTGTTTCGCAGGACGCCTTCATCTTACATCTGGTCCATTGCGAATGACATTCAGTATAATTCTTTGACATCAGGTTAGAATTTAGCCGACATTATAGTGGCCAAGTCATCTGACCTTCATGTCCACATATTCGACCATTGCTCTCATATGTTTATATTGAAGAAATTTTTATGATTTATGTTGCAGAACTGCCCAGAAGAAATAATGACTTATCGACATTTAATTAACATGCTGTTTATAAAGAGCATGACTACAACTTACAGCAACATTATCTAATCTTATTTCGGCGTTCTCTTTTTCCGATTTCAGTTCAAGTTCGACATTTAGGAGAGCAATTTTAGGGTTGCTATATTTCTTCGGTTGCATTTCAAAACCAGCATACGAGAATGTTTTCTTGAAAGCAACACCAGCAACGAGTTTAGACTCCTGAGAAATATAAAATTTCAGTTTTAGACATGTATACTTGGTATAAAACATCACTATGTCAGTGTTATTATTATGTCTTAGTATAAAAGCTATGGACAACCAAAACGGAATAATATATTTCCAAATATTTATATAGTATATTGTTATATACTATACCGAATAGAATATCACAAATTTCAAAACAATTTAAATATTTGATTCATTTGCGCTAATAAGTATTAAAATAATCAGTAAAAAGGATGAGGTTCAATCTACCAACTATATTTTCAAAAATTAATAGCCCATTTGCTCCAGACAATTAGCAAACAATAAGCAAAAAAGCTATACACCAATTTAACAAGAATAGGAATCAATCTTAATTGAAACCTGTATGAGATGGGGGTATATGGTTTGAACCTGCCGTATGTGTTTAGAGATGGAAAATTCAATGAATACACAACAGAGATGGATGATAATTTCAGAATAGCTTCCCATTTTTACTGTACCGGTACGCTTACCGGTAACTATTATTAAGCGTTAATCAAAGATACAACTTACGCTGAGAGCTCCACCGGAAACTTTTTTGATACCAATCATATTCAATGGTAAAAGGTCACCTAGCATTGAAACTGCATCAACAATCATAGGTGAAAAGAAATCTTTGTAAGCCGCTACAAGTTTTGAGTTAAGAGCCGTTGATGCACATTTTTCAAGTAATTGTCGCCATTCCCTGAAGACATATAAAACGTTTTTCAATCACAAAAATAAAATTTATAAAATAATATTAATAAAATAAAATATTGTTCTTACTTGGGGTCATCTTTCTGAATTGTAACCTGGATTTCCTTAATTTTTTCAATCGCTAGTTGCGTCGCACGTCGGTAAGCTCTGATGATTACCTGGTATAATAAACAATAATAATATGAAAAAAAAAGCGGGAAGAAATCCATGCCTCACACCTAAGGAGTAACAATGATCGAAACAACCATATTAATGGGGAAAAACCAGATTTTGGTATCATGGGTATTCTTGTTGCTTATCCATTTCGATCGGTAAGTATATTAATAGGTATTTGTCTGTTTGTTTCACTTTCGTATGTTACGCGATATCTCACGAAAGCGAGGTTGAATCTGCTCCAAATTTTGCATGTACATTCATCATATCTCGGACCAGAAGTCTATTGATTTTGGATGAATTATGTCGTACAATTAGTGAGTTATTAATTAATTAGTGAAGGGACACACAGTGTCACTATTGAGTCAGAGCGAAGGAATCGAAACTGCAAGATCGAAAGGTCGGCGGTCTCCGATCGCTATCTATTTTACTGGATTAAGTGGATGTCAGATCGCCAACCATTTTTGGATACTGCATCTTACCCGAGGATGGACACCATCTTCAACAAATGTTTTAACTTGTTTTAAAAATTCTGCCGCAAGCAATGTCACAGTGGTTGTCCCGTCACCAACCTGAAAAATGTAAAACAAAACTTATTCATACTAAGATGTTGATGAGCTCATGTACACTTAATGAAGCCAAAAACTAATGAATAAATAATAGCTAATTAGAGATCACAAAAAATCTAACGATGTGAAGTGGCACATAAAACCAGTGCTTATTAAAAGGCTTTCTTGATAATCTCTAAACAGCAAAACAACCACGTTTGGGAGCATGTTGTCGATTTCAAATTTGATATTAGCGTAATTTTCGGCGCTCCAGAAGTGTATGTACCAATACGGAGGTAACTAAATTGTTCGCCTACTTTACATCAAGTTGTGTAAAGGGACTGAAGCCTATGGGCAGGGGGTATATATTTACTTGGCTAACGCAGACAGTCTCCAAATTCGTAATAGAGCTAAAATAAGGGAAATCTGAATAAAATTATGGTCTAACCCCAAGATGGTACGCACACTACAGGAGTAGGCTACCTAATTTTTATGGGTCTTCTTGCTTTTCGGATTCAAAACTAGAATGGCCCATCATATAATTATATACATCTAAAGGTAAAGCCACCAATACCAACCTCAGCATCTTGTGAACGTGATATATCAACAAGTGTTTTTGCTGCTGGGTGAACAATATCCAACAATTTGAGAATCGTCGCTCCATCGTTTGATATTGTGGATTTTCCTGTAATATAAATTCTAAAAGATAAATATGCATAAAAAAATCTAGAAAATTATGTCATGTAGCTGCGAAGATTACCTAGCTATGACAATTGTCCTGTATAATACGAACAATTGTAAGAGAGAATGATCAGACTCCTAGCTATCATAGGTGATTCATCCAAGCACTGAGCAATAAAATTTTCCTCCAGCACCAACATCTTGAACCCAGAACATTAAACTAGTTGCAGATTCTATCAGTCTGATGTATTTTTCATTAATATTGGAATCTAAGCCGGGGTCGTATTTCAAAACTCCTGGTTATAATTCTAGACGTCAAAGTCTAAATTTTCGATGGAAAGTTGACTAAGCATTCATTCTCCACAGACAATTTAATAAGGCTTGCATATGCAAAACCTTTGCACTCAAAAATTTTGTTTTCTAGAACTGGGAGCTAGTCAGTCAAAATTTCTTTAACCTGATTCAAGCGACAAAGTCGAAAGCTTTGTCAATCCGGAATCTCGTGGCCGATGATGAATACATACTGACATAATTATACAAAGTTATAAGTGAGGAAGTCCGCTCCACAACGCAGTATTTTATGAACTGATCAATAACACTCTAAATTGTTCGTAAAAGAATTTAGCTAGTTGTGAGCCTCTTACCCCACTTTGTATGAAAAAAATATCATATAATCCTGAAATCATCATTTACCATTATTTTCAACAATAAGTTTGTCCATTCCTAGTGGACCAAGAGTTGTTCTGATTGCTTCTGCGACAACCTGACATGCTGTGATATTACTGACAAGTTGAGGGATTCCTTGTGAAGTGTCTGTTCCCTCTTTTAAGAGGATGATTTGTGGTTGCTACAAAATAATAAAAACATTGAGGTATGCACCTGTAAATATACCAATAAATGTTGCCTAATAACCACCTACAGATCGAGGGCGTAGCCAGGTGAAATATCTAAATGCCAAGTTAGGCCGTAACAGCCGGAAAACATGAATGCTTTTTTTCACATTTCAAAAGGGGGGGTTAAATACCGAAAGTACAACCACGTCGGCATGTGGAAAGTTTAAGCTTAACAGTAGGCTATATAATTTTGTCAAACGACTGTCAGATTGTACAACGCTTTTAGCAGCTATATACTGAAATAATTACTAAGTCACTAAGTGCAATGTCGGCCGCCTTCAGTATCGGAACGGGCAAAACTGCGCTTGATTATGATCGTTATGTCGGTGCAATACGGTGATCAAACGAGCCTATTTCAATTTCACTGAACAGCAAGCATATTCACAAATATTAGTACACTTGTAACGATTTAATCGAACGATAGGTTAAAATTCTCTTCGCATAGAAGTAAAATAACACTAAATCATAAAGTTTAAAGTTGATGTCTTCAGATAACTCACCATCATTTTGTCACTATCTGAACACTCGAAGCAAACTGCCGATGAACACGCCCGAAACTTGCCAACGGTCGCGAATGTTCTGGAATCAAACAAACCGGCAATTTCATTTTTCCACTAGGTGTCCGTAATTCATTACCGATGCGAAATTTTCCAAATCGCGTATTCGCGTTAGCAAGCATGTCCAACCTTATTAGTGTCGCGGGCCACTTTCACATGGGAAAATTCATTGCGGACCGCAAACGTTTTTACCAAACTTAAATACCAACCCAATTCCGATTTACGTTATAATTTGAGCGTCCATAAATCAAACGCCTGGATTGCAGAACATTTTTGCGGATTTCTGAACACATGATGCACACAAAGACCATGAAATTCAACTCAACTTTTATGCAAAATGCAAATCAAATTTTTGTTCGTCAGCGTACTCCTATGCTTCGACTTCATAATTTTCAAATTATAAGACTTCAAGCTCAAAACAGATTTACAGCATATTAGGCATACATCGTTGTCTTACAACTCTTTCCAATTCTTTTGATATTTCCGATTTTCATCCTCAAGCTTCATCTTTTTTGTTCCAGACATACCGGTGGATTTGTTTTTGTGGTTCAACAACCATCAATAAAACAAGTACCGGTATGTGACTCCAACCTTGATGACTTTGCAATGGACGGTAATTTTCATGTTAAATATGTTTATATGTCCGTATTTATATAAAAACTTCAAGTGGGCCGCAAGAATTCTTCCTGTCGGCCACATGCGACCCGCGGGTTGGACAACCCTGCGTTAGACTAATATGACTGACTCATTGTAGAATAATAGACATAAAGAAACCTCAAAGAGAGTGAACGAATATATTAACTGTATATATATGTTTTTAGTTCGAATAAAAACTTCTTCAAAAAAATTTTCAAACCCAAAATATAACACGTCGTAGAAGTTTTTTATTGAGCTCTGGGTTTATGAAAAGGTATTTACACTATGTACATTGTACAAAACGTAATCTGATTAGAACGAAAAGGAATTTTGAATTAGTCTGATCAGAATTGGAATTTTTTTTCAGTGAATTTTAGTAGAGGAGGTGCTTTTCCGAAATTTAAACATAAATGTAATTGAGCTTCAAATAAGAATCAATCAGAACGACAATAGGTATTTGATAGGTATTTGTCTGTCTGTTTGTCCAAATTTTGCATCTGCATTCATCATATCTCGGACCAGAAGCCTCTTGATTTTGGATGAATTATGTCGTATAATTAGCGAGTTATTAATTAATTAGTGGTAGGACACGCGGTGTCACTATAGAGTCATGAATCGAAACCGCAGTTTCGATCGACAAGTCTTCGGTCTCCGACCGATATTCTCGTCTGTATATTGTTAAATACAATTCTGGAGCGCTGAAAATTGTATGAATAAATTTACAAAGACGGTAAGTTGCATGTATGCTTGCATATACATTTGTAATATAGTGTCAAATCCTGCGTTAATGGATATGTCTCCAAAATACATATAAGTTGGATAATGTAGCCCACGAAACGAAGCGTCAAGTATTGAATACGAGAATATCGGTCGGAGACCGAAGACTTATCGATCGACCTGGTCCGAGATATGGTGAATGCACATGCAAAATTCGGAGCATATTCAACCACGCCTTCGTGAGATATCGCGTGCATTTAACAGAAAAACAGACAGACAAATACTTATCAACATACTTACCGATCTAAAGATCGATAAGTAATTACCGATCTAAAGATCGATAAGTAATGAAGATCAATAAGTAATGATGCTTCACTTTTCTTTACAAATAATTCGAAGTGGGTTGCTCGGATTTTCCAAGTTGAAGTACATTTCTATGTCGTGTTTATTGAATCTAAAAGTAATTATCTAATTATGAAGTGGTAATTTTTAAAAATCTACAATCATATAGTGCTCCTATTCTTGACCCAGTTATTCTAACAAACGAGTTTGCTCGAGCTGATTTGGTGACTGCAGGCAAGTACGTCTAATCTTTTTGTTTTGTGTCAGTTTTATGAATAATCTGGACTTCTGTCAAACCTTTTCTAACGAGTGAACTCACGAATGACAGATGTGAATTTACAGTTGCATAAAGTATTCCCTGTTACTAATACCATATTGGTAGCAGCTTTTACTGTTATACTTTAGGGACTCAGGTCTGTTTCTGTGGCAAAAGTCGATGATCATTTTAATCCCATATTAAAGTCAAGCAAAAATTATCCAGAAATTTTGCAATTCCTAATAGTATTTTAACAGCAGTTGACTTAAAACAACAATAATCGAATTATTAAAGTTGATATATATATCATTTTATTTACTACAGTAGTCGAGTTTGTATCTTCGTCTGAAACAACTTTTCTAGTTTCATTAGTCCAGTTACGAATGAGGAAACATGGCAATAATAAGAACAGATTTTTATGTATGGATTTTAGATGTGAATGCAGTGTTGAATTATGGAAATCATTCTTGATTGTGTATAAAAGTCCTCTGCGTATGATAGGCTCATTAATTTCGATTATTTACAATAACTTTGCATACATTATAAAATACTATGAGCAAGATTCACAGCGGGAACCTGTTGAACCATTTATGCAATCGCATCGAATGTACTTCATTGCAATTTGTTCAAAATCTTGTAAAGTTGCTCCAACTGCTGACTTCATATCTTGCTCGACTTGTTTTACCATTGCTATTCGAACATGCAAGGTAACAGTTCTCTGAAATTTTTGTAAGATTACATCAGTCGAAATGGGTGACATCATCCAAGAATTTCCAAGATATCGTACATCATCAAATGCTTTGTCAGAATTGCCCTAGCTTCAAGAATTGCTACTGATTTATTGATTGTTTCCACTGGCGAAAGGTTACTAACCAAGTCCAGAGTATTTTGCTCTATTGCAACCTTTTGATTTTCAGCAAGCAATTCTGAAACTGGCTTCAAAATACATCTCCCACCGAATGAACATGGATATTGTAGACATAACGATTGTCGCAGGTTGTATGAATAGCGATTAACCATGTCAACGAGAATATCGGTCAGATCCTTATCGATCGAAAGTTAGGGGATCCCCCAAAACAGCGCTCTTACTGCATAGTGACACCTTGTGTCCCATCACTAATTAATTATTAACTCGCTAATTATACGACATAATTCATCCAAAATCAATAGGTTTCTGATCCGAGATATGATGAATGCATATGCAATTTGGAGCGGATTCATCTTTGTTTTCGTGAGATTTCGCGTGTATCTAACAGACAAACAAACAAACAGACAAATACCATCTAACAGACAAATACCTTATCTTAAGATCGATAAGTAATAATCTGTGACATCATATCATCTGTAAATGAAAAATAAGCTATAAGATTCACAAAATATGCAAAGTGCCAGAAACAGATTATTTACCTGAATCATATTTGAATTCATCAAATGCTTGGCCATAAAAATCGTAACCAACTTTCACGCTGAAGAAATCTCCAACGGATATGCCTGAAATACAATAATTATTCTTTTCTCTTAGACAACCAACGCGAAGGTACTGAAGAATACATTTCCTAATATTCCATTTTGGTCTATTGTGGCGCCTATCACGATTTATTTTTACAATAATATATATTATATATATATATATATGTGTGTAGTATTACCTGGGACAAAAATAAGGTTTGTATATGCAAAACATTTTGCAAAGCTCTGAGCTACCAAGATATAACTTATAAACAACATCTTTTTTCTGCCAAGAACATGAAACAGAATAAGCACTCCGTTTTCGCAGCTGCCGCTGGAACAAAAATTAGAGGTACAACGTCTTGGGCCTTATCAACCAAAAAATTGTTCACTGGAACAATCCCATGACGGAGGAAAGCGTCGGCGTACATTCTGCGCAGAAACTTGGTATAAAAAACACGAATGGTTGTGTTACAGCGAGGTCAAAAATGCACTTTTTTGTTTTTATTGCCTACTTTTTGCTACCGCCGGTGACTCACGTTGGTGTAAATTTGGTTTTAGAGATCCCAAACATCTTTCCGAGCGTGCCAGGGATCATCAATCTTCTATGGAGAATCTGGACAATGCAGTAAAATACCGTACATTCGGAAATGTTAGTATTGCAGCACAGTTGGATGAAGGACGCGCGGTTTCTATTCGTCGGCACAACCAAAACTTCGAGAAAAACCGCCATGTTCTCGGTCGATTGATAGATGTTTTGAAGTTCATTGGTTGTCACGAGCTGTCCCTCCGTGGGCACGATGAACGGGCTGGCTCTTCTAATATAGGGGTATTTTTGGATATGGTGGAATACACCGCATCCCTAGATACAGTATTGAGAGATCATCTTGATGCCGCAACTGTTTCGAAAGGGACATCTAAGGATATCCAAAATGATTTGCTCGACTCAATATATAAAATTTGGTGACCGTACATTTGAACGCATGTACATTTGAACTCATGCGTATATCCACGAGTTCAATCTATATGCGGGTGCTAAAACCCATGAGTTAGGGTTAGTATGAGTTTAACTATCCGTGAAACAAAAAAAATTCCATATGTGCAATAGCATACAGGTGCAATTGTCATGGGTTCAAATGTACGTGGGTTCAAATGTAATGAAACCATAAAATTTATTTACAACATTTGGCTCTGGAAATTGAGAATTGCCAGTTCCTTTCGATTCAGTCTGACGAGACAACTGACATCACGTGCGTTTCCCAACTGGCTGTGATTTTTCGGTTTGTGAAAGATGGTAAACCTACCGAGAGATTTCACAGCTTTGTACCAATCGTTGATCGCACGGCTTGCGGGATATCGGCTGTACTGAAAGAAGTGTTACAGCCTTACAACACGAAGTCAAAATTGATAGCTCAAACTTATGACGGCGCGGCAGTCATGAGTGGGTCGAAACATGGTGTTCAAGTTTATATAAAAGAAGATTTTCCTCATGCGCATTTTTTACATTGTTATGCACACCAATTTAACCTCGTTATTAAAAATATGTGTCTTGATACCCCTCTCGTCCGTATATTTTTTGCAAATGTTTCGGGGTTTTCCTCATTTTTTTCCGTTTCGCCGAAGCGCTCTGACCTCCTTCGCCAGATATGTAGCCGCCGTCTCCCAGCTTGTGCACCAACACGTTGGAACTTCCAATCACGCGTGGTGCAGGGCGTGTCCGAAATTAGGTCTGAGCTCATTGAGTGTTTCATTGGCATTCAGAGCTCTCCGGTTTAGGACGAACGCTCTGTGAGGGAGACGGCAGGTCTAAAGCGTCTGCTAGAAGATGGTGAGTTTTCATTTTTTCTCGCTTTTTTCTCCACAATATTCTATCACGTGGATGTATTATACGGCGCATTGCAGTCAAGGCTAATGGATGGAGCGTCTGTGCAGTCGTGTATTTCAGACTTCTGCAATGCTGTATCTCGTATCCGGGAAACAATAAAATACGACGACACATGGAGTGCTTCTTTACGCCGCGGGCAAACAACGCAGCATTTGATTTTGTCTGCAAAGGAATGCTGTGACATTCTGGTGAATCAAATAGGCGATCGTCTGCGCACTGAACACCTTGCCGCGTTCTCTTTGATAAACCCCAAAAATTTTTCAAAATTTGCACGTCAATTTCCCATCCATTTGTTGGCTACTGTCTCCAAATTTTACCCCATGATAAACGTGGGTAAATTGGAAAATGAATTGCGATGTATATACACCAATCAAACTTTTTTGAACATCACATCAACTTGCGCGCTCTATGGGTTCCTCATAGATAACACTCTAGTAACTACCTTTGCGGCGTCTGCAAAATTTCTGGACATCATTTTGACGACGCCTATTTCTTCCGCCGACGCAGAGCGAACATTCAGCACGCTGAAGCGTATTAAAACGTATCTCAGAAACACAATGAAGCAAGATAGATTAAATTCCTTGGCTGTTTTATCCATTCACAGAGACGTTATTTCTGGGATGCATGACTTTAATCAGCGCGTTATTGAGCATTTTGCTTCCAAGAAACCGCGGCGTGTTGCATATATGTTCAAGCAGTAGAAGTCTAGCAGCATATATATCTATGAGTGAGCGACGCATGTCCTTATCTTTGCATTAACTTTCCTTTCTTCATAGTAACGTTTTAAACCTTATTTTAGGTTTTGTCTGCTTTCCCGAAGTTTCTGTTAATATGTCATTGTATTTATCTGGGTAAATATTGCCTTTCTTTTTGAAAGAGGTTTCAAAATTAACTATGTCTATATTTATTAATCCCTTGACTTGGACCGGTTTTAAAGACACTTTCTTATCGTTAAAAATTGTCGCTTTTGCCGATTGGTTGTTACCGATGGAATGGTTTTTATACTTATAAAATGATGGGAGAACTTACAGCGCTCATCCTGTCCCCGTAGATGGGGATGACTTGGTCCCGCAGTTATGCTCGAAAGTAAATTTAAAAAAAATCTACTACTTTCCATCCATATAATTTCCTAGCAAACTTAGTGAGCTATATATATATAGTTCATATGACAACGTGGCGTATTACTTGTTCGTTGAAGACTTTCAACAGTTTTTCCAATTTGCAAAATTCTGTGAATTGAATTAAGATAGTTTCGATGATCCCAACTCACCATTTCGAGCGCGGTAAAGCATTTTCGGGACCTTGTGTATACTTTGGGGCTACGTCAGACCTATGAAAAATTTCAAATGCAGTTCGTACGCTCAGTATGAACAGAAGATATCTGTCTGATTGGTAATTACATTGTTATCCCATTTTCATCAACACAGGATAAAGAATACTTGATGAAATGTCATTCTAGAATGAACGATGAAAAGAATTTAACCACGCTCAGAACACATTACTACCCGGGAATACCCGATAAGTGTTCGTTCGAACCAGGTCAAGTTCGTCTTGGTGAACATACTGATTTTGGATCTTTTACTATTTTGTTTCAAGATAAAGTGGGCGGACTGCAGGTTTGTTTCAATTATCATTATTAAAATATTTTTATGTTTCTGTTTAATTCAACTTAAAAAAAAGAGAAACATAGTTGATAGCCATTTTTCTACTTATTTTAAACGGTTACAACAAAATATTAAGGTAAGGGCACAGATGGAGAATACGTGGATGCCACTCCTATACCGGGAACAGCATAAGTAAACATAGGAGATGCTTTGCAGTTTTGGACACAAGGAAGACTCAAATCAACGGTAATTTAGTTTTCAATGTCTCCAAAAAATAAAGTTATTTATAGGTGCTAATGTATACGTTTATATATATACATTGTAAGTCATGATGAACGTTTATCCAATTATAATTTTAAAATGCGCCACACTACTTTGTATTAGTGTTTTCGCAAAAAATTGTTGTCAACTAGTTTGGGAGGATGGTGCTTGGGGCTTCCGATTCCGATGGCATTTTATGCTGTGCTATTTATAATAGATACAATATTGAGCGTTTATATTCAGAATATAAAATGGTATTTATTTGTGGTGGGAAATATAACTTTACTTTGGTTTCCGCAGATGCTGAAATGTGAAAATGGAGAAACAACAGAATGATCAAGAGTACAACATTGTCAAATACCACCAAACAGATGGAACAACAACTCCACATTCTACCGAGTTGATTTCGGATGCACATTGGATCAATCAAATTCATTGTATTATTGTTCATAATTAGGCACTAAAAAAAGTATATATATATATGGAAAAATATAGAACGACTGCGAAATTTATCCGATTATTGTGAAGAACTGGAATTATTATGCAAATATATGTATGTAATGATCTATATTATTATTTTATTTATTATCAAAAAAAATATATATATATAATGGAGTTTATTCTGGATAATATTCTACACTCCAGTATACAAATCACTGAATCAGGGGTAGAAATATTATTACATAACTTGGCGATATGGTCCGGACAGTAGTAGTAGTAGCCTTCATTTATTTCATCGATACGATAATTTAAAAATTCTTCCTCGTCATGATGATATCGGAACGCCTAAAATCAATATTAGCCGACCGTATGTATGTGATCATACAGTTTGAAGACGTCAAGAAACCTCACGTAGAACAGGTTTGGAACGCAACTAAATGAACGCCACATGTTCGATGTTATGCTTCTTTCTGCTTTATCCAATTTGGCATAGCACTTTTAAAGAATATTGATGGGCGAAGGCGATCCCCCTTCAAAACCCTATATATATAGATATTTAGCTAAATTCCTTATCACATTAAGCGAGAGTATAGTGAATCTGAAATATTTCGAAGCTTCAGCATGTTTATACTTACCCAATATATTCTTTACGTCAAAAAAGGTGGGAAACTATGAAGTTAGATGCCCAGCAATATTGATTTTACAACCACTATTTTGTAAGGGAAAGCAACATTGCTATTGATTTCTAGTCAGACTAGATTCTTTGTATACATACTGTGTTTCCCCCAAAATAAGACCTACTCTGAAAATAACACCTAGCCCGAATTTTACGAACGATTTTAATGTAAGCCCATCCCTTAAAATAAAACCTAGTCAACAACGCGACTTTTTTGACTTAGTCGATAGCAAGAAATCTCTCCTACGCGTTTTAAATGATTCATAAATTGATGATTTAATGTTTATGAGTAAATGGATATCGGTTTTCTTATTTTGTATATTTAAAAATATCGTAATTCTCTACTTTGTAATTTTGTTTTTGATAAATGAAAATATAAGACATCCGTCGAGAATAAGCCTTGGTGGTATTTTCCGTAAGAAAAGTGAAATAAGACCCAGTTTTATTTTCAGGAAAACACGGTATATGTGTCATTTCTCTTCGTTTCTGCCTCTCTTTTATGTATCAACTGTAAATATGTATGTTATTGTTATTACTATTCCAGCGTTAACTTCCTTGAGTTCAGTTATTAAATTGAAGTTTTAATCTAATAACTGCATTGCAATCTCTGTCTGGACTATTCCAATCTTGCACACTACTAGCTTGTGCGACTTTCAATTCAAATATTTGGTGATCAGGTTGATTGTACGCACATCTCACTAAGCCAGTGGTTTCCAACCTTTTTATCTTAATTTCCCACTTTCATTCCCCACAACATATCAACCCCCTTGAAAAGAAACGCCAATTTATTGCGCCCTCTAGCATTCCAAGATAGTGACGATCCGTGTAAAGAAAACCAGTGTTATTCATCGAATAGGACAATTCAACGCATAAGATTACAAACTAGATAGAGATCGGAGACCGCCGACATATCGATCTGCGGTTTCGATTCCCTCGCTCTGACTCAACCGCATGTCCCATCACCAATCAATTAATAACTCGCTAATTATACGACATAAAAATTCATCCAAAATCAATAGGCTTCTGGTCCGAGATATGATGAATGCACATGCTAAATTTGGAGCAGATTCATCCTCGCTTTCGTGAGATATCGCGTAACATACGAAAGTGAAATAAACAGACAAATACCTATCAACATACTTACCGATCGAAGTCGATAAGTAATAAGTAATAAACGCATCAGAATTTACATTACACTATCAATATCAATTTTGCCATTGTTTTTTTGACATGATAGATGTATGTCGGGGTCTATTTTCGAAAATGCGCATCATTGTTATTGGACAAGAAGACCTGCTTCATCTTTGACGCCGAAGACTTGCTCAGCAGAATATCAGCGCACTCCACCAGGCAATGTTTTAGCAATGTCTCACCAATGTAATGGGGCTTTTCCGGTCATTTCTATTCGCAGGAAAACTGCATAAGATACAAAATCTGAGATGAACACGACCACTCTGTTTGTGAAATAGCAATTTTATGTGTGATGGAAGCAAAATTTCCATTGAATATATACTGTCTATATGATAGAGCTAACGTCCAGTACTCAAGTTATTCAAATTTTGGTTTCATATAATATTAAATTACTAAATCCATTAACTACTGCTTTGTGCAGACGATAACATTATATTCAAGCTTGAGAAGCAGTTTTACGTCGTCATCCGATTCATTCTCTCTTTCAAGAGCTCTTTTGATGTCACTTGCAAAGACGTCAAGCGGATCAATTGATGGCTTCTCTTTTTCCATAAAAATATGGTAATCACCCATAGTTGAAATAAATGCTTTGAATTGCGACAACGTTAAAAGCATCTCGTGTTCAAGCCTCTTCAGCCAGTGCTTGTTGCCTTGTTGGATTTCTTCATAAATACATTTGTAGCCATTATAACATTCATAGTTCCTGTCGTGTGCATGAACGTTTTGAGAAAATTTGATAACGATATCATTTATATCAATCAAACTTTTTGGTTTTGGTTTTTCTGCGTCTTTCTGTCCGACATTACTGATGCCTTTCAATACATCAACGTAGATGGCGCAGCAACCATTTGGCTTTAAGACTCTTTTGCACTCTTCTAAAAACTTCGGTATGTTGAGCCAGTGAGCAGCAGTTCCACAACCCACCAGATCGATGCTGTTATCTTCAACAGGAAATCTATGATCGTTAACAAGTTGGAAAGATATATTTTCTGTTTCGTTAATCTCTCTCGCCTTTTCTATTTGAGCTTCACTGATGTCGATTCCTAATATTGAGCGAAAAAATGGGGCAAATATGAAGGTAGATTGCCCGGCGCCACAGCCAACGTCTAACATTTTTTCAAACTTCTTGCTTTGTGGGCTTGAGCCCATTTTTTCACTCAAATATTCCATAATAGCCTGTGGCACGATTGGCGGATACGGTGGTCGATACTTGAAATAGATTTCTGTTATCGATTTACCTTCATAAACCCTGATTAAATTTGCTTTATTCATGGCTTTCAATTGCTTCAAACCATAAAAATAAACCAAAATAAATGAACTACAAACTTTATAAAACAGCAATGTATGGTATAATCAATATTTTACATTGACTGACATTCCATCATTGCCGAACAACCGTGTTCCGACTATTGATGTAAAGGGTTACAACAATATACGTAATAAAATAGATGTGTCAATCAATATGCTGAAAAATAGCATTTTATCGTGCAAGGTGCACGTTGAATAATATCATGTTTTAGGCATTTCAAGGTCACTATAAAATCTCATTTAACTTGTTCAATCATGCCTAAAATCAATATTTGGCGAGCCATATGTATGTGATCAGCAGTTTGAAGATGTCAAGGAACTTCACGAAGAACAAGTTTAGAACGCAACCAAATGAACACCGCATGTACGATGTTATGCTTCTTCTTGCCTCATCCAATTTGGCACCGCCCCTTCCGAATATTGATGTGTGAACGCAGTGGCGTATCTACCTAAAATAGCGCATGTGGCAATATTTAAAAACGTGCCCCCTTAATCGTTGACTTACAATTTTTAACGATTATAAGTAAATTGAGATACATGTACGGTATATTTTGAGTAAAAACGCGAATTTCAGTTATTCTAATTTGAAATTATTTTATTGAAACATTCCCCGATTAAAACTTTTCGCCGCTTTCGAAACAGCGACCATGGCAAGAGCCATGGCTTCCATGTCATGGATACGCCACTGTGCGAACCCAATCTTATATATATATATATATATGTATTTTAAAACCATTTGAAGTCTGTACGCATATGAAGTCTAAAATGTTGTTTATCGCATTAATAAGCGAATGTATGACGAATCAGAAATAATTCGAAGCTTTGACATGTTAAACTTTCCCAATATATTCTATACGTAGAAAAAACAGAGTGGGTAACTATGGAGTTGGATGTTGAGCAAAATAAATTTTACAACTATTATTTTGCGAGGAAAAGCAACAGCGCTATTGATTTCTAGTTCCTGTTCTACTGGAATTATTGATTTTAGTTCAAGATGGCATCTTCACAATATATACAAATATATTTCTGTAACGTTTCGTCTGACCAAGGTCTGATTTCCTCAGACATACATAGTTCAACTATAAGACGCATGTCAAATAATCAATAAAATTAAAATTCTTGATTAAATAACAGCGGGTGACTGCAATGAAAGGTTTGTAACGAGGTCTCTTTGTTCTATGTTTAACAAATGAAGTCCAAATTAAACGATGGTGTTTTGTGTTTCTCAGCATTAAATGTTGCAGACCAGAAAAGTCGACTTTGGGTTTTAATACTAGTTCAGATGTCTTCCCGTTTTTCCGATCCCTGGCATAAAATAGCTTGCTGAGACTTGTGATAAACCTTACATCAAATTAGGTTTTCAAGATATATCTAATTCTAATAGAACAGGCTCTCTAATTATTCAGAATACACTCGCATATTTTAGTGAGAATTTATAATAACATTCTTCATATAGACCAATTACTTTGAAATAAGAATCGACAATGAAAAGATTTCAACGCGACTCCTGTGGTTTGAAGAAACAATTTACCAGCGTAGTAACTTGTTTTCATTGTTTACACGTAAAAATGACAATAACTTGAATTTAATTTATTGTCTTTACTTGCTATAATTTTCCTACACTTTATTGAACTTCTTATAGTATTGACTACATTATTTACATACACATAAACTCGATATTTCAGAGTACTGTGTTAGTGTGTTTACTTCATAAACCAAAAAACGGTATACATTGTATGCACTAGGGGCAGGGCAGAGCAAGATAATAACTGCATGAAAGGTCATGAACTCAAGCACCGAATTAAATTAGTATAAAATATGCAATATCACTACAAGTTACTGCTCTTGCTTTTTATGGAGTAACGAAGACATAATATTCTCCAGAATGAGTTCATGTGTTAAAAATTAAAATATTCCTTTCTTGCATATTCGATTTGCGTTAAATAAGATTTTAAAGTAGCTTTAAAATGCATTGAAAATGATATATATAGATTTATATTTCATTGAAATTATTCATATGCATTGGTGAAATCAGGAGCATCGACAAGTTTCCTCTACCGCCATCTGTGATCTCTCTCGATATCGCCTAAAATAGAATATCAATCAACGTTTTTTGCGTGATAGAATGCATTTTTTAAGCATATTGATTGACACATCCATCTTATGACGTATATTGTTGGAACCATTCTCCCAAATGAAAATTTCCGGAACAAGATAGGTTCTTCGGAAATTAAAAATGGAATGTCAGTCATTGTCAAATATCGATTATACCATACACTGCTGGTTTATAAAGTCTGTAGTTTCTTTATCTTGGTTTCTTTTTTATGGTTTGAATAAATCATGAATGAATCAAATTTAATCCGGGTTTATGAAGGTAATTCAATGGCAGAAATCTACCACAAGTATCGGCCATCGTATCCGCCAATCGTGCCACAGGCTATTATGGAATATTTGAGTGAAAAAGTGGGCTCAGGCCCACAAAGCAAGAAGTTTGAAAAAATGTTAGATGTTGGCTGTGGCACCGGGCAATCTACCTTCATATTTGCCCCATTTTTTCGCTCAATATTAGGAATCGACATCAGTGAAGCTCAAATAGAAAAGGCGAGAGAGATTAACGAAACAGAAAATATATCTTTTCAACTTGTTAACGATCATAGATTTCCTGTTGAAGACAACAGTATCGACTTGGTGGGTTGTGGAACTGCTGCTCACTGGCTCAACATGCCGAAGTTTTTAGAAGAGTGCAAAAGAGTCTTAAAGCCAAATGGTTGCTGCGCCATCTACGTCCCTGCATTGAAAGGCATCAGTAATGTTGAACAGGAAGGCGCAGAGAAACCAGAGCTGCATTCAAGTTTGATTGATATAAAAGATATCGTTTACAGATTTTTTCAAAACGTTCATGCACACGACAGGAACTATGAATGTTATAATGGCTACATATCCATTTACGAAGAAATTCAACAGGACAACAAGCAATGGTTAAAGAGGCTTAAACATGAGATGCTTTTAACGTTGCCGCAATTCAAAGCATTAGGTTCGAGCATTGGTGATTACCATATTTTTATGGAAAAAGAGAAACCATCAATTGATCCGCTTGACGTTTTTGCAAGCGACATTAAGAGAGCTCTTGGAAGAGAGAATGAATCGGATGACGATGTAAAACTGGTTCTCAAGCTTGAATATAAAGTTATCGTCTGCACAAAGCAGTAGTTAATGGATTTAGTAATTTAATATAATTTGGAACCAAAATTTGAATGACTTGAGTAGTTGACGTAACATTTTTGTATATAGACCGTGTATTTTCAATAAAATTTGCTTTCACCACAACTAAAAGAGTGTATCTCAAATTTCGTATCGTCGGACTGAGGCGCAAACGTTACGAAGGACGAATTATTTGAATAAAAACTTGAAAAAATGCAAATATAAAGCGATTGTTTAGTTATGAATAAAAATAGTGTCGGAGAGATTATAATATTAGTTTTGATTCCCAGTCGAAAGTATGCTGCTCTAATTCATAACATTTTAATAATATGATCTATAGTATACTAATTGTGTTTGAAAGTAATCTTTGCCAGCGAAACTCTGAACACACGATTGATTTTTCGTCTGGTGCAGTTCATTCGTGATAGGTTTGGTATATATATATAGACTGTTATACATGGAGATATATTCGCAATAATGATGAAGTACATTTGACCCTACATTTGAAATTTCAATACCTTCTCAATAAAACATCAAAACCTAAAATCGATTCTTTGGTCTGCAGTGCATAATATGCCTCTAATAGTTCATTGCCATATTATTTGTTGCATAATCAGCTAGTACCAGATTTACTGTGACATACATATATGTGTATGAAAATGGAGCGTTGTTCATGTTGTGGTAGAGATTTTTTTTAATTTTTACGCAGGAGAATGTCAATTTTCGGGCTTGTGGCTTCTGTGGGATACTTTTTTGTGTGCGATTTTGTCCACTGTGACAGATTTTATTACCTATAGCAGTGGTTCTTAAACTTTTTCAAGCGCGACCCAAATCTGAGTTTTATGAATACTCGCGACCCAATCCTAAAAAACGCAAAATGTGTTTTTAATGTTAGTACAATTTGACTCAAATACAGACAACTATTTATTAGAAACAGTCCATTGACTCAGTGAGATTGATGAAACTGAAATTTCCTTTTTCATTATATCTTCAATACACAGCTCTATTTTACTTAACGCAATACGCAAGTTGTCACGGGTATCGAAGCGATTGCGAGCTTAGTTTTGATAACCGTCAGTGCCAAATATCCTCGCTCGCACAAGTGCCTTGTCGCGAATTGTAGCAGAAAAGGCGTCCGCTGTCCGTCGCAAACACGACATCCTAGCTGGCCTTCGGTATCTCTCGCAATATACAACTTTTTACTCGTCACATGTGCACGCACTGCTTCGTTCGCGGTAAATGGTGCCTCGAGATGAAGTCACATTTTCTCTAGATATTGAATAATCTAATGTCGAGAAGCGAGCTTTTTCATTGCGTCGTCTATTACAATTTTCATTACTAAAAAGACACCCATTTTTGGTTATTTTAATCCACTAAGACGACATTCCATGCGGTCAACACAACGACAAGCGACGTGCATGGTTACCGATACCATAAAAAATAATACACGTGACTGGCATATCAGAATTGTGATGTAACAATGAGCTCAAGACAGTTCTTTCCGTGAATGAAGTTGAAAATTCGTCCTTCTCCTCTTAGATTGCCCTTGCATTGACGACCTTGTCGCGACCCATTTTTAAACCTTCCGCGACCCATACTTTAAGGACCACTGACCTATAGGCTACTACTTATAGTTTTGGTCCTCGTGTCCATGAATTTCAGGAGTGGGCAAAATTTTTCAGTATAAGAGCCGCATAATTTTTAAAATTATTAATATTAGGGCTAATTAAAACATTTTGCATTGTGATTCTTACATGGATGCTAATACCGGCGTTTGAACTATTGAATGCGACAACATCAGCAATATTTTTCCCCCACATAATCACAGTCGGAGTATGTGCGTTTAGCACGAGCAACATTCCATGATATACCAAAACTAGCTTCAGTTGATGCATTGGATTCTTTGCCAAATGATACCACAAATTTCTGCCGTCTTTTTAGTAATGATTTAAAGTCATTTCCGTACAGCTGATTTACGAGGGTAGGTAGTCTCGTACGAATTTTTTGTAATTCGTTTCATATTGCCGTTCAACATTGCCGACTTTATTTTGAATTAGCAGCTTACGAGAGATTAAACACAAAGGTTAATTTGTGGGCTAATGAATGCGTATTCAGTATTCTCATATTCGCTTCTCACTTGAAGACATATCGCACTGTAACTGAGACTAACAACAGCACGCAGCAACACACATTGACCATTGTGACGTAAATTTTGTCGCTTGACTGATTTAAAATTCCACGCCACAACGATTTTCATACTAAAACATAATTTGTCTTAGTTATTATTGAATTGAAAACTAGAATATCGGTTGGAAACCGAATACTTATCGATCGATAGTTAGGGGATCCCCCAAAACAGAAACTGCAGTTTCGATTCATCCGCTCGTGTAACTTGCGCACTGCGCATCGCACACACACACTCGGCGGGTCTCAAAATTCTCTCGCTTTACAAAAATCTAGATCACTTGATCAATAATTGATTGATAACTCGCTAATTATACGACATAATTCGCCCAAAATCAATAGGAATCTGGTCCGAGATAAGATGAATGCACATGCAAAATCTGGAGCAGATTCAATCTCGCTTTCGTGAGATATCGCGTGCATCTAACAGACAGACAGACATACATACATACAGACAAATACCTATCAATATACTTACCGATCTTAAGATCGATAAGTAACAACTGCTACACTACAGTTTCTTAGTTGAATTTTGATAATAAGTAATGATAGCGAGAAGAGCATAAAAACTCTCGCGAGCCGCGGTTTGCTCACCGTTGATATATTTAAACGTCGCTCTCTTTTTCGAATTCATATAGTATTGTTCAAGTGGGTATGTTTTTTCCGGCAAGCTAAGTCGAGGAATCGAGAATCGGAATTAAAAATTTAGGAATCGGATAAGAATCGAATACTTGTAAGTAGTCATACTTAGCATCCTTACTAGCCAGCCAGTAGTGTACAAGAAAAAACAGGAATGAATAGTTCAGGCGGAGATTGCTAAGCAGTTATTAGATTAAAAATTCAATTTAATAACTGAACTCTGTTCAAGAAAGTTAACGCTGGAATAGTAATGACAATAACATACATACATACAGTTAATACATAAAATAAAGCAGAAATAAAGGAAAATGGCACAGATATGTATACAAAGAATCTACTCTGATAATAGCATAGGTGCATCAATAGGCAAGCCTCAATATGCACAATTAGGACGTTAGCCAAATTTTACTAAGTGAACAGAAAAACATTTCAATTTTGTTGTGAAATAATCGAAAATTTTTCAAATCGTGGCAAATATTTTTACTTTATGTCCTGTCTTCACTCAGAATAAGGCTCTTTACAAGAATCTTCTTATATGTAGAGCTCCTACTTTCGGAAAAGCCAGAATCTTTCTGGTTTGGCATTGTATACCCAATTCATTTGAATTTCAAACTTATTTTAACAAACTATAAATGACACTAGTGGTAATATCGCATATTTTGGCATTACTAAATAACAAACAAATTATATATGTGAGATAGCTAATGAGAAACAAATGTGACGGCAACACATCATTGAGCGATATTATAGACAGATAATATATGTGCTTCACATGATGAGTATATTTCAATATGTGCGAATATTGTGTTAGTAATATATTTGCAATTAAAACTCAGAATCCAACAAAAATATGAAAAAACCTTAAAAAGAAACTAAAAACAACAGCGATGTTTTTTTGTAAAGCTTGCAATTGAGCAAGTTGATGAAGAGACAACAAAGCACATCATGTCATAAGCAAAAGCGACGAGAATTAGGTTTGAATGTAATTTCAATGTGGATTATTTCCTTTTCTTTATTCATAGCATAACAAATCGATTACAAAATAATTTTAAATTCCACAAGAAGCGTTTTTACTTCTCTCAGAAAAAGATGTTGAACATGCAGCCACTAATGCTAATGCCGATATTTGTAAAAACCAGAATATTTCTAATTCGATGTTGGCTACTCACCTTATTACGACCACCATGCAGTGGTGGCCATAGGGTTTGAACCAGACATCTTCAACTGCAACAATGCTATACGGTGTTGTTTATGTCAACAGCATATCTTATTCCAAAATAACTATAGGAAAAGCATGCAAAAACGTAGCAACAGAACATCAACTTTTAAAGGAACAAAGAAATTTAGAACGAATTAGATAAGAAAAGATAAAAATGGATTGATCTGATAATTATACAGCATTGTAAACAACAATTTATTATGGTTAGGTATGTTATAATTTGCAAGTATATACACTTTTCGTAGAGATTGAAGATGAAAACAATGCCATGATGCATTGAAACACCATAAAATAAGCGAATTTTTGACTGTGGGGCTAGATGTACAACTCTAAACGGATGATATTTTACCCATGTTTTCGTATGCAAGCCTGAAGATAAGTTGAAAGGAAATTACGACTGGGGTACCTCCTTAAAAAGCGACTCAATATAAAAAAAATTTAAATCGTTGAGCGTAACATTTGAAACAGACAGAATGTCTCAACAACGAATCTCACAAAAAAGTTGAGGAACTACATTATTTGAAATTTGCACATGGAATAAACAATAGGGTGCTGTTAACTAAATTAATGATAACTATGAATTTGATTGTATTATAAATCCAGTGAAAGCATGGAATCCTTTTTTTTTGACGAGAGATAAAAATGATCAACAACAAAAATAATATTGGCTAGGAATTTTTTGTGTTAAAAGGAGCTGCTCCAAAAGCATCCAACCCTGGTTGTGGAAATGTTTTTGCGGAATTATCAGATTGAGGAGACATTTCTTTATTCGTCATCGGCATAAATGGTGTATCACCAAATGCATCAGAAGCCGAGCTGGATTTATTATCACTGGCGTGGTGGTGTCTTGGTCTAAATTAAAAAAAAAAAGCATTAAATGTTAATAAAAAAAGATGAAATTTGAAAATAAAACACTGTTTTGGGAAAAATGAGGAAATGTATATTCTTGACTTTAAAACTCCTCTACTTTGGTGAATGTTACTTCGATAATAAAACTAGTTTAGAGAGCATTTATTTGTCCTTAATTTTCAAAATGTGAATTTTTTTCAAAATTTCAACGTTCGTCCTTTTGTCTCAAAATCTGCAAATAAAAAAGTGTCTTCAGAAAACTAACTATTCAACTAACTAATTCCAAAACAATGGAATAAACTAAATCTTATATATTGCAGACTTACTTTGGCACAGGTTTTTTCCTCATTCGCTTCTTACCCTCATCTGCACCAACAACGGGGCTCATGTTGGGGCTGCTGCTCCCATTGTGATGATGTGACCCCCTTCTACCACTTCCACTACTACTATTGCTACTGCTTCTTGAAGCTTTCACACGCGTCCTCATCCCAGATCCTTTGCTATTGCTTCGATCTGTGAATTCAAAAAGTATTTGGTTTAGTTCGTTTAAACAAATTGGTACGATGGACTGTTTAGTGTTTCAAAATTAGCCCTCATTGGGGTCGTTCTCTGTGAGTCACAAGAAATAGGCCTTCACTAGGTACAGGGTGATTCCCTAAAAAATGAAAGCCAGGTCATTCGATTCAGAATAGATAGAACATAACTTTTGTGAAAAGCGTCTTACATTACTGAAACTTTCGGGTACCATCATACACACAAATAGAAGTTCGAGTGTTTTCATTTTCGTAGAAGTAATTAGAAAATTTAGGAATTCTATTTTTTGGGTCCCCTGCATCAGGTGTGATGATTACGTAATTTGAAGTAAATTAACTGTAATTAAATTAATTTATCACTGACTGTTAAGCATTTTTAAACGAGGCTGATAGAAATAAGTAATGGAAAACAATTAAAAACAAGAATACAGTGATATTTCGGCAGTCGAATGAATTGATACTCGAACAATACGGTAGTCGACCGGAAAATTTTGGTCAAAAATGCTACGTTACTAGAGTGGATATTCGATGCTATAAAAACCCGAATATGGAAACCCTATCCCATCATATACTTAACATATCAGTGGCTGATTGTTCAGAGCAAACATTGAATGAAATGAAATCATATCCATATCTCACAAACTGAAAATGAGTAGAAGATGGAGAACTGTGATATTGATTGGAATGTATATAAATCTATATAATGAAGGCTGTTTTAAAAAAAAAAATCACAGATTTCATTTTCTATGATGCAGCAAATGTGGACGCAAACAAACAAAATACAAAGAGCTCAGGAGCTCATTTTTGACCAAGAACATTCTAAACAACTCATATTGACGGAATAATAATATAATTCATTCAATCGGACCACAAAACCTACAACGAAAATGAAGCATTAAAAAGGCGATTGAAAAATTAATCTTAAACATAAAACCACTTAATTTTTCAACCAACCTCTTGGTGAATTATTTTTCCTCGCACCAGAGCTTATCACTTGTCTTCCTGGAGTTTTCTTCCTAATTGCTGCCTTGCGATTTTGTTGAAGATGAGTAAAATGAAGATTGAGTTTCGTTCCAGTATCAGTTTGAGACTGATCTGACGACGATTCCATTTTCACAGGTTCTGGCTGTAAGATTGATAATCAAATAATGACAATGCTGCTAATATATAAGATAGGCCAAAGATCACCGATGTCATTAAAGACTGGATAGCAAAATAGGAAGATACAATAATAAACCTCAGCCTTCTAGGATACATTTTCGTTGCATACTAGTAAAGCTCAGCGATTGGAACTTCTTGCTAAGCGTTCATCACCATTCTGATTACACTTCGAAAGTTCGATCTTGGGGGTTTCCATTATGTGCAAAAGGATTGCTTGATAACGTGGGGTGCTTTACATAGTCACCGGTCAGTTACGACTTCCTCTACCCCATCAAGTCCATATATCAGAAATATAACTGGTCAACTAGTAACAGCACAAGTGTATGTGGTTCACCATATGAATAAGCCATATTATCGACTTCCTATTACTCTTAGATAAATATGAAAATCATATCCAGATAAATTCTGAAAGTAGATATTCCAGTACATTAGGCGAAAAGTTTTGTTTTTTGTCATCAATTTGCCAGAAATTCTATAACTCTATCAGCAAAAAAGTAGGAACAACGAGGTTCAAAAAATATATAAAACAATAACCTGGATTATAATTACACTTAATACTCACTGTAAAAGGTGCAGCTCCAAAAGCATCTTTGTTGGGATCTGTACTAGGACGAGGCGGCGAAACAGCAGGAGCAGTAAAGGGTGCGTTATCAAAAGGATTGACATCTGTACTTGTAGTATGGGCATCTTCTTCCGGCAAATTTGCCATCATATGTACAGAAGGAACAGCAGCCACATTGAAAGGTGTACATCCAAATAAATCCTCGCCGACTGGGTTGGGAGTGTTGGTGAATGGTGCGTTTGAAAAGACTTCAGACCCGATGGAACTGGTACGTGGTTTTCTATTTATGTGACTTATCGGGGACTTATGAGAGTTGAAGGGTGTAAGTCCAAATTCATCTGTTAGATTGAAAAATAAAGCACTTGACAGAAAATCTCATACACCAAAATCATAAATTCGTTAGTCATTTTTTCCATATATGAATTCTATTTCAATATCTTACCACACGTTTTCTGTCCACCTCTCTCAGAGAGTAGGAATTGTCCACTAAACGAAAAGATTTCAATCCTTTCTAAATAGTTGTAGCTACTTACATATCATTAGATATCAGTGGCTGATTGTATAAGTCAGTTATTCCCAACAAGTGGGTAATTCCCCACTCGTGGAGAATTGAGGCGTTACTAGTGGGGAATTAACAAACTTTCACGCAGTAAACACAACGAATGAATATGGTTACACAATGAAAATCATAACAACAATAGGCAAAGACAGACACCCATGGTGCTTAAATTTTGTAAAAAACTTTGTGTGAACGTGTTGTTGCGTAGAAGTATATAATTATGGAGGCGCAACACTATGGGGTAGTTGATCAAAGCAGTGCATCGCAACTTTTTTCTACAACCACAAGTTATATTAAAAATTATTGCTTTAAAATAAAAGCTCAGAACTGACAGAGGGTCTTGATTTGTACACCCAATTGAACGAAAACCTACCCCAAATTTTATTGGATGCTTTAGTATGTAGGGAATGAAAACCCTCTCTAAATCGAAAGTGGGAAATTCAGAAAAAAGGTTCTGAACCGATGGTACAAGTACTTGTTCAGAGTGAAACAAAATTAATTACTTCTTACCAGTATCGTGAAGATTATCTCCAGGATGATCAACCTCATCCTCATCATCCTCCATGATAAGAGGTTTGCTTCCTAATGCTTCCTCTTCTTCATTTCTATGATGATGTTCTTCATCATCTTCAGATGATGAGAAAGAAGATTCAGAATCCCTAACTTGGGGATATCCTTCTGTAATGATTAAAAACAAAGTCTTTTTTAATTTTTACCTTGAATTGCTTGAATGGCGTTTTCTTCGTAAACTTAACTGGCATGAGGTGGCGGGCATTGGATTCGAACCTGTGTTTCTAAGAATCCAAAACTAAACCAGAGTTCCAATAAATTTGAAAACAAACTAATTCTTTCCACCATATGAGTAAAAATACCAGTGTCTCATCTTTCTCAAACTGGATAAGCTATGTATATGGGAACAATTGTGAGAATCAAACTCAAGTATGGTCGAAGGCAAAGACATTGGGTACAATCTCATGTTGAACACCTCACTCACCCAGGGTGTAATAAATTACTTAAGCAATGCCGAATCTTCCTGTCCTCAAAATGGAAACTCATTACATATTATTAGTTTTTTTTTGCAGAGCCTTATCCAGAGGAGCAAAAAAACAGATGACAAAAACTGTATAAATTCAAGAATTCTGAAAACACTACATCTACATATTTTTTCCTATATAAGGAGAATTTCTCAAAGCATGTGCATTCACTGAGAAATGAAGAAGATTGATTTCTTATTGTTGATAACCACTAAAGTGCCAAGAGCTACTGAGACTATAACGAATTATAGTGTTAAATTTTGCAATAGTAAATGCCAAATAACGAGAGACTTAAAGCAGTTCATGTCAGTTTTAAGAGGTAATTCCACATGATTAAAAGGGTCTGGTATAGTTCAGTACCACGTGGCACATCTAGTTGACCTGACTCAAAAATTTTTGCATACGTCATTCCTAACCCCCACCTGACTACGTCTACCTCATCAAAAAATTACTTCATTACGACATCATTGCGGCAAAATAAGTCCCTCCTCCAAAGAATACAGAATACCGTCCAAAACGAGCAGGTAATCACCGGGAATCGAGCAAGCTATTTCTCTCATTGCAACGATTCTGATATGAGAGAGATTGCTGACATTGGTGAGTTCGTTATCGGCGGTGCAGATGTCATTTCGGGCTATCGTAGCTACACTTCGACAAGCTCTATGATTTGATTGTGACATGATTTTTGGATGACATAGTCAGGTGGGAGTTAGGAATAACATATGCAAAATTCGTTAAGCTACACCCACTGGAAGTACTTGTGGTACTAAACTATATTAGGCCCGATTAAAAGTTCTTGGGAAAAACTTTTGGCACTAAATTTTTTCGAATGGTAATTTGTCCGAACAAATAAAATATAAATCCAATCTTACTTTCTGATCCATCTGCACTAGATCTCTGGTCATCTGAAAATCCAACAACACCAAACACCCTATATCCTTTAATATTAGTTGTTGACATCACTGGAGCTGATTTTCCACTATCAGCACCCTCGTTTCCAAAACCATCAATAGTAAAACTATGTTCAGGGACTACAGTCCCTTTCTCGATACGTATCTGTCCAAAGCTGTCATCGCTTTGAACGCTATCGTTCAATGATTTAATAAAATTGTCTTCTTCTACATTCACATTAACAGTGTTTTGTAAATTATTATCAATGTCTTTAGTAACAAAGTTTGAATTGTTCGTATTTTCTATTAGTTCGTCGCTTCCGGTTGGTTCTTCGACATGAGTTGGGAGGTGTTTGTTACCTAGGGTAGAGAGTAAGAACAAATTAATTTTTTATAAATGATCAATAATACAGATTCCAATTGTTTAAAAAAGCCATAAATTCACAAATACAAAAATGAAATTTAAATATATAAAATATATATTTCAAAAGTATTAATTACTCTTTTAAATCTTAAAATTTGGACACACTAAAATCCGGTTCTAAAGGTATATTTCCCACGGTTGATTTTCAGTATCACACAACAGACTCATCCTAAGTACGTTACAAGAGGTCTTCAATTCTCAATTTGTATTTTTTTACATCATAAAATATGTTAAGCATATTATGCTGTAAATACTATTCTCGGCTGAGGACAACTACACCTAATTAACTTTTATAGTTAATAGTAGTTTTTTATATTTTTAATAGCTTCTAAGGTATGGAAATTTTGTTCGAGAAAAATCCTGAAAGTCTAAAAAATATGAATTAATTCAGAAAAGCATTAGAATGGGGTTAGGATCAAATTTCATCTAAATTTTTGATGAAAACTTTTTAATGACGGAATTTCTATAGTACAGTTTCTGAACATCAATTAATAAATGCAAATTCGGATTTCACAATCTCTATATACATTCTTAGCGACTAATATTATTTAGTGAAAATAGACCTCAATACAGGTACTAGAAAATTTTGAAAAATAACTAGAGCTGAGAACTACTTCTGTATTTGCTAAAGCTAATTTCTAACAATTCAAATACTCTAATCTAAACTTGTAATGCTCACACTAGCTTACTCTACTAAAAACTATGAATCGCAACAAAAGAATTAAAGGAAAAGGTGAAGTGGTAGAAAAACAGAGTAATACATTCGATGAATAATATTTTAACTCTTTGTTAAATATTCCTGATGGATCATTTACATGCTATAAATGCTGAAACAGACTAGAAGGTACTTGACTGAAGACTTTTTTAAAAGTAAATACAGTATGTGAATAACCTCAAAAAAGCAGTAAAAAATCAATATAAAAACTAGCATCTCTTTCACAGGTTTTAAAACTTTGTGAAAGAGGAACAATGCCATCAAGTCACACAAAAACAAAATAATGGTGAAATTTTAAATACAAACAAGCACATCAAACAAATTTTGATGCTAAAATTTATCAAAACCACCATCTAATTGAAACACACTATACATAGACACGCTTCGATTACATAGTAAGAAATTGAGGTTAAAGGTATTTTTAATTGCGTGCGGTGCTGTGAAAATTGTGATAAAACAAAACGAAAAGTGCATCTATAAAAGAAAACATCAAACTAAGTTAATTGAACAAAGCATTAGAATACATAAACCCTCTGTTTACTTCTATATAAGTTGCCGAATTTGAAAACCAATTTTCATTTTCATTTGAAGCAACATTTTGAATGCTCTCAGAATTTAGTACAATTAAAAATGATTTCACATTTTAAAAAAAAATTTCCGTGAAATTTTGAAAAAAGTATTTTTTGAATATGCATTACTCTTTAAACAAGATCCAAAATAACAATTTTAAAAATGTAGCTTTTGTAAATAAACTTTTATTTAATCTTAGTTTTTCATATGAGTTTTGAGCCTTTGCCCAGTGAAAGTAATTGCCTACCCCTGTTCTAAATGAATAAAGAAAAATAAATTTCAAGATTATATGAAATGAACAAAAAGAACGATTTTCGCTGAAAATATGAAAAAAGAACTGGAAATTAATAACCAGTGGTTGGAACAAATGAATGAATAGAAAGCAGATTGAAATCAAAACGAAGAAAGCACAAGCTACGCAACAGAACTAAACAAATTGTCAGCAACGAAAAAAAAAGAAAGAAAATTATCCAAGCGGAGGAGAAAAACGTTACATCACTGCCTGATCATGCTGATATCGTACCTTCGTAAACCTGCCATTCCTGTTCTAACCTGTCTTTCCGCATTGTTTTCTTGCGGAATGAGGTTTTGTAAGTCTGAAAATACGCAAAACTAAGGGTATGGAGGTATTAAACCCGCTTTGCCTACTGTGGTCCATAGATGGACCAGGCCTCAACGGCCTGCTCTATCTATAGCCCACACTAGGCTGTAGATTAAATCATATAAAAATCACTTATCATTTCAAATTCACCACCTAATGAGATTTACTTTTTTTTATTCTGCGATTTCAAGTCAAGGGGATTTAAAACAACAGGATTACCTAAAAATAAATCAGAACCCAGGTCATTTGGAACATATTCTAGACTTAGAGAGAACATAATTGTGCAAAACGTCCCAGATTACTCAAACCTTTGGGTACAATCATACACAAACAGAAGTTCAAGTGCTAAAATTTTAAATAAATTTTCTTCCATATCATAGAAGTAATTAAGAATTTCATGCGTTATGTTTAGTTTGAGTCGCACTGTACTACTCCAATGTTCACAAATTCCAACTCCACACAGCGACTATAACTTTCAAGTTTGAATGAAAAACCACATTACCAAAACGTTATTAACTGGGGTAATACTTACCAGCTTGAAATGGTTTTGCACCGAACAAATCTTTCTGAACATCATCACAATTTCCTGCAAAAAATTCACAGTTCCCAATAACGCATTTACTAAATCATTCTGATTATAAAAGAAAAGGACTTGATATTTCAAATTCAATTTTCCGTTCGTATTCTATATTATCCTAGAATAGTAAATTATACAGAATTGCCTTAAAGAAATCTTGCCTTGACCAAAACAGCCATCCTTATGGCCAAACAAGGTTTCTCATCTGATGACCAGTAATAATCACCAAGTGAATTGTTTTGATACTACATATCACAATTCTAACAAAATTTTGCTTTGTCTGGATTATGAAAAATAAAAATTAATTCAAATCATTAAGAATGCTGAATATTAAGGTGAGCCTGTGGCTTATATAAACCATCAAATTTTGTGGTAAAATATCTATTAGGATTTAGGATACAGAAGAAAGTCGAAAACAAAACGTAATAGCTTTCTAGTGACTATTTCTATCTCCAAGAACTGAAAATATGAGATCAATTGATCCAAAGTCATAGAGTCAAGAGCCTATAAATAGTATGCGGCTGCAAAATTTGGCTAAAAAAAGCCAAGTCATCCGGAGCCAAAATGTCACAATTAGTGAAATTTCCCCAACCTGGTTCAGTGTTTCTTATTGTCAAAAATTCGTCAAATTCTTTGTCAGCATCAACTTGGCCTTCTCCAACATTTTGCGTAAAATTATCGCCATCGAAAGGATTCCAAACTTCTATATCTGGTGTTAGACTGTTGCTACTGGTACCTGAATTCAATTATTTATAACACTTTTAATCGAATGCTGGTTCAGTATAGTCTGATTTATATCAGTCTGGATGTAGGTGGTAGGAAACGGGGTTTGAATCTGCAATCCCTCACTGGCTACATTGGTATACCATACATCAGGGGCACTGTGATGTCATAGGCATAGATAACAAATTGAAATCAGGTATAGACTTCACAACACAAAGCGATTGGAATTACCAAATTAAAAACTCGACATCATTCAAAATTGGCACTTCTCCACGGGGCGCACAATTTTTTCTTGAGAATAGCATTTTCCTGCGGACCGCAGGTTGAACACCCCCCCTGCTATACATTAATAGGACCCCCATGCTAACTTCTTAGTCTTAACCATCAGGTCTATTGTAGAACACATAAATATTCAAATTAATTTCTAGAACATTAGAAATTAATAGAGTATTATTTAATTCTGTACATGCAGCTACCACAGTTACTTTATGAATTATGAGGTACTATTTTTCGGGTTTTACACTCTGAGCGAGGTGGCAGGCACAGAGGTTTGAATCAATGATCCTTAACCTGCAATGCCAGCATGGTAATGTCGAAAGCTCTAACGACTAAGTGAATGAAAAAAATGTTTTATTTTATCCTTTGTAGTTATAATTGACAATTTTGCTATTCAACTATTTATTTCCTTACTTTTCTGTTTATTTAATGTTCCAACAACATTTGTATCACAAGGTGTTATTTGATGTCTTCTTCGTGCAGATGCAGTTATACCTGAAGCAGAAAAACATAAAGATTGAAAAACAGAGCATAGATGCAAGCCTATATTTTATGACAATGGTGGGCCTGATGCGCCCATCACAAAAACGAAAAAAGGATCTTTTTAGTTTAAACAGAGATGTCCGAAGGATTTGATCATATATTCTATATGGCAATTCTACAATTTTATGAATAATTTCAATTGGAAACTTTTGTAAAAACAGATGGAATTCCGTATGCCAATGTGTAAAAAAAGCTTCGTTACTACAATTTCCAACAACAGCAACTCATTATTATAGTGAGCTATTATAGCTCAGCTATACCGTATATATTATTTTCATTTAAGGAAAAAGCAGCGAAAAGTTTAGTCAAGAAAAATTTAGGATCAGCGTACCTGAAACATCGCTTTGTACTCTTCTGTGAGTTCTTCTAGTGCCATCCAGAGTGTCTCCTAAAACATATACAATAAAATTTATTCCACTACCTAACAGTAGGTTACATCAGGGTTAGGGAGCCGGAGCTGGACTCTGAGAAATAAAATTTCAGTGGAAATGCAGCCAGCTCACCATATTATAGAGAGGCTGGACCTACCAGTAATTTCAGTGGCTCAAGCTCCTAACAATCCAAACATTGTGAAAAATTTATGATTTCCTTCCTTCAGTTTATAAAATATCATTATAAATTTTATTCTGTAATATTATTGAAAAAGTTTCAAGTTCAATTTCAAAATTTTGAAACCTTATATCATTTTCGCAAAATTCCATTCGGGTTGCAAATAAACTCAAAAACCGCATTAGCTTTTCAATAGAATACAGTTTTAATATACTGTGACTTCGCAGCTAGAGCCACTGTGATTTTAAAAGAGCTATTATCAGCTACCCAGCTCTGGTTTACAATGTTTATAATAATCATATATAAAGTACAAATCATCATACGTATTCACGATGTCACATTTAGAAGTACATCATAAAGAAACTATATTCTTATTCCAAATTTACAAAATTAAACAATACTCAATACCTGCGGGTGATGCAGCTTGAAGGTGTATTGAAGGCATATGAGCATTGCTTGTACTACCAGAACGTCGAACTGAAATATGCTCATTTTGCTGGTTCACCTTTTGCTGAAAAGGAAATTTTTTTACAATGCAACACAAATGTATAGGCTATACCAGTGGTTCCCAAACCGCGGCCCGCGGGCCAGTTACAGTCCACATAATGATTTATAATGGCCCGTCAAACTTATATGTTGCGTTTATGTGAAAACGTCCATACTGTATAAAAATGATCGAGCTCTGAGTCCAAGCCAGACTTTTCTTAATCAAGAGTGTATATTCAAATAGCTAAGAATACAATTGAGCTCTTCTCAGACTTTAGAACTCTGATGAGTATACTATGGTCTTTAATGGCAATACATCTTTATCAACTCTTGTAGTTCATGTATCAGTAATTTGATAGTTCAGTTCATAATTATCTCTCATATATGCAAAGAATTGTGAAGAACACAATGACCTCAAAAATTTCATATATATTCAAAACCATATAATACTGTGTGAATACACCATGGAGCACCCAAACTAAAATTAACAATTTTTTCTCTATAATTCATCCATATCTCACCATGGCAGATTGTTGTTGTTGTAATTGCATCATCTGTGCCCTTCGCTGCATCTCAACTTGCTGTTGTTGCAACTGAGCCTGTTGTTGAAGTTGGGCTTGCTGTTGTTGCTGAAGTTGTGCAGCAGCTTGAGCCTGAGCTTGAAGTTGAGCTTGCTGCTGACGTTGAGCCTGTATTTGCTGGGCCTGAAGCTGTGCTTGTCCCGAAGACTTTGAGTCGAGAAAAAAAAATTATTTCATTTATTCCCAAAGCTCAACTGTTGGTGCTAAAAATTCCTAGAAATTTGATGAAGTGAAGTGTTAAATATTCTGATAATAAATAATGAAATTGTTCTATAACAAAGAATCACAAACTCTCTCAATATTAAGATGAGACAAGATAACAGATAAGCTATGTATTCTACCTGTCGCAGGTGATTAAGCATTTGATGAATCTGAGCAATTCTTTGAGTTATTTGTAAATATTGTTGCTGAACAACTTGGCCTTCTTGTTGCATATGTTGAATTTTAGGCTAAAATGAAAAAAAAATTGGGTGAATAAACTATTTTTACTACAGCCGCATGTAAAGTAAAGGTTGGACATTATTTACAGGGTGATCTAAAACAGAACCTATATCATTTGGAACATATTCTAGAGAGAAAATAACTTTTGTGCAAAGTGTCTTATTTCCCTGAAACTTTTGGGTACAATCATACACAAACAGAAGATCAAGTGTTAAAAAAATTTCCTAGAATCAAGAGATTTATGGGGGTTCTGTTTTTTGGGTTACCCTGTACCACCATGTACCATACATAACAGTATTCTCCTATGACCATATTGAGGTTCGTTTAAGAAAAGGATGCTCATCCCATGAGCATCGGTTTCATTGTTCATTTTCATAACAAGAACCGTTCAGAAATAAATTAATGGTAATAAAACTATTGAAATTTTCGATGTCTCTCCGGCAGTCAAATTTTTAATCACGGTTGTATTTGCCAAATTTTTGTTATATTTCGGAAAATTGGTACAAATCTGTGGTCATACTATCTTCTGAGGAGTCATAGTTTACTTGCAGATACATGAATCGAAAATGAGTTTTTGAAAGCTGCGATAAACTAGGCCTAAAGTTATACAAAATTACCTTTAATGGCAGGTGGTAAAATATTTAGATTCAGATTGATGGGAAAATAATAACCATATTTTTACACAGTGGTAAAGTATAGGCAGAATTTTTCTAGGGCCAAGGGTACGAGAAAAGCACATCCATTGGATAAACATATCAAATCAAATAGCACTTGTTCTCCAGGAAGAAAACAGAAGCTCCATAAATCTTAAAAGCTGCTTTAGTAGATCCTTGTTGAGAGTGAAATTCTGACAGATTTAATAGACAGAATAAAACTCACTGTAATCAGATTAATGAGTGCTGGCTGTTGAGCTGCTTGATTATTCAACACAGACAAGCTATGTTGAATGACGACCATTCTTTGTTGCAAAACTCGGCCTTGTTGCTGTAGTCCAGCTATTTCCTGAGCGAATTGGGTTTGTTTGAGAACGATCGTTGGATCAATTCCGGGAGTTACAGGCGGCCTATTGGCAGTAACGGCTTGGCTGCTGGCAGGTAGCTGCCTCTGTGCCTAAAAATGATTTGGAGGAGAATATTAGTGTAACTTCTCATGTCAGCTAAAACTCTGCATGTGTTTGCAGGTTGGAATTCAGTGGGAAATAATTGTGCAAGAAAAATTGTCAAATAAAGTCAAACATCAACTGTAGGATAAGAGTTTCAAGCTAATAATGAACTTTCACTTTACATTCAGAATGCTTTGCTTTGCTAAACTGTATATGTTTTTCTAGAACAGTGTTCTATATTATTGACTTAAAAAATAGGTAGGGAATCTTCTGGTTTCCAATCAGGGTTTCACAGCCCCCAGGATTCCAGACCAGTTCAGTCCAGGAGTTCCACTAGTTTCCATTCAAATCCAAAGGCTATATTAATATAAGCATATTGTTCAAAAATAGCCAAATACCTATTAGGTCAGCCACTATTATTGAACTTGCTACACTTGCTAATTTTGTTCTCCCAGTGTTAGGTTGGCTTTTATATATATATTTATAGTTTATACAATTCAGGCAATAAAGACAGATCAACAAACACAGGGGTTGTTCAAGCTGATGAAATGTCTCATGATAACCACTGTTCCTAGAATCTCCAAAAAACCAAACATTTTTCAGTCATATGATACAAAAAGAAATTACTTGTTGCGGTTGCAAGGACTGATTATTCCAAGCAGAAGAAGTTTGTTGTTGTTGTTGAAGAACTTTAGGATTTGTCAAACGAGCTGCAACATAAAACAATGACTCTCAGTCTCAAACATTGATTGTGTACGTCTACGCATAAAAACTTATGTATAAAACTTTCAAAAGTTCATGATTTGTAAATCATTTTGGAAAACTTGAATTTGAAAAAAGCTAACAAATTCAAACAGATTATTAACTAGATATAGGAGGAAAAATCCTTGTTAGTGGAAAACAAGAATAAGCAACAAAGCATCCCAAATAGGGCCTTGTTTTTCACAAATTTTGAACTATCGGTATCGGCTAATTTTACCGATAGTTATCGGCTAATCACGTGACTGCCAAAGTGTCAAAATTGCGCCGGGAAAGCAGTTTTATCGCTTGTTTAATTCGAGAGCGGTTCTGCGTGAAACTCTTTTTCTTCACTATTTCTATTTCTCTCTTATCAAAAGCGGTTTCACGGACGATTGCGACACGGGATTTCACACTTTGCAAGCAAGTTTGCAGCGTGGTGGCTTACAAATCGAAGCGATAGAACACGTGAACGGCTTATTTGTGTCAAATAATATACGCTAGATTAAATAGAGAATTTTCGCGTAGTTTACACGGCGCTTGATTTCCCTTGCGCTTTAGTTGTTGAAGGTTGCCGGGAAAGCAGTTTTATCGCTTGTTTAATTCGAGAGCGGTTCTGCGTGAAACTCTTTTTCTTCACTATTTCTATTTCTCTCTTATCAAAAGCGGTTTCACGGACGATTGCGACACGGGATTTCACACTTTGCAAGCAAGTTTGCAGCGTGGTGGCTTACAAATCGAAGCAATAGAACACGTGAACGGCTTATTTGTGTCAAATAATATACGCTAGATAGAGAATTTTCGCGTAGTTTACACGGCGCTTGATTTCCCTTGCGCTTTAGTCGTTGAAGGTATTATTTAACTTCTTGTATTGGTATGTTATAGATGGCTGGTTCTAGCGGTAAGTGCAAAGTATGGGAATACTTTGTATGCCACAGTGATGGTGTACTTTGTAAAATATGCTCATCATTGTTAAGTCAAGGTTCCGCCGATTCCAAAAAGAAAAACACCAGTAATTTGTGGAGTCATCTCAGATCGAAACACAAGAGCAAGTATGATGAGATTTCGCAGACGCAGTTAACGCGAAAAAGGCCAGCCGAAGCTTCCCAGTTTAATCGGCAACCTTCATGGGAACACATAATGGATAAATTTAATAAATGGCATGGAAATGACGCAAGAACGAAATCACTTGATAAAATAATAATGGAGATAATAGCCACTGACAACAGGCCATTTGCAATAGTGCAAGATGATGGATTCCGCAGGCTAATAGAAACCATTGAACCTCGCTACGCCCTAAAGACTGAGAAGTATTTCAGAACAGAAATGCTGCCACAAATATATGAACTTGTGAGCCAGAAAATAATGACTCTTCTCGTGACAGAAAATGCTGGCGATGGATTGGCATTTACTACAGACTGCTGGTCAGGACCAACAGAATCACTTATGAGCTTGACTGTTCATTTTATAAATTGTAATTGGGAAAGATTCCAAATTGTATTAAACATCAAGGCCATGCATGGCTCGCATACTGGAGAGTACATAGGAACCACTTTTTTGGATTTACTGCAACAGTGTGTTCCTAGTTCTTCGTGACAGTTCTTCGTGAAGAAACATCGTTATCGGCTTATCGGCCTAGTTTTGGAAAACTAGCAGTATCGGTATCGGTTCAAAAAGGCAGTATCGGTCGGGCCCTAATCCCAAATTACTGAAACTTTTGGGTACAATCTTGCACAAACATAAGTTCAAGTGCTCCTTTTATTTTGGGTCAACTTGTATAGAATTCTCATAAAAAAGTTGAACATGTGAAAAAAAGTCACCTGTATTAGAAATTTGGGATGAAGATGCAGGTTGAACAGTGCGAGGTGTTTGAAGTGATGAATTGCTTGTAGACTAAAAATAAAAAACTTAGAAAAAGTCGAAAAAGAACAAAGACAATCAGCTAGCAAAGTTAATCAACAGCTACATTGCCAAGAAATGAAATACCCACTTTTCAATAGCGAGTGAAGGGTCAAGCGTAAATGTTCTCTGATTCAACAGCCCTGGATATGGTACCGGAATGCAGCCACTACCATTTACAGTACTGCATGTATGCGAAACCAATCCTTAATATATGATTAACACAAAAAAAATTCAAAGTGATTATTTCACTGTAAAGAATGAACAGATAAATACCTGTGTTGATGGTCGGACCATATGTGGCCTTGGTGATGAAGTAGTAGGTGCGGGAGAGGCTGGATACACATTAAGTCTCGCACCAGAACCAGATATCAGACCCTGTGGTCGTCTCCTTGGAGCAATGCTAGTTTCTGTTGGCCCCTCGGCACCGTTTAATGTCCCTTTCTCAGCCGCTTCCCTTGAGTTTAAAAGTAATTTGAATAAGAAAAGCGTTACCAGAAAATAAGCCAGTTTTTGGAAAATAGAAACTGTTTTTTTTTCAATTTTCAATTCATTCGGTTTTGTAGATCCGTAATACATTCTAAATATTGTGTAATACCAGCTTATTTTTCAATTTAATTTTAAAATAATCACAATCTATACCAGGGGTACCGAACCTTTTTTAATGAACGGGTCAAATCATACTCAAATTGTGTAAAACAAGACTGTGGAGTGTGGGTTTAAAGAAAATTTGCATCAATGAGAAACCTGCTGATGCAACTTTTCTGCTTATAATCCTTGTTTGGTATTGTGTAAATTTGAGCTTTACACATTTACACATGTCGTACTTATATCACAGCTTATGATAATTTTGAGCACATTTTAGCACATTTCTGTAATGTAATCATTCAAACTAAAAATGCGTTATTCTTAAATTTCAATTGTAAAAATAAGTTTGGCTACGGTATGTTTCTTTGATTGCAAAAATTTAGATGTAAAGGTAAAATATCCGATTGAATGATAGAGCAGTGCTTTTCAACTAGTGGTGCTAGTACCAGTGATATGGTAACATAATTTTGGAGGTATAGGCCAGGGCTACTCAACTATTTTTATAGAAGTTCCGCAAACAAAACTTCAAAATTATTTGGGTCCGGTCTTTCCAGAAATGATATTTTGGCATCCTTAAACGAGCACTTCCTCGACCGACAAATGATTAGTAGCAAATTAAAATTGTTTATTATGGTGTTATAGTTCTTTTCGTATATATTCAAAACTATGAAAGTCATTTTATAATAGGAAATTCAAAAAGTGGGGCTAATGATCCAGAATAAATAATTAGGTGCGGTCCAGAACCAATACTCAAAAGGTCCGGATTCGGACCGCAGTCCGCCAGTTGAAAAGCCCTGGTATAGGCTACGAGATCTTCAGTAACTAACAAGTCTTATTTTGAAATAAATGATAGTAACTGAATTTATACTCCCAGAACGGTATTTAATTAATTGCTGGTAAGTGTCATTGATGGGTGGTCGTTTTATTTTCCCACGTTTTCCAACATGGGTTGAAGACTTAACATGACTCAAAGACTGGTAGACTTAAAATCATTCATTCGTTGTCAGTAGAAACAAATGAGATTGCAATTCCAATTTGAATGTCTGTTTCGAATCCGAATGCTTGATTATAGTGGTAATCATCAGTTATAAAATTTTGTATTATACTTAATAACATTATTGTTTGTGGTTTTAAAAGAATTTGCATAAAATTTTTCTATTGAATTTAGTGGTTTGCAGAAATTAAAATTCAATGTGATTGCAATTCCTATTTTGAACTCCGTTAAATTGAAACAGTAATTATCAGCCACAAAATGCTACCAGAACCACCATGCTAAATAACATCAATGCTAAATAACATCAAAACTCTGCAGTTTTGCATTCTATGGAATTTAGTGTCACAAGCCTATAAAAAAAATAGTCAATGTGGTATGCTGCAACAATGAGGCTGTGAAACACAATGGTAGAGTGTTGCTTGCCGATACAATGTCGTGTTGCTACTGATGGTTTTACTATTTCATGTGTTGATTCTAATGTCACTCATTGTTGAGTTTTACTGCCTTTGAGTTGTTATGAATTAACTATGTTCTGAGTAAGTGCACACCCTCTTTTTAATTTGTGTTATAACATAATGATATGAAACGCCTTTTATCATGCAATATCAAACTCATTTCTACACTAAGCAAAAACACAATTGTACAGTTTTTATCATAAAAATGGCTTAATTTAACAGAAAAACACAAAAATATTGATTTATAGTTACCGTAAGTGTTCTTAAATATTACTTTAATATGCATTCTACTTGGGTTATTAGCGTACCCACCCTACTTGTAACTATAAAATTTTATAATTCACACAATTAAAAAAATTATTTATGTTTTGATACATTTACTTCTAAAAATAATGTGCAATCCAGAAATTTGACATAATCAATTTTTAATATATATTTTAGTAGTTCATGTATATTTCAAACATTCCCTACAGACATTCTTCCAACATGACTAAAATATGCAAAATAAACTTGATTCATCATAATAATCAAAAAAAGGAATATCAAAATCCAAATATGTTCAAACAATATTACAGAATACAAAATAAATACATTTCTGTGTCAAAATAAAAAACAACATCATACTTCTTAGCCATCTCTTTTAGCTCTTCAGCTTGCGTTCTTGTCAGTGGAACAGGTAATTCTTCTAATATTGGTGCATTCTAACATAAAACAAAGAAGATATAGAAATTGCTGAAGCTATAGTGTTTGAAAACATTCAATGGACACACACAAAAGTGGCTATGTTTCCTTTACTATATGATTCTGCACATTGTCCGTGATCTGCTTCAAGTCTCAAGTCAAACAGTATTTGATGTTGTGTGAAAAACCAACAGAAATTTATATAGTTTTGGTCTTTCAATAGTCTCAATAGTCTCGTTATTAAAATACAACTTTGCTCAGGGACAATTCTGCTTTACTTCTGAGCTTGTGTACCCATGATTGAAACAAATTCTCTTAAAAGTCAGAATTGCAACCATGCTCATCTTGTTTGAATTCACAATACGTGTCAATGTTAATTTGTACATGAACTCATAAATATACAATACCATGATCACATTGTATTTGTGTTACTGATTTCTTATATTTTGTACAGATTTCAATTTCTATACAAGGTTTGTACAAATAAAAATAATCATATGCGTCTGGACTGCATTATTATTGCATAGAGCCAAATTATGGAAAAATATTATATACGATAATATTTTTTCATGTGTGTACCAAAGATGAATTACGCATATATTTATCAAAAAATATTATTTACTTAATATGAAGATTTAGTTTTTAAATCATAAGCATATCCTATGCTCATTCAAGCATAGTTACCCAACTAAAGAACTGTTGGCCATTGAGCCATAATAATTTTGGATAGGGAAATGCAGTCATTTTTCAATTTCCAAATTTGGTAGGAATTAGGTGATAATCTCCCATTGATTTGCCAAATTGCTTCCTAGAAGGCCGGTGCATTACGTCAAATCATGTGTTCACCATTAATATTGATTATGATAACTTGATACACCGATTCACTTTTGATACACAACCAAGCAAAGGGTACGGATAGCCCAAAATAAACAGTTTTACTTATGTATAGGATATGTATGAACGAATATAACTTTAAAAATTTAAACAATGATTCATATTTGCCTATATATCTTTCATAAGGATGTGATTATGTTGATTTGTCTCGCTATGAGTTGATATTTCCGCAAAGTTCTTTAATAAATTAACAACAATAAATTTATTTAAATAAAACGTTACAGACATATTGAGATTTTGGTAGTTCAAAATATCCATACAAAATGCTGCGTGAATATTGGCAGCATTCATTTTACTAAGTAAAGCCACACTACCTTTTCAAATACTGCTGAGAAAAAACTTGCACTGCCTTCTCACTTTGGGGTAACTTCTGTCAGAATGAATGTTATGTAAAAATATATGTATTTTGCATTTTACAAAATTGATTTAAAAAAAAAATTGGGCCGATGAAAAAAAGTTTGGAAACCACTGTATAAGCAGAATACATTGGCCCCAGTAGGAGCAAAAGCTTTTAAATTATTTTCAATGCTGGATTCTCAATATAATGTTGATGATTACGTACAGGAAATTGTGACTTGTAAGATGACCTGACGATGCAATGTGCCACTAGCATTCAAGTTGTATTGCTCTGCACTGATTAGATTAATATAAGAAAATTTTTTAAAACTGAAGTAGGTGGGTGACCGTCAAAAATAGATAAATTTAAATTACCGGTGAATCAATATATTCTTGAGCTATGAATAACACTGATTGAGACCGAAATGTTTTATTCACAACTAAAATCAGGGGTGTGTAGAAAGACTGCAAACACCAAACAAAAGATAAAATGAAAAAGCCACAGACATTCTGAAACAACCCTCTCTCAAATATTGACAAAATCAAAAAATTTTGTCTCAAAATAAGTTCATTTGCAAAAAGTGATTATTTATTAATAATATACTTTTCAATATTTTATGAACAACTTAATATCTTCGCTTTACAAGGTTGTATGCAAGCAAAGACTTATCTACACCAAACACCAGTTTTGATCGACCATTTCTGCTTAGTGGGCAGAAGTTAGCCCTATAACTCGAGATCTGTAACCTCGATTACTGGCATATTATTCCGGGAAACAATCAAATATGACAATTAAGCTATGAAAAATTATGGAAAAGTTATGATGGTAAAAGCATCCTATCACACACCTCCATACTCACCAATTGAAAATTTGAAAACAATTGGTCAATCAATCAATGAAAAAATCAACAAAAATTCACCAAAATGATTCGTCCAAGAAAAATACCATGCCATAGGATCAATAACGATTGGTCACTAACAAAAATAATAATCAATCACAATACGACCTTAAAGTACAACACCGGAAATATGAAAACTGGCAAAGTTTGTGCGTTAGCATTTATAGCACGACAAAAAGGTCTTGTGCACTCACATTTTGATTTCTGACCATATTAGGAGCTTTGGCTAGCTTGAACGCATGATGCGCAACTTGAAAAATATCAGGTCGTAAATCTGGCTCTGGTTCCAACATATACCCTGAAATATGCAATTTGAAAAGGATTGTTATCAGTGAATAACAATAAGGTGAATTATAAAGTGAATAATAATAAAGCATAGAAACAAGGGCATAGAATTTTCATAGCGGGATTCTGAAATTTCTAATTGTTAAGTTACCGTAACATCTAGCAGGTCTGCCAGGAGGCTTGTAAAGGTGGGTCTTCTTGGGGGTCTAAAACCCATTCCAAGCTACCAAAAATTGCTATGTACGGTAAATAAAAATGCCTTTTTTATACAACTTTGCCTTGTGATCCTTATTCATTATAGAACCTATAAAATTTAAAACTTACTTATTAAACAGTGAACTTCTTTAGCATATCTAGAATCATCTGGGATTGTGAAAGCTCCGTTCTGTATAGCGAGTGAACTTTCTCCAAAAGGCATTTCAAAGAAGCATAATTTATATAACATACATCCAAGTGCCTGTAAAACGAGATTTCAACCAAATCAGAAACTTTTTTCCTGAAATCATTATAATAGCATTTTTGATTTTTCGTTATTTTGAAATTGAAGGTCTAAAATTTTAATCAAACTAAATTTTTGACATTTATTCTTATCTTACCCAAATGTCAGCTTTTGTCGTTATCGTTTTCCCCAAATATAAGTTGACCATTTCAGGTGCACGGTATGATAATGTTGTGTATCTGATAAAACAAAATTGAACCATTGTCATACAATAGAAAAAATAAAAAAAACAGGTAATAAAAATTGTTGAACCTTGAAACCTTTCCTATTACTATTTGGGCCTCATTTAAAATCTTTGCCAACCACTGGCCCATATGATATGTCATGTGGTAGATTTATACTAACTTGAGAATTTCCTCTTCGACAGCAGCGACACCATGAACTTTTGGATTAAGTTCTGCTGTTGTGGCACTACCGAAGTCACATAAAACATAGTTTCCATTGTCGTGTAGTAGAATGTTTTCAACCTAAATAAAGAGAAAAATATATATTTAAATAAAATAAAATGTTTTCTTGCTTACACAGGATAAAGTTCTCGGGGTATAACCAGTGGTGGGATTCAGAATTTTAGGAACAGCTTCTCTTTTGAATTAAACTCACTGATAACAGGTTCCCTCATTCTGGAAAACCATTCGAAACTTATTGCTATATAACAGCAATCGGCAACCTGCGGCTTCGAAGCCGCATGCGGCACTCTGTTCTTGGAGCCCTGGCTCCCTTGAATCAAAGTGGTTACAGCAGTTTTTATTTTAGAAGCAGAGATTATTCAATGAATAGGGGGAGAGTGGTCCTTCTCACTGATGACACATCATAGCGGTTTCCAAAATGAGGTCGCATTAAATAAGATGATTCAAATCTTTCAAAACGAACTTTTTTATTTTCATTTTCCAAGCTCGTTTCATTTCGTCGTACACTAAATTATTCCATTATTAGTAATTTATTTGGCTTCTTCTTAAGAAGAACTTAGTAAGACTCCAGATATCAGTGGCTAGTTATACAGAGTCGAACCCAAATTATGCAGAACTCATCAAAATATACATGAATTTTATTAAGGTTTTGAAATGTTATTATGGCTTATTCTATTTCCAAAAATCAAAATCTCACTGGTAAACTTGCTCAATATGTTGCTAAAGTTGAATCAAATTTTCACAAAAGTGTATGCCATACAATTGATCTAACATAGTACACATAAGCATTTTATATTAGAGTTCATCCTTGCAACATGTTTTTGTCATAGATTTTCATATCATCATGACGACATAACTAAACAGAAAAAAATAAATTCCAACTTTGTGAGTCAATCAGTAATCACCAATCATAAACATTTTCCATTCATATATTAATCATCCAAGCTACAGACTTCTGAAATTGGAATGCAAGAAAATTTCCAACCACTTCAGTTGGAGATTAATTAACTAACGAAATCACAACCTTATTGCTTCATAGTAGGCAAATTATATGAAACACAAAAGTATTTAGGAATCTATTTTTACACCCTAGTTTACTCAAAAAAAGGTCCAAACCAGAACTAACAGAGTTAAAATGCTTATTTTAGCATGTACCATATATATCCATTGATACAAATTATCACAAATGTAAAATATTGGACATCATGTCTATACAAATTATAATAGTCCAAATTGAGAAAGATCTGTTAGCTAACATAGAATAAACCACTTTTAGTCAATTGCTATTGACTTGTTTATTGATTTTCTATATTTATCTTGTATAATAAAGTGATCAATTTACGAGGCAGTCACATACAAAATTAAAATTCACAGTCTACTGTGGAAGTAAGTATATTTCCGTATTCCACAAATAAGAGGTAAAGAGATTAGCATTGTTACATCACTATTAATACTGTGATGAAATTTTGGTTGATGATTGACTGTTTGATTAATAAATCATGTGTTGACAATTATTAAAATTAACTTCCACTCAGGCATATTATTATGTAACAAATGCAAGTTTTGTCGGTGCCAAGGTTTAGGAATGAAGTGTCAAATATTGTGCATCTTGACTGACTTATGGTCCTACAGTAACTTCTGCAGTATGCGAAAGTTATTGTCTCACTCCATTTTATTCGCAACAAGGGCAGTGGCATCAGAATGACAATTTTGTCTAATTCCAAATGAGCGAAGAAATGAAGGAAATTGTAAATTAGATACCGATGTTTGAATAGTCATATAACATTTATGGTTTCATAATATTTATTTTTGGCTGTTTAGGTAATTCATGGATACTTGGCCATATGTTTGAGCAATTTTCAACACTTAGACTAAAAAAATAGGCAGGAATGAGTGTGCAGTTATCATCATATTCAGAATCCTACCCATTTGTTTTTGTGTATGACCCCATTACTAATCAGTCGATCGCGGGCTATCGCCGACTACTGAGGATTTTAGTCGATCATGGTGGCAACTAGGTTTGCCACTCCTGATATATAAGATAGCAATAAAAGTCTCAAGAATGATTAAACCAAGACGGTTTGTATTTAGTATATTATAATAGTTACTTATTAAACATCACGTGACAATCTGTCAGCACAAAGCGTCCCATGACCAATACTTATCATTAGTTTCTGTTAACACATTCCAAATTTAATACGTTCAATAAACCCACAGGCAAGGAAACTACAACTGACTTAGAAGAGTGGTAGCTGTTATAAAAAAAAAGCTGACACTGTGATAAGCTTTGAACAAGTAAAATATTTTCTTTAACAGGCATGGCATAACATTTTAACAAAAGAGTCACAGTAGAAATTATTTAGTAAATGTTTAACAGCATGAGACTGGAGAGAACCTGAGTGCAGTTACTTAATGTGATGGTCCTAAACATGTTGCAGTCACAGATCAAGCACTATGTCCATCTTCTCTCAGAAGCCATCTTGGTCGAACCCTTGAAAACCAACGTTTTCCAGTCGGACCCACTGGCGATTTTGGTCTAACTTGGCAATAAGAGACTCCAGAACCCCCTTTTGAAAACTCCTGGCTACTCCCCTGGTTGCAGTGATATTGTTTATTTAAAAAATATGCGAGCACAATGTTTGCCAAACGCATTACGTGAATGTGACCATTATATGAACCACGAGTGACTCTTGGAAATGATTTTAGCATGAATATTGCTAAACCTGGTGAATAATCAATACCTTTACCTTTAAATCCCTGTGAATTACAGGCGGTGTGAAATGATGTAATGCAGCAACTGCCAACAGTATATCGCAAAATATTTTAAGCACCTCATGTTGATTGAACCTCGTCGATAATCGTTGATTCATAAGTTGGACAACATGACCAGCTGTAAAAAAAAATAAGTGAAATTATAATATTGTAAGGTAAATAAAATCCTTTACATACATCAAATTTAATGATTAAAATATTGGACAGCACAAAACATGATTGGATCTGTGATAAAACTTCTGGTTACAATTTGATAATACTAATTTCTATTTAACCAATTGGACAAAACATTACTGTGATAATCAATGTGATCATATTATGTTTTCATCTTTTATTTATTTCTTCAAAACTATCAAAAAAGGTTGCCAAGGAATTGAAATCAAGCATGCGACGAAGCCGACGATGTAGTTTTTTAGTAGGATAAATGTATATGCAAAAACTAAATAATGCATAACTATATGAATATTTCTTCGCAGTAAAAACAAAGTAGTTCAGGTGTTCTATCATTATGAAACAATAGCCATCTTTTGGTCTGGTTTCAAAATCAGTTTTAGGTTTTGATTGTGGGCATATAAAGTTTATTGTAGGTATATCATATTAGGGTAAGACAATTCGCAACCAAGATTCTGGTCTCCGCATGCCAATACTTTTTTCATATATGTTACTATTCTCAATTAATTTCTTTTAAAATTACTGTTATTACTCATGCAAGCACCTCTTTCACTAGTGCGAGCACGTGTACTGGCAAATCGTGACAGTACCAAACTTGTTGAAAAAGTTTCAAATAAGATAAAGTTTCTACATTCAACAATATAATGGTATCCCATGTGAAACTGTAAAATGATGTAGGCCTATTGGAAGATTTAACAAAACAAGCTCACCAGTCTATATTAATAACCGCGTACATACAAAGAAAATCAATTGTTTGGTTAAAAAGGAGTATCAATCAATACATTATCTAATAATATCAACATGGTGTTTTCCATTTATTTCACTTCAAGCAATGCTTTAGAAAAGCAGCTATTAATACATGAAGTCACAAGCCTATTTTACCTTTAATAATACAGAATGGCCAGATATAAATAACTGAGTGAAACTGCGGCCTTCACCATTATTTAACATAGGCTTCCTAGTAGTTGCATTCAATACCTGCTACATTCAATACATAGTTTTTTGTTTGGTCAAATATTGAAAATAAAATTTTTGTCACTGACGAAAATTTTTATGTATATATTTATCAAGAATCGCAAGTATGGACAATCCAGGTATCAAACGAGTTACCTTTTTCACTGTTTTTGAAATTTCAATAGATTTACAACGATTGGAATATGATGGGAATGAGCTTTCGAAATATTATTAAAACATAGCCTTAGGCTCATTTATATTAAAAACATGGTAAATAATATTTTCTATTTATACAGAAAATGGTAAAGACGGACAAAAATAGATTTTAAAAACACCAAGTATATTCAAAGCCTCGACCACTTATAATCTCTGATTACACAATTGTTTACGATTCAACTCGGACAACATACCACTGATTCACTAATTAGACATTTTTGAGATTCTTGATGGTAATATTAATATAAAAATACTTTTGCTAAACATACCGTAAATATACAGTAAAACATTGCTTGATTTGAACTGATATAAATTGTATAGTTTTTTTTAGTTTTGTATAGACAATAAAATAAAAACACAAAAAAGTTCGAATAATCTACCATGAATATTAAGACATGTGCATAATAAATCCCTAAATTAACTTATCCCTAAATAGACTTATTAAAAACAAGGTATATTTTTTCTAATGTTTATGCATAAAATATGACTAATAACGGCAATACGCTTCAATAGCCAAAAACGGAAAAACTTAAAAATTGATTCGGAAAAAAATGGGAAAAACATATTCTCGATTTTTGAACTACTCTATTTTTTTAAACGAAATACTTAATAAAGATAGCTTAAAACTTTGATCAAAAAAACAGTTACCAAATCATTCACTTCTTTTTTTAAAGATTTTTGGATAAAATTTTATCAACATTTTAACATTCACCCTTCGTCTCAACAGTGGAAACCCTCAAATATGACGCATTGAGAAATAATATTTCATACACAAGAATAGCTATCATACCTTATGGGGTGATTGAATAGATGCATTGATATGATTAAATAAATTTCAAACTTACTAAAAAATGAAGAATGTTCATACCTAACCACACAGGTTTTTATATTTTAGCTTGTGCGAGAGGGAGGCCGACAGGAAAGCTTAATCATATGGTGAACCACAGACTCGGAACCAGTTACCAGTAGATGCTACATACTGGAATATTCAACAACTAAATTGGTCCAAATAGACTTCCAGTTCAATTGCAGAACAATAATACGCCGAGCAATTCCTTCGCACTTATCATCCCAAAACAAAATTTAAGTTTATGAACCATAGTAGCGCAAGATCTGCAGGTTCCCAACCTTAACCTTATTAACAGTCGTAACAACCATATATATCCTAATCCCACGACGACATTCGCTTTGTGTAAAATTAACAGTAAAAACCAACCTCTGCAATACTCCATCAACATTAGAACTTCGTAGACACCGTCATTATTGGATGACCTTGATATATTGGTATCAATGAGATGAACCACATTTTTGTGACTTGCAAGACTCGCCTAAAACAAAATATATTGAATGCACAATTTCAAAAATTCCGGGTGACATGTTTCCGGCAACAAGTAGTGTTATTATGGCTGATAATGTAACCGGGAGAAAATATACCCATTAAACTACAGATCAAGGTTTTTGGACCAGGGACCGAAAGTTTTGCCCACCTAGACTGGTGGGGCATGTAAGCGTCACATACAGAATTTTATTTACAGTGTCACAAAAGCAAAAGCGTTAAACAATAGTCAATAAGTCTCGTGCCAAAACTAAATTTAATCCCAATTTCATTCCTTGAGCTATTTTTGAGCTAAAACATCAATTTGGTTTGGTAGTGGCGGCATCAGACGGGCCAGATTGAATTACCCAATGGTTTGGATTTGGCCTGCGGGCTGTAGTTTGCCCATGTCAGCTATGGGTCATAGGATTGTGCAGAAAGTCAAAGCATGTACAACACACAAATCAGTTACAGAGGCCCATATCAAAACTAAAAAACTAATTTGAGATTTAATATCATACATCTACATTGACAGCGTTTTATGTCAATGTAGCTTTTATATCATAGTTGCAGTTATGAATATAATGATTCACTTTATAAATCCGACATTATAATTACGGTATGTCATTATTTTTGAACGAGATAAAAATAAAAGATAGATAATGATTACACCAGTATATCATATGAATGTGAAAAACGAAACTATATCCATAACTGGGAAATTAATACTTTGATGTTTTATCGGAAAATGGAATTTTTCCAACTAAAAGTAATATACATTTGTCAGTTGAAGTTGCATCTCACAATCAGGACAAATTCAAGAGTTAAAATCTACACTTTACCAAGCGATAATAAATATCAAACAAACCAAAACTAAATTTTTTTTCAAAATAAAAAAATGGCTTCTGATATAACAAAAAAATAACTCTCTTACCCAAATCTTGATTTCTTGTTTACAAACATCTAAGCTAGCCTCACTATTGACGAACATACGCTTCAATGCAACACGTTGACCAGAATTGAGTTTGCATAAGAATACCATGGAAAAACCACCTGAAAACGAAACAAATTTATTAATGATGAAGTTCAAATCAAAGCGATTAGCAAGTGATTATCACATAGAAGTCTGCATAACCAATATAAATTGCATATGTGACCCCAAAAAACAGAAATCCGACCATGTGCAACATATTCTAGGGAGAACATAACTTATGTGCAAAGCATTCCAGTATTCACTGAAACTTTTGAATGCAATCAAACAGAAGTTCAATTGTTAAATAAATTCTCTTAATTTTCATAAAATTATTTAAAAATTTGGTTCTATTTTTTTAGGGTCACCCTGTATAATAGTCTTTGTCCAGTCACAAAATATTATTCAGCTTCACTTGATTCCTTAGTTCAAGGATATAAGTGATACTTCATGTATTTTACACACAATTTCCTGCACCAGTGAAAATCTGCATCCAGTACATTTTTAGGTAATTATAAGTGTCCATGCCTCGCCCAAACCTTCTTTTACTTTATTTATGAATTATCATATATTTTTTCATTTTTATTAAATATTAAGATCTAATTCCTATTCAACTATCTGACAATCTTGTTTTAATTTTGGCATAGTGATGGAAGACAAAAAGGAGCTAATTTTTATCGGGAAACAAATCAAAATTAGCCAAATTATTTTTCACGAATAAAAACTGTTATACAGTTATACCTTCTGCAATGACTTCCTCCACCGTGACTTGATACCTATTAATCCGAATTATTTTTCCAACATAATCTCCACCAGCAGCTTGGGAAAATAGCTTCTTCATCTTTCAAGGTGAAAAAATATTCATATATGCACCTACAATCGTGCTAATGAGAAATAGGCAGCACCAAAATATTACCTAGAAAATATTTTAAGATGATCTGCAAATGAATAACAATATACTGACATATTAGAATTAAACTGATAAGCCTTGGGTATAATTCAATCACTTAGTTCTGTGGTTTAGTACCGGTACAACACAGAATTGAATGCAATAAACTAAAAGCACATTTTGAATACATCACCATTCAGTATGGCACAGTTTTCAAAATCCAAGAATAGCTCCCACATTGAAAGACATCAATTATGACAGGGAGTGCAAACCCCTCCTTTACAAGACAGTTTGGGCATCCATATCGACAAAAAATAGGTAATTCGACATTGATTTTACCGGTTTGAAAAAATTTTGTACCGTACCGGTACTAATCGCCATGCTGATTTCAAAATATAAAATAATTATGGACAAACAGAATTAAAAAAAATATATATGAAGTTAACACAAAAAAAAGAATCATGCACTCTTTACTAAAATTGTTTTTGAATTTCCTAGCTGAGTGAAAACAAACGTACGATTACGGTACGAAGGATAGGATAGGATTTACATATTTATCCCGGGGGAGAGGAAAGCCGATAAGACGGCTTATCCATATGGCGAACCACGGCCTCTCGTCCGGTTACCATTCCAAGTCGGGTATGGGATTAGTTTTTTACTGTATTGTTTGTTTTCGGAAGCATGGACTTGGTGGTGGAGGAAGCCGTAACCGACCAGCGGTTACGTGAACCACCCAACGACGGCGAGGAGTCCAGCAATCCTCTCGCACATAACCACCCCTGCATGGGATTCGAACCTGCGAACCCACGCAGAGTAATTAGAGGTGCGGTGGCGAGCGTATTCCTAACGCTTAGCCCGTTGAGCCACACCGCCGCGCCGAAACTGAGCTAAAGCGCTTTCGACACTGTTAGGCCTACGGTACCGGTTCCCAAAGTCCAGAAGTCACTTTGGGTCAAACTATAGTCACTTTGGGCCTACCCGCTTTGGGCCTACCTATCCTATGTCAATACTTCTCAAGCTGTGCGATGCAAACTGATTTCGAGCGTACCGGTATCAACCCATTTCCCATAAAGCAGTAAAGTGATCTCCTATCTGAGTACCGGTGTCCGTTACCGGTACCGATCAAGGTTGCCAGACCTCAGCAATCAAAAAAAGCCAAATCAAGACGTAAAAAAGCCAGAAAAAAGCCAACAATTTTACTAAGTAGAGTACAAAAGCCCCATGATTTGTCAGATTTTAAGCGCTTGGCAACGTACTGATGATGATGTAGAGCCATCAGTTCATTCGGTGAGGCACACAAATAGGAAGTAAAATTCCTATAGAACTGTAGAAAGTAAAATAAATATCAAGCGGACAGCATCATTTTACCATTCAATATATACAATACAGGGTGCCACCTCAGTCTGGCAGTATGTAATATACCTACATGTTTCTACTTAAAAAATTCTCCCTATATCAGTATATCGTGCTTTACTATTGAAAATTTTTTCACTTTCAAAATTTATAAACCATCAATTTTATTACATCTGTCTGAGCAGCTGCAGAAACTGCAATTATTTCCTATTGGGTTTGGGTAGGATATGGTTGAGAGTTAATGTAACAAACAAGGAAATCGATGCTCCAGGAAATCCTAATGTTAAGTAGCTAAGTACGTTGTTACACACTAAATATTGTATTTCATATGATTTTAATAATAGACACTAGAATAGACTTGAAAAAAGCCAATAAAAACGCCAAAAAGCCAAACGGAAATTCTGACGCCAAACGCGTTTGAAAAAAGCCAAAAATGGCAAATTTGGCGTTAAAAAAGCCAATATGGCAACCCTGGTACCGATATCTGCCCATCTGGAGATGGGGTTGGTAGCCTGAGAGCACGAGCAGCGCATTACGGTTAGACTGAGGTCACATTGGCAATGGCGCATTATCAACAATGAAGGAGGCAGGTGACAGGTGTCACTGCTTGCCTTTGCTTGATAACCAACATTGTTTTTTTCGCGTCATTCTTCACACTGAAATGCCATTTCATGTTTTTTTCCTGTTTTTTATTTGCACAAATTGTACTTTGATTTTGGTGCAAAATAAACCACTGACTGACCTATCAACAGATATATGGGAACAATGCGTGATCGCATTAGGAATAGCGCATTATAAACAACGAGGTCGCATTAGGATGGCACAATATTGGCAATTAATTTATTTTACTATTGTTTATTATGGAAAATATATTGACTCTGATTCGACTTGTAAATGGAAGCAGTAATGTTCCGACTTGACCTTGGTCTCGAATTAGCTGGGACTCGAACTGGTGATGAGTCACTGTACCTTGAGATTTTTTTGCTGTGATCATTCGATAAAAATTCAGTCATATGTAGCCCCAACTAACAGCATGACCTCCTTTCACAGCTGTGAAACATAAGCATAAACTTCGATGATATTCGTAAAGAATCAGAATAGGTTATTCATAAGTAGGGATGGGGATAGTTAGCTGGTTGACCCATTTTAGATGGATCACGGTTACGACATTGTACCATTAACTGACATCTCACATCTCTAGTTCAACTTCTTTGATAATAATTGGTTCATCACAAATTTATCTCTCGTGACATTGAATTCGAACGAATATTTAATTGATAAACACCAAAAAATGTAAGGAAATAATTGAAGTACTGGTATTTCTGATTATGAAAATTTGACAATGATAAGTTTCAGTTCAGAATAAATTCTGCGACAATTTTCAGAATTAATTTATGTTATGGTATGGGATCAGCTAGCCAGATGCACGGCAGCACGGATTTGGTGGAATGCAATGGCAATACGATTACGAAACTGAGCCCAAGCGCTTTCGACACTATTACCTATGTCAATATTTACAACAAGAGAGCTATGCTCAAATATATGGAGACGTAGAGTCACATAATTTTGATGACGTCATAGCGCAAAAAAAAGTAATAGCCTTCTGGAGAAAATTTTTATCTTTAACCACTGAAAATTTCAAAGCAATTGGTCCAGTATTCGTAGAGAAAAGCGACTTTTTAAAAACGTGTCAAAGAACATAACTATATTCATAGTATTTCGATAATATTAATGAATTCACAAATTCTGCGGCTCTTTTAAAGTTCTGACTTTAATACTAAAAAATTGTGCCCACCCCTGCCTATTCAATGCGCATTCTGTAGCGATATTAGCATATCGACATTTTAGGGAAATTTCGTGTTTTCCCGAAAATAAGACGGGATCTTATTTCATTTTTTTTTTCGAAAAATAACACTAAGCTAGGGTTTATTTTGGGGGGGGGGGGGGGGGTGGTGTCTTTCATTTTCATTTATCAAAAACAAAATTATAATGTAGAGATTTTTAAATATACAAAATATAAAAATCAATATTCATTTACTTATAGATAACACGTTTTAACTTAAAATAACTGCACATAGATTATTGATCAGGTATCGACTAGGTCAAAAAAAATTTGTTATCTGCTATCTGTTAGTTCTTATTTTAAAGGGAGGTATAATTAAATCATTTTGAAAATCCAGGCTAGGTTTCATTTTCTAGGAAACACGGTAGTGACGCTTTGAGTTTACAATTATTATTGCCGGTTTGAATACACACTCTGATGGTACACATGTAGCAGTTACGCACATTTATATATAAATAGTAAGGTCATTGCTTATGTTCATCGGACTAGGTTTTCAAGATCGTCAGTTAATGTTGCCATATCCACTAACTTTATTCATCGCCATAATCTAGTCACGTGTGGGTATCATATCGTCACAATCAAAATAATAAGACCATGATATAATACTCTTTCTCAATGGCGTGGTCCTATTATTCCTCAAATAAATAAAAGCATGCGTACCGGGAACAATCTTGTTCTTCCAAAAACATTTCATAAAAAGTGTGCTACTATCTCCTCACAGGATCAATTCATACGCTCATATAACTTGAAAAGATAGGGTTTTTCTTATAACAAAGTATCTACTTCTTCATGATAGAGCCATGTTCGAAGAGAACTTATCAAACACGCTATTAGAATATTCTTGTCCGATAGCTGCATCCAATTTTTCAAGTCATGAGATAACGAAAAGATTTATTTCATCACAAAAGGCATAATAGCTGTACCAGTACTGCTTGTTCTGAGCCTTGTACAGATTACTCGAAAAAGGCGAGATACATAACATCAAAACATTTCTTGATGGAATAACTACCGTAATTGTCAATTCTGTGTCCTCCTAATGCGCCCATGTTTTCAAAATTTGCAAAACGGACCACGACCTCAAGGTTTGCTACTGGGAGTGGGCCAAAAAGGGTCCATAGGTTTAACCGTAGTAGTATATATTTACGGTTTAACTATTTTGTAGCAAAAACCCAAAAATATTTTGCAAAAGATTTGGTCAACTCTCCTACAAGTAGCTTTTTTATACATTGTTTAAAGACATTAATTGTGAATCTTAATAGTGAATTTGGGGGAACTGACTTTGATGACCTTATGGTCGTATTGCTCCCCCAATCTATGCCGAATTACCTTGTGTATTTTGCATATATTTCATTGTACCAATGCTTGTTTTCTGGTTGACAAAACAATAAATCTCTCTTTCTCTCTCTCATAAAAACTTGCTTGACTGCGTTTTTCTAATTCAGTGTTTTCCTTTCCAAGTGAGGTATAGGACAGGTAATATTGTCAATTATTGTTTGGCCTGGAATGCAAATAATATCAATGATAATAATGTTAAGTTAAATACGCCCTGCGAGTGCCCAATATTTCAGCATCCATTTATGATTGACCTACCAGGGATACGACTCCGGTTCCATTCGTCCATGCATCTGAACGATAAATTAGTTCTAAATGACGTTTATATCTTAACATACCTTGAGCAGGATGCAAAAGTTATTCACCAAAACTTGTAAGTATCTGAATAGGATAACATGAAGAAACTCGATTCACAAGTAGGGCTGGGCAAAATATTCGAATAACGAATAGCGAATCGAATATTAAATTATTCGAATAGCATTTCACTATTCGAATATCGGGTACCACGTGATCTGCGCCGCTTCACTTGGACACAGAACGTCACTGAACCGATCGTGAATTGCCCGAGAATTCACCTACAACGCTCGCTAACAGACAAAAGCGACAAATTTAAAAATCGTCTTTGGGTTGTGGTGTTATTTGTTTTCTTTGCGTTTCAATCGTTCATTTCAATTCCCTATTTTGCAAAAAAAAAGGTACCGACACCGTTCCCTAAATTTAGAAACGTCAAATCAGATGAGGTATTTAAAATAAATATCCCAGATTTTAAACTTAGTATGATTGACGTAAACTTAGTACGTGATTAGTCGTTTCATGCATGAACCAAACATAAATTTGTTTATTGAAAGTTGAAATAATTTTCGCATGAAACCATACATAGTATAACACGAACAAGCCATGATCAGAAAAGAAATGACATGACCTAGTTCTTACAATGTACTTTCAAATATATCGTTAGTGATCCCTTCGACATAATGTTTCGAAAATGTAAACATTTTACTCGGGCATGCATGGCTGGTGGAGTGTAGAAATCCTGAACAGAAGTATAACTTAAAATCAATCGTGATTTTCGATGTAACAACGCGCACTGTCTCCTTTACGAATTGTTGTATCATCGGAAATGATTACATTCGTTCTAATTTGAGCATTTCTGCACTAATGAATAGGGCGTGACATTATCAAAATCGTCAAGAGAGGTAAAAGTGGATTTGCAAATTCCGTAAATAAAATTGTGAACTACTCGGTAACGATATTAGCTTTAATGATCGCGGAGTTTGTTGAAAGAAAACGCCGGAACTTGAAAGTTATAATTAGCGCCTGGCCATCTATTAGGCACAAAAGTACAAAAGCGCAAATTTTTCCAGCATTAGGTCGCATATGTAAATTATTATTCAAGAAGCGCCGTTTATTAACGTCATCTCGTCATATGGCCACGCAGAAATGCCTTTATTGCCGAATTATTTAGTCACTATTTTAAATCAACATTCGGGATTGACGCAATCGCAGCTTTGCGAGGTTTATCTGTAACGTAACATAGACACCATAGAAAAGTATAGCAAAGTTAATTACGGTATTGTCTTTAATAAATATCTTCATCCCGGTATCGATAATAATATTACCCGTTCGCTTAATATTGTGACGGTAAATTTACAAACGTTGATAAGTGATATCAAAGCCAACGCAAATGATAAAAATTAGAATAATATTAATTTGGGTTTTGAAATCAAACCTTAATGGTTTTAACAGCTGTTGCCAATGTGAACGAACGGGTAAACCCGAAATATAAACTCCGATGTCCACCGACCCGAAAGATTTAATAATACTTGCAAAAAACAAAAAGGGTGTGGATATAGATTATATATCGCCGCAAACGGTCGCGGTGACAAAAACAATCTGCGATTATGACGAAGGATAACCCAGTAAAAGAACGCTTTGTAGCCGATTTTCAATGCCAAAGGAGGTATCGACCGACGTCCTGGACCTCCTGTTGTGTATAAAAATATTCGTTATTCGACTATTCGGTATTCGTTAAAAATATTCGAATTATTCGATTCGAAAAAAATATTCGATTTTGCCCACCCCTATTCACAAGCAAGTGAATTTGCCATACACGAACTTGAGACATATTTATTGAATTGAAATCGTTCTAGAGAATCATTTACAGACAAACGAATTTAGCGCGAATGCTTCGAAATACGCAAATGGAATCTCAAATACTTGGGGAGTCAATAAGAGAGTTATGTAATTGTATTCGACTCTTTTTATTGTAATTGGTCCTGTCAACAAATGAATGACTGAAAACATAGAATACATCATTAGGACCAATTGCGGAGCGTTCACACACAATAACGAAACGCTTATTTATCAATAACTCACTACAAAAAATAGTCATATGTCAAAATTGCATTGAAAAAATATGGCTACAATGAAAAAAAAATGGGTAACCCACATATATTTCCACTCATATATATTCGCACGTACAGATTTTAGAACCCAAATATGGGTAGCAACCACGAACATTCACATTCATAAGTAATTTGCAGCCTAAAAATTATCGCCGCGTTTGGCAGTTTCTTGAGCTTGAACTTGCTGTCACTCAGATTTGAATTTTTCAAGAATATATATATGAAAAGACTATGTATTACAGCCAATTAACCAGCAAAAATACCTAATATAAATGACTTCTCCAGGCCTATGTATCACTTACTACAGGTGCAAAAATTGTAAGGAAAAGGAAGAATAGTATGGAATTGTAATTTGACTGTCACATACTGCAAATGCTATAAATTCTACAACTGTCAATGAAAATTAAAACTAAAACTATTTCTTTGGTATTGTATATACCTGTATATATAGTTGTAATGTAATACGATACGGGACCAAGATACACCGCCACACATCAAAACCGAATTTTTTTCGAGTGAAATAACGTAGCTGTTAGGGTGGAAAGTTTTATAAAAACACAGCGTGATACACGGGGTTGAATGTCCCTCATTTTTATTAATAAACAGAAACACTTTGCGCATTTCTGGTATAAATATTGGAGCAAATATTGGCTGATGTTCCTTATGTCCGTGCCGATTGATACGATAAACAGATTAATAGAAAATAATATTGGAATAGATAAAGAGTGGTGGTTCCCTATTTGAATAATAACTAAGTAATCTATAGGAATAAACGGTAGATATTATCCTACTTTTTTTAAAAAAGCACGTTGTTGAAATAATATGTTTGAAGGAAGCCACCGCATTCAGTGCAGTTACTCTGAAACTCACGAATTACGATATTTAAATGATGAAAGATTCTAGTGCACTGGTTTCCAACCTTTTCGGTGAATTCCTTTCTTTGCCTATTCTGGAACTACATAATATTCATTACTCCCTGGCCGTGCGAAGAAACTATTTCCGTTTGTGATTCAATCTTTAATAATAATGAAGCACTACCCAGTAATACGCGCAACCTGCTCTCTGGCTTTTGTATTAAGATTTACATATTTATCCCGGGGGAGAGGAACTACCCTTCGCCGGCGAGGAGTCCAACAATCCCCTAGCACATGATCATCCCTGCATGGAATTCTAACCCACGCAGGTTAATCAGAGATGCGGTAGCGAGCGTATCCTAACGCTTAGCACGATGCGCCATACCACTGTTCGAATAGTTCATGTTTCCATGAATATGTATCACAATAATACAAAATCAGAGGTCTACAACTTTAATTACATGAGCGTCAGATACAGGTAACTGAATGAAGCCGCGGGCGCATTTTATTTCAAGATAGCCTTTCTAGTAATTGCAGGCAAACTTTTTTCTGTTTTTGGTCTTACGGCATTATTAGGGGTCCTTGCAGAAATGGTTAGTTAAAACACATACATTTTTGAAAAAAACCGTGTATTTTGCAACAGGATTTTGCTAGCATATGACAGTGGCACTCGAGTACCGGTATAGGCTTTGTGGCGCAAAGGGGTTGGAATTGCTCGCACGTACAAGATTAACTAAACTAAAAACTCGTTTCGCGGGCACACCATTTAAAACTGGCACTTCTCAAATTTTCCTTGTGGGCCGCAGTTTGCACACCCATAATCCATATGCTAAATGACTAAAAACATGATTTGTGAAACTAAATAGAAAGTGATATTACCCTCCCCCAAAGCAATAATATTCCTTTTTGGAAAGAATTCCTCTCCGTCCGCGAAACGTTGTGTTTCTGCCACAACCAAATTTTGATGTTTTTAGATAAAAAACAGATCAAGGAATTTGTTGAGATTGCGATTGAATTTAGTTTTTGCACGAGGAACGTTGTCATGAACGATAAAGCAAACCATTCTTTAGTTTTATTCACACGAAGGCGTTTATTAATCTCGACACCAATCGAGTCCGCTTTCCCCGCGTGAACAAACCAATGACCACCAGACATATATTATCGACCTGATTTATTTATTGTTTTCAATCGAGTAGTTTTGTCGACAAATAGTATTCCATCAGGCAGTACACAGTGACTGTTATAGAAATAAAATTTCAAACATAAAAATTGCACAATATCCCTATGGGCAGAGACAGGACATCACATAGGCTTGGTATAATTCTATGAGTAAGAAAGAAGCAAATTTTAAGAGCGCAACAACAATTTAAAATCAAGAAATTCGAACGAGTTATAAATGAAGCACATCGAATTTTTGTCATCATAATCTCTGATTTAGATGGTTGCTCATAATCAATTATTTAGTCAATAAATGACAAATCAGGTACTTGCATTATTCATCTCAACATTATAGATAAACTTTAAGTGGTCATAGCAATCAGGTAATGAAGATACAATCATAAGGTTACGTAATTTGTTTGTCACATAATATGCAGCATGAAATACAAGGTGGCATTTGACATATGAAATTCAAAAAGAGTTCAATCTAAATAAATGTCATTCCAAAAGTTATTAAAAATCGATATGTCATTTGAGATGTTTGATAATGCAATTCGGATTAGTGGCAAAGAATCAGCAGCTTACATATTAAGCACGATTTTGTTTAAAAAACATTGCAATTTCAAAATAAAAGACAATATGAAATAACCAAACGAATACAATATTTTTAATTTGATTTTCTCAATTACCATTAAAAGAGCTAAGCATAAGATGTAAATAATGAAAATAAAAAACATGAACTTCTAACACCTCAAATTGAATATCCGAACATGCACCATTACCTCTGTCACCAATAACCCAATAATCATAAACAAAAATAAACTTTTGATCTAAAATACAGTAAAATGAAGATAAACAAATAAATAAGTATGCTATCACATATGAATATATTACGAGTATAAACACAGCTAACAGCTGCTTTGATCCAAGATGAGAAAATGAACGTTCTTTATAAATTTTATCATGCTAGTGTAGACCTAAATTAAAAATTTTAAGGTTTCACTTCAAGGTTACCTAGGCAGGTGTAAACAAACTAACAAATCATGTCGCTTATAATGGAAGGAAATAGTAACAAACCCTTCCCAGAATTATGACATACTATGAATAGCATTATTAGATTAGTGCATCATTATGCAGTGGGTATTGAAATATTGACTTATTTATATATTATTTTGTAATGATTCAGTTGAAATAGTATAGAAAAAAATTTTGCATGCCCAACTATCCAGTAATTGCCAACACAGATATATCAACAAATATTGAATATCAATTGATCAATTTCATGTCTTGTGAAAGGTTGACTTATCTACTGAATATTGAAGACTAAAAATATTGATTTTTCAAAGATGTCACACATATATACTGCATGACATATACCACTTTGATTTCGCATATTGGAACAATGTAAATAGTCATTGGGTCAAATACTTTATATCAAATTATTCCAATTACTTACAAGTGTCAAAGCTGTATAATAATCCCTCTTCGGCATAAGAAATATCATACATGACACTTGTATTCATTACCATCTGGCAATAACAAAACAGTTATACGATTATTAACCCAAGATAATTTCATAAAATTTTTGCTATTGTCTCTTGTGTGATCAGGGGAACTTACAATACGCTGATTTACTGAAGATGGCAGTAAGCGTACTGTTTTAACATTTTTCACCTGTGCTTGTAGCATACCAAACAAGGTCGATGATGTCATCCAGAAACTAAGAAGGTTATCTTGAACACTATACACAGAAAGATATTTCCCTTCTGGGGAGAAGGCTAATGTGGATATAGTATATCTTCCACGATGTATGATTTGATGTTTATTAGTCCTGAGATCGTATAAATATATTGCACCTCTACGAGTTCCAACAGCAATACGTCTTGTTCGAGGATCATATGAAATAGTGTGAAAACGAGACAGGGCTGGCACAGCTTCGATTAAACTATTAGCCGTGCGCAATGCATTAGTATCAATACAAAAAAGAATAACGTCTATAACTTCAACCAGCAAGTCCATGACATCTGACATCATTTTATCTGCCAGCAGCTCTATGATTCTTAGCACCTCAGCCCTGGATCGGACAATGATTGAAGTCGCAAGCAACGCTTGATGTTGAGGATTGGCAGCTGCAGCATTGTGGCGAGCAACTTCACGAGCTATAGTAGTAATAAATGTCAAAGGTCGAGCAGTAGCTATTAGACAAAGAGCATGATGAGATGAACGACATGAATCCGCTTGAGCAGATAAAGGTAAACCACTTTGAATGCTTGCCAAATGGGTACTATAATCAACACAATTTTCCAGTAAGCCAAGCAAAACAGCAGACACTTCAACATAAGGTTCCCAGACAGTAAAACCTCTTCCTATCAGATCTATCGCAGCTCGTCTTATTGGAGCATTGGCTGGCAACCTTGGCGAGGCAGGGTAGAGCAAAAGATATACAAGAGCTTTGCAAGTATTTCTTGCCATTGAATAGTTAGTAAGTTTGAATCCTTCAGGAATTTCTGATTTGCTTTGAGATTTAGAAGGGCTTGCATTATTAGACCGAGAAGGCTCCATTTCTTGTCCAAACTCTGCTCCAATGACTCCAAGAATAATCACAGCTGTTGCCTGTCGGCGCCTAGTCTCATAGGAGAGTCTTTGCGCAGTGGGGCGTAGTGACTGAGTTGGTGCCTCTGTGGCAAGTTCGACACTCGATACACTTGATTTGTCCATGATGTCATCAGTAGGAGTACCAGAGGCAGAAACTGAATTCAATCTCTCTTCCGTTCTAGTGTTTGGTACAAGATCAATGTGCTGTTGTTGAACATAGTCAGGCATATGTCTTGCCCATTCTTCCACTATCTTTCTGCGTCCTTCTGGTTCAATCTGCCTCAATTTTGCAAGGAGCAGAGCTTGTGCAGCTTCCCTCACTTCCAAGCATCTGTCTTGCCACCGCCTTGCCAATAATTCTAATTTAGGAGGCTTGTATAAAGGAGAATCTAACAGCTCTTGCAATAACACACAATGCATCGTTGCCAGCAATGCCCAGCCTTGTTTTATCTGAGCCATTTCTCCAGGACTTTCAGAAACTCCGTCACTAATATTGCTTGATGTTGAATCCTCTGTCAAAGATGTTCCATTGGCATTACTTGTTTTAGTATTATTCGAAAAACTCAAGTTTGAAAGTTCCATCAATGTGTTTGCAACGGCAATAATGCTTATGAGATGATGTGTTGTGATCGTACTGGAAACTTCCCAATGTCCTGAATGTGAGCAAACATCATCTGTTTTTGCTACATTATCCTCAATTATTGAAAAAGTGAGGTGTGTGCAACCATCGACAATATCCTCAGACTTGGTAATCCGTACTTCTTTTTGTTTTGTCCAGGTAGGTAACATAAGGGCCATTTGCCCTTCTCGTGACAACAGACCAAAGCAAATGGGAATTAGAGGCTCAAAAATACCAAGTTTGTTTTTGCATATATCATCCAACTTTTGATCTAAGCCCCAACCATGTAGGCAAGATAGTAATAATTGAGCCACATTCATTATTGTGTCAACTTCCATAGATGGAGACTTTTTCTCTTTTTCTTTATGTTTTCTAGAAATATTTGGCGTACTAGCTGCAGACGATCCCTGATCACTGGAATCCAACAATTGATTTTTGACTTGGTATATAAATGCATTAAGAACTTTACGAGCTGAGCTGGGATTATTCCCATTTTCTGCTCGTTTTTGCACTCGAGAAAGTTTCTTTCTCAGAGCTTGTTCTTGTAAAAGAGTGCCAATAATAGCTTCAGTATTGAAAAATACGATATGAGAATCATCATCTTGTGTTGGTGATGCTCGCAGTGGTTGTACAAGCATTGCTTTTGTACATGACATTGCATTGAGATTACCTTGTTTCTCTCCATCGTCCTGTATTTTGTCTTCGATGGTTTCGATAATATTGCGCAATCCTTGCTGTGCTGCAGCTTTGAATCCAGCCAAATTTCTTCGCTTAAATGCTTGAGACAAATTGACATTGCCATGTACAATATCATCAGTCCTATTACTGCTGGATTCATCACAAGCTGCAAAAATCTCAGTGGCAGTTACACCAGTGACATAGCGGTCAAGGTGACCTGTTTCCATCTGCCATACAAATAGTCCACCGTCCGCACAAGCAACAAGTACAAAGTCATCCAATGGTCTCCATTTTATAGAAACTACTGTTGATGTATGACTGGCAGCAAGCATCACACATTTTCTTTCTCTTATACTTAATATTGCGACAGAATGATCGCTGGCAACACTGCAAATTGATTGTTGCACTCTTGGACTGCATTCCTCCGGTGGTACGATTAGTTGTGTAATTTCACCACCATGGATATTGAAAACATGGAGTTGCACTCCGGTGAATAACTCCCATAGTATTATTGTAAAATCCGCACTGCCAGAAACAAATATTTGAGATGAATATCTATTTGATTCCTGATGAGGATAGAGTAAATACGTAACTCTATCTTGGTGTCCTCGCATTGTTCTGTGAGGAAGCCATGTCTTTTTTGTTAATGGTCCATCACGTAATAAACGAGACTTGCAAGCTCTTGCAGCAGGCACAATAATTATGCTGCCGTCTTCACGGCCACAAGCTAACTGCCCCAAACTTTCAATATACAAGCTGGTGGTAACAGAAATATTTAAATCTTTTCCTAACTGGTCAATTATACCAGCAGGCTTACGCACTAAACTTTCCCAATGAGTTTGCAACCCTATATTGCATAATAAATTCACTGTATCGGATATGTGATCTCTATTCTTGGATATTGACCATAGAGAGACACTGCCGTTACTATTGCCAGAACATAAAATAAAATCACCATTCTGTTCATTGAATAAATCCATCACAGGAGGCGATGATAATTCACTAGTTTCCTTGCTACAAAATGAATACAGCAATCTTACTTTGCATTTATCAAAATCTTTTACAGAGTCTCTTGAGCCTCTTAGCATAGATGTAGTGGGTAATGAATACAAGAACACGATTCCATTCTGATCATATAAAGCAACACTATAATTGTCTTTCAAAAAGTCTCCCCCACTAAACACAGACCCATGCGGGGATGGAACAGTACAAAGTAATGAAAAGTCACCAGAATCATACAATTGCCATTCATATGGACATACAATGAGTAAATAGTTATCGGGATGAGAAGCATGAGTTAACTGCACTGCATTTTGGCATCTTAATTGTTTTGATTCATCCTCTAATATAGGGGATGATTTTGTTGACAAATTATTTGGTATTTGCCAAACTTTTATTGTACCTGACATAGTAAGTCCAACCACAGACATTTCAGGGCCAGAGTTTGTGATACAGCAACAGTTTATCCAATCAGGATAAATTCTTGATACCAAAGTAGCGACCATTTCAAGAGTTACAGCTGAAAGAATAAATATTTCAGCAAAGAGTCCGACACATAAAATACACGATTCTGCTTTTCCATCAATAGTTATTTCAGTTAACATTAATCTAGATGGGGAACCAGATAATCTGGTTTGTTCCAAGCAGCGGCCATCTGATAAATCCCACAAAAATAACTCATTAGTCAACGATGCACTGGCCATGAACTTTGTGTCCTTTGTTCCATTGTTAATTGAGACTATGCTGACAACTGAACTTGAATGACCAAACAATAGCATCTTTGGTTGAATGCTCTTTGTAGTATCGTTCATATCCCATATGCAAATTTGACCATCAGCACAACCAGTTAAAATATGTTTCAAATCCTTCGTCATTGTTATTGCACGAATTTTATGTGTAGGGGGTTTCCCACCCCACATTACTATTGGCACAATAAGGCTGTTCATCTTTACTAATATTATATAGCAAATCTGGAAGAAATGGAATTCACAATCAGCATAAAGGAACAATATCAGCAATAAAAATTATATTTTTCTAAAATAAAGATAGAAACCCTATTAGGGCGTATAGGATTTGGATTGTACACATACAGAATCGAATGTGACAAAAATGGGATTTTGCCATCTGTTAGTTAATACAGTAATAAAACTAGCATCAAATTTAAAGACAAACATCTTCATATGACAGTACCATATTGATCAAAATACTTGGATGACAATTTGGGCAACAATTATGTAGTTCATGTGACGTGAGATCATGAATGCATGGGGGCTTGTTGTCAGAAAAAAAAGCTTAACTTGTGCATAACCTCCGCAAACAGAGGGAAACAGCGCAGAGCAGAAAAAAATTCTGCAATGAGTTGGAGTACCACAGCAACAAATTAAAAACACAAACTAAGGCATGTAGGCTGTAATGGCAGGTCTGCCCCTGCTGGTGACACATTTTGGGTACCGTAATTTAGAACGTTTTCCATATGGATACAGTTTTGATTAATTTGGGTTTAGGTTAGAGTTAGATAAAAAGAAAAGTAGATTAAATTTCGCATGATGACCTAAAATCCGGTACATAACGTTGTGAATATACCAGTAATAGCGGCATAGAACCATGGCAAGAGACGCCGCGGTTCATTCGTGGCAGGAGCCGCCATAATGTGGTAATAACTGCGTCTCCTGTTTTGCGCTAGTTTTCTCTGATCCGCGCTGTTTTCCTCTGTTATGCGACGTTTCCCTGTTTCGCACTCTTTGCGGTGTTTCCCGCTGTATTCAGTAAGTAGTGAAACCCCTTGTGTGGCTGAAAAGGGGAAACACTACCAAAGCAAAAAGTTATCACTTCAGAAATCTGAAAGCTAAAATGATTTATCGAACGCATTGATAGCTCAAGTCATTCGAATTCCAAATGACAATTAGATGTGGATAGGAAGGATCGTTTTGAAGAAATAGAGCTACGACATGACTCGATACCATATTAAGATCGTCCAGGACAGGTGATGATAATTTTTAGCAAAGCTCGGACATAAAATATTCTTTGATGCAAATTTGTTCATCCATTGAACTACAAATACGCCCAGATTTCAAATTCATTTGTGAACCCTTACTTTTGAATTTCAACCTGTGCATAAAACGGAGCTACATTTTACTAGTAGATCATGAATATGAACACTGACGCAAATATTCAGCCTAAAATTCCGAGGTTATCTTAATAATCTAAGACAGGTAAGATATTTCCATATGCAGAAAGTATCTAAAAACACTATCATGCAGAAGTACATCCAAGCCTGCGACACCAGTGGCGATACAACGAGTTTGAGAGATCTAAAATATACCCGTCACTGACAGTTCAAAAAAGACTTTAACTTGTGCGAAACTGCACATAGTTCAGTAGGAATCTCGTGTAGTTTAGTACCTAACATACTTCTAGTGAGCGTATTGCAATAATTTTTTGACATATCAATCCTAACCCTCACCTGACTATGCCACCAAAAAATTACGTCACTACGACGTCACAATCACGTCATAGAGCTTGTCAAATATACATACGATCACCCAAAATGACATCGGCGCCGACGATAAAGAACTGACTAATGTCAGCATTCTCTCTCATATTGGGATCGTTGCGACGAGAAAACGAGAGAAATATTTATTCGATTTCGGATGCTCGTCTGCGCCTCTTGGACAACAGTTCGTATAGTCTGAAGGGCTCTATTACGTCACTGTGACGTCGTAGTGACGTAATTTTTGGATGGTGTAGTCAGGTGAGGGTTAGGATTGATATTTCAAAAATTGTTATGCTACCCCCACTAGAAGTGGATTAGGTACGAAACTACATGAGACCCACTCAGTAGTTAAGCTAAAGGTGGGAGTTTGGATATCTGAAATATAGCGTTACGTTACATAAGTAAGTTTGGATACCTGCGGTGAGACACAGCGTTACATAAGTTAAGTGAAGGGCGGGTATCATGCAGTCATGGCGTAGAATTATTCCAGAGGACCTTAGTCGAACCCCTGGAACAGCTCCACCGAACTCAGATTGAGAAACACTGATATAATAAATACAATTTATTTGAGCATTCTGAAAACGCAACACTCAATACAACGAGAAAATTATATAACAGAAACGTCTAGAAAACAAGCAAAACTTACTGCCTTGAGAATAAAGTTTATAACATGTATCTACGCTCGCCACCGCACCTCTAATTACTCTGCGTGGGTTCGCAGGTTCGAATCCCATGCAGGGATGGTTATGTGCGAGAGGATTGCTGGACAGCTCGTCGTCGTTGGGTGGTTCACAAAACCGCTGGTCGGTTACGGCTTCCTCCACCACCAAGTCCATGCTTCCGAAAACAAACAATACCGTCTTATCGGCTTTCCTCTCCCCCGGGATAAATATGTAAATCCTATCCCCTATCCCTACCGTACCCAATGCACATGCTTGTTCACAGAAATTAACACACATTTGATAATATTTGATGAGCTGTGGTTCGCTATAATTATGATTGAGCCTTCTTATCGACTTTTCTTTACCCCGGGATAAATCTTGCCCTATAATACGGTAATAACTACAAGAAGCCTGCAAGCAGACAACACCAGAAGACAGATAACATGACTGAATCCACTGAGACTCCCTCTGGTGACGGAGTCATCATACTGCTGTAACTCGATAAACTCGATAAACATAACCTGACCAATATCTGAGTTAGATCCTAACGCGTCGCAGTTCCGCAGCAATTAGTTTTTGGGTATTATTTTCAACTCTGAACGAGAGCTGCGACTTTGGTTCTTGCTTCGGGCACACTTTTGTGGTTTAATCACTTTGGGTTTAATCAAGAAATGGTGAAAATTGTCCAGCTCAATAGTGCTACCACGCGACGGGCATTCTCGTTGGTAATAGTATGGATGAACAGTGTTCTTCTGGTTCTGGAGTTCCCAAACCGCGGCCCACGGGCCAATTACAGCCCGCGTAACAATTCAAAATGGCCGGCCGCGCTCGAGTGAAATAGTTTAATGGTTAAACTTGATCCGTAAATAAATACCAATACGTTTACCACTTTATGTGTTTACCTTTTTACGTTTTACATACCGCCAATTGTTTAATCATTACAACAGTTCATACATGTGTATATTTGTAACAATTCAATTATACATATTATATCATATGTATGCGTAACGGTATTTGTATACAGCAGTATTTGAGGTATCTGCTCTATATTGAGAAAGCTTAAAGCTGTCAAAAAACAAAAATTTGATACTGAAAACAGACGTTTTTTAGATAAATGGCAGCGATCTTATTTCTATATTGAAAATAATCAAACTTCAGCGATTTATCTTCCTTGTCAACAAACTATTACAGCTCTGAGGAAATAGAAGGAAATTAGAAATTATGATCAGTTGACGAGCGTATTTCAAAATTTAATCCATTGCTAAATTCATACAAAAGTCAAATAAACATGTTCAAAAAAATGTCAAATGAAATTGAATCCACGTTATTGGCTAGTTATATTATAACCATCAACATCGCTAAAAAAATCGCCAGTTTGTTAAAAGGAAATTTTTACGCGAATGTATGTTGCAAGTTTTGGAAGTCATTTCTCTTGATATAGAAAGTAAATTTTCAAGCATCATCTTTCTAACTACACACACCTTTGAAGCTCAACAAATCAAAACTTCGGTTCAGACTGACAGATGATCATCTGAATGCGTTATTGCGAATACAATGTACTGAATCATAGCCATGTTTTAAACATGTGAGGGGGGTGTAAACGTGTGTGTGTGTGTGGGGGGGGGGGGGGTTCTTCAGTTGATCCTTTCTGTGTAACTAAACAAGCCATAACTAGCCATTTATACGATGCCGTATGCCAGATGAGCAAGTAACTTCATTATTCGATGTCAGTTGAAAATTTCTTGTTGAAAGTCGTGCTCGGTATTCCGCGGATATTCTATCACCTATCTGTTATATTTATTAATTTTTCGCGTCCTTTTGTCAATCCCCTTTTCTGGCCCGCCAATATACTTCTGCTTCGACTTTTGGCCCGCGATTCATCAAGTTTGGGAACCCCTGTTCTGGTTCAATGCCAATTTTATATGTCGTAGAGTAGACAATAGTGTTTTGTCCAACGTGGGTATCTCTAACCCTTGCAAACGGTTTATATATCATAGTTTCATCAAGGCAATACCCAATTTTGGCATTACTGGGCTGTTTATCATTACCTTCAAATCTCAAGTATTGAGCTACGAGAAACTTAGGGCTTTTTAAACCATCAAGTTCATGCTTTCGTAAACAAATAACTAACTAATCCCATTCCCGACATGGAATGATAACCGGACGAGAGGCTGTGGTTCCCCATATGATTAAGCGGTCTAATCGGCTTTCCACCCCCACCCCCCGCGGAATGAATATGTAAAACCTATCCTATCCTACCTTAGGATAAATGCGCAACACTGGAGAATGATAGCAACAGCAGAACGATGGTGATTTTCGAATAAAAGGGAATTACAGCAAAATCGACCAACATATATATACATAGAGAGAAAGCCACTCGAATACATAGCTTATTGACTCGTTAGCATCCATAATTGATCCGGATGAGAAAAGTTGATTTTTATCATTAGTATTACGGATTGCTTGGATTCACTCATGACTGGAAAAAGATAGGTAAGGTACTTCTCTCTTTTCTAAAACATGATTGATTTGGTTTGTGGAAATGTAAATAATACTCTAGTCTAGTTTATACCAATCGAAGCCACAATATGAAACATGGTTCAAATCACTAGATGAAGTTTATGTGTCAGATAACAAACCCGGGGCCGGATTTACCATTAGGCAAGAGAAGCTGAAGCCTAGGCCTTAGGGGCTTTGACATTCGATTTTGAACCGTTATTACTTTTCAAGCTGTTTTATTTTGCTTTAACGGCTTCTTCCAGTTTGAAACTGATATTTGTTTAATTTTTAAACCAGGTCAATAATCTTGTTCCAAATATGTAGCCTACAGTTTAAAAGGTTTACCAACTACGGTATAATGATTAAATTTGTTCAGATTTGAGAAACTCTATCCCTTTAACCCTAAAAAAACCCACAATATTGTATTAAAAATAGGTAGCTTTTTTTTGAAACGTGGCTTGAGTTAAAACAACTCGAAATAATATTTTCAACCCTTTGCCTCAAGATAAAGCAAGCTTATAGCACAAAGGAGTATCCAATCGATATGCCTCAAAAGAGAGAAATGCTCAAATATATGGGCACGGATGTCACTCATCGGTACCTTCAAGTATTTTACCCACTTCGACAATGTTCCCATGAATTATAACAAAAATTTGGGGTAAAATATCGGCTTCCACAAGAAAAATATAAAATTATTTTTGGTTTCATTATAAAGTACTAAAAATTTGAAATTGATTTTATTTATTAGTTGGGGAGAACGGCGAGATATTGCGAACAACAATAATTTTCGTAAGAAGGATCCACAGGGCAAATTCAACAACAAAGAATAATAACAATAAGATTTCATCAATTTTCCGACAGCATCACAATTTACTCTAGTAAATAAGAGTTGTTTCGGTTAAACTTGGTCATGCATGGTTGCACATTAACGCAGTGGGCGGCTCAGGTGACCATCGTTATTATCGTTAGTTTTGTTATGAAAATACCAAAAAATATAATGTTGAATTTTGTGTCTGTGATACATTTTACTATCCGTTTTACCCCGAGGCATAAGAGCAAAGGCTTTAGTTTAGTAATTGCAGAAGGATGAGTGCGTGGATAAGACATCGGGGTACCACTTTCACCTTTCCCAATTCATCTAAATTAGTTAGCATTTGCTTATAGTAAACACTGTGATGGGTCGAACAAAAGCTAGACAATATTTGCTTGCAATGATCCATATATATGAGTATTATAGGATAAGATTTACATATTTATCCAGGAGCAGATAAGCCGGAGTGCCGATAAGATGGCTTAATCATCACGGCCTCTCGTCCGATTACCAGCCCATGTCAGGTATGGGATTAGTTAGCCAGTTATTTGTTTTCGGAAGCATAGCAAATGAAAAAATGATTTCATGGTGTTTTCAAAGCAAACCTTGCAAACTACGCTAACAGTAAATCGTAATGTGACTGACTCATAAATGGAATAAGAGACAATCGTACCTACAAATGAAACGGCAATTCTGATGCTCCGTTGTAACATGCTTACATGTACAGCTCGTAACGTTGTTAGTGAATCATGTTACAAAACAATCAATTGTTCGAAATTTTTCATCAAGGCTTGGACTCTTGTCAACGACAGATCTAATTCATTTATAGAGACAACATTGGTTCAGTTCATCGCTGATTATGTTACGCACTATAGTTTATCATCCAATTTAGGACAGTGTCAGTGCTAGGATTTGCTTAAAACTGCTGAAGCTGAAATGCATCAACTCCATAAATTGGCGTACCAATCATTTTTCAACTTGAACTTGTTTGGCTGTATTAATATGCAAGTTTGGTATTTGAATAATTTTTGCTTATAAAATACATAAATGAATGCAATCGCGACTGGAATTCTTCAAGAACAACTTGCCTGTGTGCGGCGTCTTCGAAATATACATGAAGTGTACACGTAAATGTATTAATTAAATTGTGTGCATAGCAATTTTAGTACACTATATCGCGAGAAAAATGCTTCCTGTAACACAAATTGATATCTCGCGCCATCCTATCTCAACTTGTGTAGAATAGAGATTATGAAGACTAGAGAAATGTTATCAGTAAACAGGTTATTGATTTCGGTTATTAGTGGCTTACGAGGGCATGGTATGTACACAAAATTGTTATCCAAAATTATATTCATTACAGTTGCAAACTTAGTCTCAAATTGTGTTTCATAGACATCTCATTGTCTAACATCTTCACAGCTACGTCATACGGATGTCAGAATTTACGTGATGGGTGAGTAACTTTGATAAACAAAAAATATCATTAAATGCAGCACAGGAGCGGAAATTACGACTTCCTTTAAGCGATAATCGCGGTGACTCAGTTCATCTCAGCGGTATGGTCCTTTATGTGCTAGATCTATTTCCTTCCACAGAGATATGGTTTTAAAAAAGTAAATTCAGTAGATGTGTCCAAGATTGGATAACAATAATTTGATATTTTTACTTTATAATCCATCACCACGCACAGTATTTATCTTTTATAACCACGTAATTTGTAATCTAATGATATATTTTCACAGCCTTGTTCACACTTACGCTCTTTGGATTGATTGCTGTCATAAATGCTGAAGAAATTAAATGTGAGTACATTAATTGACAAGAAGATCACATAGTTAAAACATAACGAGATACGGTTTCCTCCACCATTAAGTCCATTATTTTGAAAAAATTACCTGGCTAACTAATCCCATACCCGAAATGGATTGGAAACCGGACGAGAGGCCGTGGTTCGCCATATGATTAAAGCCGCCTTATCGGCTTTCCTCGTCCCCGGGATAAATATGTAAATTTTAACCTATAGAACCCAAGGAATCGCCAGAGCGTGGTTGTGCTGAACATGAAACTGCATAACCAATTCAATTACCCGAATATTCATCCTTATTCAAAGGATACTAAACTTTAACCGTTGCTTATGTTCATTTATATCGTTTTACAGATAACCCATGCTGCTCGAATCCTTGCCAAAATTTCGGCATATGCAATAGAATTGCTTGGACAGAAAAATATAGTTGTGATTGCTATGGGACTGGATACTATGGTGTCAACTGTGAAACACGTGAGTAGTTTTACTCAAACTGAAATTACTCGGAGTTCTCTTTCAAAATAATCCGTTTCTGGAGTTCGATGAGTGAATATTACTGTACCTCAATATTCAATCCATGATTGATATTAAATTAATATTGAGAAACTCTGGCAGACAAGAATTTATGCCACTCTTTATTGTTGGTATGGAATTATCTTTTAATTGGTCAAGGTCTATCCTTACTCGCTCATACACTTCCTACCGCAAAGTTAGTATTTTTTCCAATTGAAAAGAAACACCTGACAATTCGCCGATGACACACAGCAAACCGAGTCAAACATGAATCCGATGGAATTAAGATACTCGCAAATGCACGGGTGCCTCAAATAGCCTCAATCGTCCCACAGGGACACGTGGGACACGACATTTTTGAGATAGCCATGTATTTGTGAGTATTTTATTTCCATCGGATTCGCGTTTGTAATCCGTCTTCATTTCGAATATATATTTATAGTTGGTAATCAAAGTTTGTCTGGAACACGGTTTTTCTAGAACATGGCTGTGGGGGGCGAATTCATATGCGTGAAAACATCATAGGTACAAATGTCCGTGGATGCAGATGTGCATTGGTACAAATGTACGCGTACCGCAGATGCACCACGCGAACTAACGGGTAATGGTCGTGTGTATAAATCCCGATGTATCATATTTATCATGTTATATTTCCAATTTCTGACACGTTTGTGATTCCCACTAACATAGACCTAAGCCGTATACCATATGGTTCCGATCTGATATACAGTTGGGAAAACAATTGAATAGCATTTGCTTAGAGTAAGATCGTGAGACTCTACCCGTAGGCGGCAACACTATTGACAAAATATCTACTATATAATAATTTAAATGATAAAGACTAAAATATTTGTTTCAGGGACCTGGAGTAAATGGATCTCCAACTTACTTCGTCCATCTCCGTTCACCGTTCAAGCAATTACTACTAACGGAAAAATTATATGGAAAATTGTGAACAAAATCAAATTTGTGCATTCTTATTTCATGAAATTTATTCTGAAAAGTAAGTCATGTTTATATTTGAGAGCAAATAACGTATTTTGATGTTGCCATTTGACAATTTGAATATTTTGATTGAAATTCATATGCAAAAGCAAAGAATTCTTTCCCCTTTAATCGCCTGCCATTTGATATGGCAATTCAGCGAAACATTTACATTTTGAAAATTTGACAACATTGAGGCGAGTCTTCTTCAAAATGGATGCTCGTAAGAGGCCATGTTGTACATATTTCCTAAGTATGGATATTTTTGTCATGCCTCGGTTTGAAGTGGCTCATTTATTTTTTTATACATTTTTGATGCGGAACACTATTCTCATTCTCTCTATAATAGTACGCGCATTGTCTCCGGAATGGCCAGAACCCCACAACACAGCAGCGGATTACATCACGTGGGATGGATACACCAACAAAACGTACTGGGGACGTACTCTTCCAGCTGTTCCAGAAGATTGTCCAACACCTTTTGGTGTCGTCGGTAAGACAATAAATGTAGTATACAGATATTTCGAAACTTCATATGCGATACAGCCCAAGAGGTCTGTCCGTTTCTGTCGCTCGTCTTGTTCGCGATATTGTACCGGAAAAGGCTTTATCAGAATTGTCGAATACCGATGGGCTTCAAAAAAATTACCGATACTGTCGATTACTCACATTGCCCAACTTATATCAATATTCTTGACATCGATACAAAGATAGTGTAGCTTGCTTGCCTGGAATAGGATCCTGTCGTTTTAGAACAATGTCTGTGTATAACATCGTATTTTTCTTTTAGGTCCCAAAGAGTACCCGGACGTTTACAAATTGGTAGAAGAAGTATTTACAAGAACTGAGTTCAAGCCATGTCCGAGAGGAACCTCACTATCGCTTCCGTTGTATGGGCAGCATTTTACACACCAAGGTTTCAAGTCCGTTCCCTCTGACGACACTTTAACCTGGGGTCAACATACGGTAAATACAAACTTAAAAAAACATACGGTAATTATTCTAGTGTCGTTATTATTTTCAAATGTGCATTTTGTCAATACGATTTTGGATCGAGCATTTTATTGCTATTAGACTGCAGACTGCATTACATATATTTTTCATTCATTTGCAGCTCGATATGTCTCATCTTTATGGGGAAACGTTAGGAAAACAGCTCGCTTTAAGATCAATGAAAGGAGGGAAGATGAAGACACAAATAATCAATGGAGAGGTACTGTTATTTGTAGGACTGTGATGTGTCTGCCTTCTCACCAGAAGTTAAGAATTTGAGCTTTTATTAGGCACATAACGGAAAAAAATACGATTTTGGTGAACGAAGATGATGAAGCAAATCGTTTAAACTAATTTGATTTTTAAATAGATTTAGAGTCTAAATTTTAGACGATGATGCTGATTCATTTACAATATAGTCATAGTTGAGTCTTCTATTTGATTCACTGATCTGATCTAAAAACTATATTTTATTTTTATACCGTCTCGTTTCCATAATACGATGGTTTATTTTCTGAATACATTGCAGGAATATCCTCCAAATATGAAAGACTGCCCTGGAGTGAACATGGATTATCCAGAAAATGTGATAGAGGAATACCGATTTGCAATGGGACATCCATTTTTTGCTTTACTCCCTAGTCTGATGTACTACTCTACTTTATGGCTCCGAGAACATAACAGGGTATGTGATGTATTAGCAGAACATCACCCACAGTGGGATGATGAAAGACTCTTCCAAACTACAAGACTTATTATTTTAGGTAAGCGAAAACAAAGTTTCGTCTAAAACTAGAGAATACAGTATCTCTAAAAAGTATATCATAAATTCTGCGCCAACCAAAGTAAATATATTCGGTTTTAGCTTGAATTTAAAAGCACGAAGAAACTCAAAGCTGTAATAAAACGTCAAAATACCACAAAACGTGAAACATAATAATACTCTTCTCCAGTCGCGAGAGGGCGGTGACATTTAGTCAAGTCTCCTCGGAACACTGGTGAACGCTAGACTGGAATAGGCAACCTTACTTAAAATTAAAATAAAGTTACTCGCAGGCGAAACATTGAAAGTGACAGTTGAAGAATATGTTCAGCATATTTCTGGAATGGATTTGAAGCTGACCTTTGAACCCGACCTGATGCACGATTCATCGATGCGATGGGCGAGCGGTCGTCTGCATGTAGAATTCAACACTCTCTATCACTGGCACAATATGATTCCAAATTACTTTTACATTGGGAGTGAGTATTTTCTGAATATAGGGTTAGGTTTTAATGACTTCAGACTTAGAGTCATGTTAATATTTATGAAAGCACAGCAGGCGATAATGAATCGTTGAACAAAGCACGAGGACCTGTTGTAGGAATTGTTTAAACAAAAGTACACTTTTTAGCAAAGATGGCTAAGATCTCAAGTCGTAAAGCGCTTGACCACGTTTATGCTTCTATGTTTAAATTGTGGGGGTGGCGCTCTACTTCTATCTGCGAAAGTTACGCACCTCGACGACGCAAAATATAGCCTGTATCCTCAAACTTTCATTTAATTTCAAGTTAGAGTTTACCGTTATATCCCGTCGTTTCGTGTCACTGACACTCTAATGGGCCTCTATAGACAGAACATGGATATTACTCATTTTAATCAGAGACTTCGACGCGAACTTAGTCCCGACATGCACTTGAGTCCTAGGAAAGCAACCTTGCACTTTATCCACGCATCAACTCACTGACATTTAGATATATCAAATCACAATTCAATATTGTATTTAAGAAAAATAAAAAAAATCAGCGTCAAGTCAATGACGTCAGCGATCGTGGCTTACAACCTGATGCTTCACACAGTTTATTTGTCTTAATTACTTTTAGTCGTTCCCTCGTGGCAGTATGAGTTATTTTTATCTCTATTTTTTACATCATTTATCTTAGATAAAACATATACTCTGGAGGAAACATTTTTTAACATGAGTTCTTTGCTTGATAATGGAATGAATGTTTTTACAACATCGATGGCGAATCAAGTGGCCGGCAGAGTAAGACTTGGTTACTGTTATTATGCATATTAGATTATTTCAGTTCATGATGTGCCTGCGTATTGCAACTACATATTGTCACTCAGAATAGGATAATATGGCCGAACTTGCTTTTATGGGACACAAACTGCTGTAACGTCGGAACAAGTGACAAGGAGACCAAACTTTGCACACACTTGAAACAGGGGTGCACAACTTTGATACAAGAGGGCCAGATACAAATAACTAGGTGAAACCGCGGGCCGCATCTCTCTTTAACATAACTTTCTAGCTAGTAGTTGCAAGCACAAAAAAGGCATTGTAACGTCATAATCATGGACTATAAATTGGACTCGGGTACAGGCTTTGCAACGCAAAGGGATTGAAATTACTTGCACGTACCAGATTAAACTAAATTAAAACCTCGCTTCGTGGGCCGCACACTATTCAAAATTGGCACTTCTCCGCGAGTCGCACAATTTTCCCTTGTGGACCGCAGTTTGCACACTCCTGACCTAAAAGTCAAGTTTCATTGCGGTTACAACTTCTTGATTCCTGATTATTTTTACCGGATTACTAGTTTTGCTTGTGTTTGCGACACCTTGGTTTCAATGTGTTACTTTTAGCATGTAATCGTCACTGGTTTATAATTCGGTATTGGACATCTCATCAGTCAAATCGTTTTCAATATAATTCAAGCACTTCATGTATGTGAAACAAAAGTTCATGTGAAGGGAACATAATCTTTCAAATATACAGTTGATTTACGTACTTACGTACTATCTATATCTGAGGGGAAAGTGTAAAACACTTGTGGCAGTGTGAATTGTATTGCTTCTGAGTGATGCCTACAGTTTTCTAATTTAGTTACTTTTTTAAACATTCAACAAAATGTTTCAACCAAGCGGAATGTTAACATTTTTAAGAAAAACTTGCGGTCTTTTTTACTGCATGTGTGTAAATTTCAGGGAGCTGGTGGTCGAAACATGGCAAAGTCTTTACATAAAGTCGCTTATGAAGTCATTAAAATGAACAGAAAATTACGCCTCCAGCCATTCAACAGATACAGAGAATTATTTCGGCTTCCCCCTTATAAGACGTTTGAAGAACTGACAGGTAGTATCTAATATATATTTGTGATTTTGGCCTGTTAGCAATCAAACTTGTATTGCTATTACATCCTCACATCACGCTTTTAATCCTATCGGGGTGTGTGTGGCAAGATTGCTTGAATCATGGAAGCCCTCTGTCAGTGGAATTGATCATTTCAAGCAATTGATAGCGTGACATATAACCATGCGATTCGGAGCTTGCAATGTGGTTTATAACAAAATTTGGTACTCCCGTAGTGTGTGTACAAGGTTAGGGTTAGGGCATATTTTTATTTCGATTTTTCTTATTTTAGTTCTTTTACGAGTTGGGAACTGTTTGTGTTAGCCAAGTGAATATACCCCCTGCCCATAGGATTCAATCCCTTTACATAACATGACGTAAAGTAGGCGAACAAAAATAGTTATCTCCATATTGGTATACATACTTCTGGAGTGCCCAAAATTTATTAGAACGAAATATTCGACGTCCCATTGAATAGTCCGTTATTTACTTATATTTATTAAATTTAAACATTCTTAGGTGAAACTAAGCTTGCCAAAGTTTTGAGTAAATTTTATGGAGGCGAAATTAACGCTGTCGAATATTTTGTCGGAATCATGGTCGAAAAACGTTACAAAGCAAAGATGTGGGGAATAACTCTGACTGAATCAATTGGAAACTACGCTCTTCGAAGGTATTATAAATATTAACATGAAATACCACAATCGGTGAACTTAGTATTATGGCGCATTGCATTAAAATCAATCTAGTTATACAGGTACATAATTAAATGTTCAAGCAGTTTATCAAATTAAGTTTACTGCTATTCGAACCAATTCATTTTTAAAACGTATAGCGGAATTATTGATCACTATGGCGTCTGACGGGTGCTACGTCTGACTTGTTCGTTAAAACTTAATTCAGCGCAGATAAATGCAAAATTAACCGGCCAGCAGTCCCAAAAGCGATTTTTGTTGTTTTATTTTTTCAAATTTCCTCTTGAGTAATTCGGAAACCAATATTTCACTCAAACTCTTGCTATTTTAATTAGTCATGAAAACACTTTTTATGACAACTGGGAACAGCTTTAAATAACACTTGATTCTCATGTCTGTAAGTGGTGGGATTCAGGAATTTTGCACGGGTTCCCGCCAACCCGTTCCTGGAATGTCACGTGCACCGCAGTTGACGACTAGTGTTATATTCAGCGTTTCAAAAAAGATATATATATATTGGATTTATGTAAAGCGTGTCGTGTTGGTAGTGTGACACATTTGCTCAAATGACGCAACCTGTTGCTAGTGATTCCAATACAAAAGAGGACCTATTATTATTATAATTATTAATCCAATCACTGTTTACATATATATTGAGCATTGCTCTTGTAATGTTGTATATTTAATTATTTACCTTATAGGCCACATTTTGTTTTTACTCCAGCGTATTTTCAAACGTCATCGGGTCACCTCAATATTGGAAAGAATCAACATTTGGCGGAAAAATTGGATTTGACATGGTGAAAACTGCTTCATTAAAAGATATAGCATGCAGAAATATAAAAGGATGCCCGGAGTTCAAATTTGAGGTTAGTACACACGAACAAAAACGGCTAGGCAGGACTGTGTAAAATCGGAACATGTAACATTTTTTCCTGCATCTTCAGGGGAAGACGAAGCCTTACATTCAAATTTTATATTAGCTGATCGATAAATTCATGTCTGTAAAATGAGACACAATTGGTAAAGCGAGATATCTTCTTTTAAAATCGTGTCTACGTACTGCCATATAGTCTGTATGTAACTTCACTATAGTTCACTTACGATCCTAGTGGTGGTTGATTTATCCCAGTCCGAGATTAAATATTGAATATAAAAAACGGCGGTTGGCACATTGTGGTAAGTGTTAGAAACACGCTTGTCGTGGCACCTCCGATTACCTTGCATGGGTTCGCAGGTTCGAATTCTGTTGGGGATAACTATGTGCGCGAAGATTACTGGACTCCGCGCGGGAACGCTGGTTGGTTACGGCTTTCTTCATCATCATGTCCATGCTTCAGAAACAAATACCTGGCTAACTATTTCCATACCCGGCGTCGACGGGTATCTAGACAGGAAGCCGTTGTAAGCCATATCATTGATCCGTTTTATCGGCTTTCTTCTTCCCCTGGAAAAATATGGAAATGCAATCCTAAATACGCTCAGCCGACTATACTTTAGGACTTAGGTGGATTAACACGTTAATTAAAGATACAAAGGTACTCAAAAATCACGCCGAAGTCTCCCAGTAGCTTTTAAAGTTGATCATCTTTTTATATGACAGATTGCAGAAGCTGTTACGGAGGATACAGACAAAGGGATGATATACAATGACATCGAAAGTGATGGTACGGAGGGTACAGGGCAGCACAAAACTGAATTGTAAAATCAAAATGGTATAACGTTACTCAGTGAATCGATGCAGTCGGTAACATTTCCCATGTCCTCAAAGTTGAACAGAATTTTAATATTGTGATTTTGAGCCGTCAAAATATTGTATTTGTTTATGCCTTATAATTGCAGTTTTTGTCATTTTAACACGTATCTATTATATAACGGTATTGTATATTCGTTATAAATGTTCATCACATAATAATTTTAACACCGACATTTTTCAAAATGTTAGAAGTACGTCATGTTAGGATCTGTATTCAAAATGAAATTATACAAATTTTTCTAAACTTTTCTTTAGAATATTTATCTGATGCTTGTTTTTCTTTGTTGTCAACCGATTTCGTATATTTTACTGTGAAGAAGATGCCAGGAAGACGAAAAAATATCTAATTTTTAACTTTGATATTTTATCGTTTTACAGTGCATTGTCTTCAGTATTAACAATCTTGATTCTTTATATACTCGTGGATGTTTAAAAGGTCTTTTATGAAATCTACAAGTCTGTAAACTTGATAATGGTCAATTGAAATGAAATGTGGTTAGGAAAACCACCAAAACAGAAAGGTTTGTGTATATATTTTGTGACACGGTAGACAAGTCGTATTGTGAAAGCACTTTACTAGAATGAATGCAATGCGTTGAATCTCCATTGTTCTAAAGCAGTGGTGGGCAACAGGCGGCCCGCAGGCCACAACCCGACCCACCAAACACTTGTCAACACTATGATTTTTCACCATCAAGCATAAAATACTAATCCAACAGTTTATGTTTAAAAAAGACGCTTACATTAGTAAAATTACATAATGGTTTTTGCTCTTGTCGCTGCGTTAAACTTTTCGCCGTTTTGCGCGGTGTCTTTATGACTGAAGGGTGCGGTACGCGATAAACGCATTATCTTCTATTTCCTTTCCCGCGGCGCTCTGGTTGTTGTTATTAATTTTTTAAATCGTTGTGATGAAAAAACTAATTTGGTCCACCGATAAAAAAAACGTTGCACATCTCTGTTTGAAAGATTTGACGGTTTTATCAAACCCTTCAAAGATGCAATAATTTATTTATGCTATATCAATAACTAAAATCGTGCTTTTTAATCGAGAAATCGCTGCTTTCTTTCTTTGAAAAAGCAAAGTAAGATGTTAACACCAAGTGAAGTAAAGGTATGCGAGTAGGTTTATTCGTCTTTAGATTGGCCATATATTTACTGATGAATATGCAACTGCTCATGGAAAGCGGTAAATGTAGTGAAAGAATGTTATTTTTGTCATTGATTCTCTCATTCTGCGACCAAAATCCACACAGGTTATTTGAATGAGGCAATAACGCAAAATAGGCCATAAAACATTAAGTATTTATGAAGTTCACATTCCATTCGTTGATACCCGGTATATTGGTTTACTTAAAATATTATATTATTGCTAATTTTATACATGGGCTAATACATGCTTCTGTCTGCACGCCTTGGTGGTGAACTTATTCAAACCGTAGATATATTTTGTCGATCAAAAATTGCGGAAAATGACGTTCATTATTACTATCAAGAAGAAGCAATTAGTGACGAAGACGATCGTTATTAAACTGGCCTTTAATATGATAATTTTGTGTATATATATTGCATTCGACTGGGAATAAGGCTGACATTGTCACAGTTCATAACTGATTTTCATACTGTAACTTACAGAATTAACGCGGACAGATCTCTCAAACCGCACGTCCGATTCTGCTCAGATAATGGTTTTGTGATTGAAGGGCAGAAGTAGGTCAAGTCAAGTTTATTTTTTTTCAACCAGTAAAAAATTTCACACGAGCACAACTTACGAGAAAATGATAATTACACAGTTTTACTGGGGAAGGGAAGTCGCGCGGAACCAAAGTTGGTTATCGAGCGGCGACACACATGTAACAATTCAATCAAATTGAGAATATATACAGTTATTCCAATTTGGTTCGAATAAAAATGGCGAGCAGTAAATTAGAAGTAGAAAATTTATTGTATATATACTGGGTGCAAGCGACAACTGAGAGGCAGAAAAACACGTCGCGACAATGAATATTTGTCTTTAATTAAATACCTAATATTGACAGAATCGTCATTGATACTGGGCAAGTGAAATCAGTTTTCAAATATATATTACAAAACTCTATTGAATCGACTTCTAAATCTTGATACGACGCTCTTCGATTCAATACTAAGGACTCATTGATTAACCGATTGAAAATGAAACTTGAATTACTTTTGATATTAATTGTGTGTACTTTGTTCATCCATCGTAATTGGATAAAATCTTGGAACAACAATGCGTTTGCTCAGACAGATCGAACGGGCACGCCAGGGAAACAAAGACAAGATGGCTTAATTAGAATATTATGTGAAGGGTAAATCAGTTTATTGTTTTTAAATTACATCAGCGTCGTCAGGATAACTATAACAGTCTCGTGGGAGTTCGGCCATTCAGAAGCTGACACTCGCCGTGTCAATACATTTGATTGCACCTTTCGATAATGCATATATATTCTAAAAATAAAAGGCATGTGAACGCTTCGCAGTAAGTGCCCATGGTTTGGAAGACTTGAAGAGATATTAAATTACTTTCTGTCTCAATGGGTGCAGAAAACTTATGGATAAATTATGGTTTTATCATTATTTATTGATGAGCATTTGAACCAAAGTACGTTACACTGACGTTCGTAGGCCTTGATTTAAATTTTAAATAATATTACATTTATTCGACGCTGTTTGTTGAATTGAAAAAGTAAAATTGGTTTCCTGTGGGTTGACAGTCATAATGCAAATACGATCGGCATAGTTAGAGCAAATGATCCATATGGATGAGAAACGCAGTTAGCTGGTTACGGCTTTAGTGCTTTTCTACGGACACTACCGTAGTGTGAATACCAGGTTAGGGTTAGGCCATAATTTTATTCCGATTTCTCTTATTTTAGTTCCATTACGAGTTCGGGGAGTATCTGTGTTAGCCAAGTGAATATACCTCCTGCACATAGGCTTCAGTCCCATTACACAACTTGATGTAAAGTAGGCGAACGAAATTAGTTACCTCCATTTGGTACACACACACTTCTGGAGCGCCTTTAGTGATGAACTATAATATAAGCACGATTTTGACAATCCAGCTTCTTGAAGTATATCTTTGCAACTGTGGGCACGATGGTCTAATTGTTAGTTAGCGCAATTATATTGCGATAGGAGATTTAAAGGGTTTATAGTTTATTAATAACTGCCCGTACCTGTTACCGTACGTACCGTCGCACCGGTTGCTTGTCCAGTTTTCCAACGGTGAAATGTTTTCAAAATTCATAATCCGTCGTCAACGCGAATACAATTGACAATGATCATAACTATCCGCGTAGTGAAAAATGTTATTTCAATAGAAAATTTCCCTGCCTACGTTTCCTTAGTATACGTGTTCGATGCCGGACATTCCTTTGGAAAAAACTTTCATTTAGGCGGATCAGCCAACTGTGTCGTCTGTGATGTTATACAGCAACGGCGTTTATGCCGAGAAATAAAATGCCGCAAGTTTATAAACTTGTGGCCACACGACTGAGGCTAGACGTCGGAATAAATTGATAAGACACTTTCGTTTTAAGATTTCAACTTATACAGCATATTCTAACTTTCAAGTAGATTGATTTATAATTTTTACGCCGACTATATTTCACTGGGAATCTTTAAAATGGAATCGAGACAAAGCTTAATCGCAAGGAATTCACTCAGCATTGGTAATTTTGAAGAACCCAAGAAAGTCGAAAAAATCAACTATTGGTAAGTTAGTTTTAGTATTTATAGATATCATATGTCACCCTATGAAAAAGATAGAATGGGATTTACAACACAGTGACAGTAGGTGAATGGTGAGTTAAAAAACAGAGAGGGGCCTAAGTGTACTTAACTGAGAAACTTGTTGTTGATATATCCACAGTGTTAGATAACAATCGATGACGAGGAGCGTGTTCATTCAATTTATGTAGCAATTTTTATCCTTGTTTAATGCGTATATTGATCCACCTCTACAAAAGGATAGAAAGAGGATAAGTAATTGCTCCCGCAGATATTTATTAATTTAGAGCATATAAGAATTAAATATATGATCCTGAAAAGCGGGTCCAACGTCTAGAATCGATTGACCGCAATCAACTTTATAAACAAAATGGACTGATTGCGAGTTTATGATAATTGCAAAAATCATTTCTTTAATACTATCAAGAACTTCATTGAAATACTACATATTCTATAAGAGTCGTATATTCGCATAGCATATCATGAATTGCATAACGAAGCTTTTGAATCTTTGATGAGAATTTTATGAATACGGAATTCAGTAGTTTTTAACCCGATGGTTCCCAGCCTTTTTGGGTGCATTGCCTTTATATTGCCCCTGTCTATTGGAGACTGTTCAACAAGTGGCATTAGATACTGTTGGAATATTTCATAATAAAATCATGTGTATGTATCACAATAATACTAAATAAGTAAAGAATATAGTATCACAGGCAAACACAAAGTAAAATTTCCTCCCCCCACAAGAGTAAAATCATTCCCTGGGAAATCCCCAGGTTGGGAAACGCCGACGCAGCCTTAGTCGACCTCAGTTTCAGATTACCCAAATAATTTAAAATGACCAAATTATTTCTTTCATTTTCAGTGTCAGACGGACCGCAGTATTAGCATACGCAGCTTGTATATTGACTCCAGCAGTTGGGCTGTCAGTTTACTTTTTACTATTCTGGAACCAAGGATAAATTGAAATAGAACTTAATAATATAATAGAGGAACATACCAGGAAGAAGAAAAAAGCTGACGACAATACGGAGCCACCACAACTGGGCACAAATGTACATAACGTCATGCTTGTAAAAGTTTGTATATACAGTAATTGCCATTATTTTTTATGGCAAAAAAAGTGTTCGTAATGGAACAAATCGGTAGTCGAACACGAATTATATTTGACTACCGAGGTATCACTGCATATATCCTGATAACTATGATGCCTATATTTTTTTTGGCCAAATAACCATCTTGACTGTTTTGGTAATGTTCTATCGCCTGTCAGGTAGTAGGTTTTAGAGCTGTCGAAAGTGCATGTGATAACGACAACGTACCAACGCTCCCACAAATGAAAATTATCTTTATTTACTACGTTGAGAATCGATGTCTTTAATCACATTTTGCTCAAAACAAGGTCATGCGCACTCGCCTCAGAAGTTTCATCCGCAAGCGAAGTTACGGTCGACATTTGAAATGCCAAGAGCTGTAAAATTACATGGACTGCGAGTTATTGTGGAATTTTTCACTCGTTTTATGCTCAGTTTTTTTCACCAATGTAACCAGCACTTAAATGTAGTTTTCATGTATTTCCACAGTGTTATCATATGTACTTAAAAAAAATTTAAAGACAACGAGAAATCTTGTTTAAAGCACGCTTCATTTCAAAAAGGGAAAGTTGGGCAGATAATTCAGTTATTCCAATCAACGAATAATTATCTGATTGACTTATTGACTATCAATCCCTTGAGAAATCAATTCCAGGAAAAATTTATTAGGCAATCGTTCGTATTGAAGAGTGTTGACTGCGTTCGACTAAACCTGCTGGAATCTGTTTTTTGGAATATAATATTCCTAACACTTAACATGTCGCGCCAACACCCGGGATTCACATTTCAGGCGCGGTGGCGCGGCGGTGTGGCTCAACGGGCTAAGCGTTAGGAATACGCTCGCCACCGCACCTCTAGTCACTCTGCATGGGTTCGCAGGTTCGAATCCCATGCAGGGATGGTTATGTGCGAGAGGATTGCTGGACTCCTCGCCGTCGTTGGGTGGTTCACGTAACCGCTGGTCGGTTACGGCTTCCTCCACCACCAAGTCCATGCTTCCGAAAACAAACAATACAGTAAAAACTAATCCCATACCCGACTTGGAATGGTAACCGGACGAGAGGCCGTGGTTCGCCATATGGATAAGCCGTCTTATCGGCTTTCCTCTCCCCCGGGATAAATATGTAAATCCTATCCTATCCTATCCAGATAACATACATATATTTATATAATATATATATATAATATATATTTGATACAAGGAAACGTTTACAGTGGTCTCGTCCACAAGGCGCATCTTCAAGATTTATCCCACCGTTGACTTACTCAAATTATACAAATCAGTCTTTTATATATATACGGAATATTGTTTTTAGTTAAAAATTTATCCGTAAAATTCGATCAGCAAATATACACTGATCTACATTTCCGGTTGTTTCGTAGAAGTTATTCACAGGTGGGCCTATAACGGAACATTTAAAAAAAAATTCTAGCTGAACGGTTAGACAATATCATGCACATACAGTCTCACAAAAAACTCGTGTTTTCACAATTATTAGAGTCCAATATTGCCCTACGCAGAATTTAATCAAGCAAAGAAAGTTCGCTTCGCATGAGAACGTTACATTTTCACAAAACAAGTAGCCTATTCCAGGAACCCTGCATGAAGGCAATTCCATTTGAAGGCGAGAAAGAAAGCTGACGAAACAGCTTAACCATGGTATCTACTCCGGCTAAAGAAGTTACGCCGGTTCGGTTACACCTTTTAACTATCGAGATCTAAACGACCTGTGTCTCGTTTGCGACGACTTATCGCCAACCCCACGAAATTTTACACATGCCCTATGAACTCTACAATAAACCTGATATAAAGTGTCGAGTCGTATAAAAAAAAAAAATTTGCCGACTCATTTTCCGCCTTTCCATAATTTTATATTGTCACAATACATCATGAAGGGGATCACAGTGTAAACAAAGTGCCACGAGCCTAGTCAACCTGCAAATGCCTTGCATACTGATGTACGGAATTTAATGTGTAAATTGTTCACTATACTGTATTTCTATAAAAAACCTGCAATATTGTATTTATTTACAACTCAAATGTGCAACAATCCTATTCCCTTTGTCGGTTATGAATTGCGTAGGTGAAGTCAACCAATCATACCGGATCACGGTTTAAGAAATGCTGTCTCTTGGATGACTACTAACGACCCCAAGAGATTAAACTGGATGCGGTAATTTCATTTCGACCCCCTCCTCCCAATTTAGAGGTGTGACACCGCACTGCGAATTCCCAGCCTAAAGATCTTTAAATATCCAGAAAGTAGGGAATATACCAATGCATCAGCCAATACATAACACATTTTTGTGGGTTACAAGCAGTTTATCGCTAATAGCAAAATACACCCCCGTCCCCCCTCCCCTTAAATTTGAAACACCCTCCGCTGTACCAATTCATCAGGTTACACACGGGCCATGCAGGTCGAAAAAAACTCATCTAAAGTTACTCAGCAATATTTCCAAGGAAAATAGACAACTTATAATAGAATGAGAACACCAATGCAGTAGTACTTCTTTCGTGTTAGAACGAGCAATCATCTCAGAATTCCATTTGAACTGTTTTACTGATCTTAATCCATGGTAGAAGAGGAGGCAAAACATTTGTTGTCCAGGTATTGTTACAATTAGGCACAAAGTAGCCGGCGACTCAAATATGACTTTACTCGCCAAGAAACTGGACAATTCAAATATCATTCATGATTTATGACTTTTGGTTGGAACATTTGATTATGCAGGCCACTTTTCCTATTCTATCAAATCAACTAGAGTCATTATATGGTGTTCGAACGATCCTTCTTTCCAACTTATCGGGAAAACGCAAATTTATTCATTTATATATTTTAATGCATTAAACAATACCGACAATATTTTTTGCTCTTTCAACATCGAATGGAACCGAACCAGGTTTGCTGTGCCTTCTTCGATTCTTTTCTCTGCAAACAAAGTTTCCAGGGATGAAAACAAGTAAAAACAACCTGGGGGCTATTTTTCATGGAAAATATGAATAGAAGTACAGCAGTGCTCTCAATATTATGTAGCGTGGCACAACAAACATACACCCATACAACAACCCCCCAACAAAAAAACAGAACCCATAAATTCCTTGATTACTTTTTAAAGATGAAGAGTATATATTACAGACTTGAATTTCCGTTTGTGTATAATTTTATCCGACAATTTCAGTAAGCAAAATGGCTCTACACAAGGTACGTTATCTCCAACTATGTTGTAAACTAAATGACCCAGGTTTGTCTTTGTCTGTCTCCCTTTACGTATGCCCCAATGTTAAGCGAAGGTTTAGTGTGAAATTTTCATGTAGTTGATAAAATTTTAATTTGTGTGCCATCTAAAAAATTCATTTGTGCCTCGAAAATCACATGTATGATAGCCTGTTGAAGTGTAAAATTAAATAATAAGCATATAAATAACAATAACGTAACAAACTTACTTTCTTCGCAAAGATTCCCTCATAATTCTTTTTTCTTTCACTGCACTGTAGATTGTCTTAGGTACATGCCTGAAAAAGTATCCATAAAATTAAGTTAGATGCAAGAATTTAGGATTTCATAAAATATAAGTATTGCGAATTACCGATGTCTTGCAATTCTTCTAATTTGTGGATGATGTGCAAATTTTTCTTTCAATTTATCACTGTAAATTGCTGCTTCTCTTTCTCGCGGTGTTAACTGTAATCAGAAGTATTTGTGATAACAGATTATGGATATATGATACAAAAAGTAAAATAATGACCTCCATACTACATTTAAATGAGAGATCATGCTATGCAAAATTTTGATTTATTAAAACAGATAATTCCTCTCTAAAACATTCGAAAACATAAAACTTTGGAGAAATTATTTAAGGCAGGGTGGTCCAAGGATGCGAGGTTGGCGGGCCGCAAAAACTTTTCAGGATGTCCCGCAGGCCGCAGTCGGAGGAAACCCAAAGGTGATCAAAACATTGCAAGTTTATATGTGAGAATTAGAGTTTACCGTTCTGATCAGTTTTTTAAAGATGTTATATAAAGCCTTTTGGTATTTTAAAATTGCTTCCCGAGAAATGCTATGGTATTTTCGATATCTTTTTTTGTGTTTGGTTTTCTAATGTCGCTTAAAATTACATTCTTTCGTGACAGATATTACTTAAAAACACACCATACACTGTGGTTGAACGTTGTTATGGATAAGAAAATACGTTTCCTCCCAGTTTACCTCGGTCACCTTTTTTATCAAACTTATTGTATGATGAATTATCATATTTGACTAATTTTATTACTCTTAGATCGCGCGGCGCAAAGTCAGCGCTTGAAAATAGAGAAGTGTTTTTACTGAAATAAAGGCACAAAACGTCTTGCGAGCTCAACGCACGAAGTTTAGATGAAAAGTGCAACTCATTTCATCGGCTTGGTCCTGTCTGCACAAGACAATACTTTCTCTTTGTACCGATCACAGGACGCCATTCTCATATTGACACCGTCTTGACGTTTACAGATACAATATTAAAATTCCAAACATCAATCTCGACATCGAGATAAGGAAAAGGGCTATACCCAGTTGGGATGGTTTAAAAATAACTCAAAAATGTTCTGCCAGATCCGGCCCATGGCGTCCTTTCAGCTGACCCGCAATAACACTAAAAAATGGCGATATTGGCGATGAGGATATTTCCCCGAGCATCGACTTCCTTGTTCATTTTGTAACATTGGCCAATCAGCAAGATGCAAAAATTGACGTAACAATAGACCGGAGACCCATTCCCTTCCGCTCAGACACTTTTGTCTCTCGAACAGATTTTTAGTCGTGGTTTCAAACAATACCTGGCCTTCGCGATTTTGAATGCTATTCGTTAGTTTTTGGTTCGTGATTCCGAAATTGAAGTTTGTTTAGAAAGAGTTGTGATAAAATAGGCTGAAATTCTCTACCGGTACGCAACGTTTTCTGTAAAGGATGCCCTCGTAAACTCATTGTGCGTGCTTTCTGCGAAACTGTTGATGTGTACGTTCCCTGTGATAAAATGAACGTCAAACGTGCATTTTGCGCTAATAGTCCAAGTCACGTTAACTTTTATACGGCTTACATGCGGATATTCACAAGTGCAATTGTTTTGCTAACAGCCAAGTTCAGGATAGTTGTCTAGAAATCTTGTATATGTGTTTGCTATCTATGATGTTCTTGATCTATATTCTGCGATATAGAATTTAATATTAAAGACTTCAGAAATGTAGAATTTATATTGTTGAATTAAATTGAATGGATTTCCCAACCTTTGGGAATTCATTGTATTGCATTGACAAATATATTTGTCCGGCCCGTTTCAACACAGTTTGAGTCAAAAAAGTTTGGTGACCCCCGGTTTGGTGCACGCTAAAATTGTTCTGCGCAGGCCGCGGTTTGGACCACCCTGATTTAAGTCGTCAAATATCTATAAATTGATGAATTATATAGGTGTTACATGAATAAAACATGTTAGATGAATTAAATAGCAACATACGGTATATGCAATAAAATTCCAGAAATAAAACCTACTTTTCCTATTTTTTCTGATGCTCTTGCTTTCCATAATCGAATATTTGTTTCATCGGATCCGGATAAAACATACCTGGTCAAAATAAGATTGGCTCAACTAACAATCATCAAACTATAAACACTTATTTTGATTTTCAATGCTTTCTGAGAATCTCTAGCAGGGGAGTATGCCTTATGGTGTCTGAACCACCCTTTTGAAATGTAAAAAAAGCATTTAATAGGCCCATATAAAAACTCATCGATATCATTAAAACTCAAAAAGGACAACATTTACCGACCGGTGTCAAATTCCCCAGACCCAAAGAAGTTGGGAACCTCAGACTTAGGGAATCAAATAGCTGAGATTGGTATTTTAAAAACCATCTTATATATATATAATACATAACCAAACAATACCACATTGAGCATACCTGTTATCTGCAGACCAATTAACACAGAAAACTCTTTGCATACGTTTGGTATGATAGACTTCACGACTTCTTCCACTATCAACTGGAAATATTCTTATCGATCTGTCACAAAGTGTGGGTGAGGATAATTAAATCTCCAAGATTCGTCTAATTTTTATATACAAATTTGCTTAAATCTAAGTCCCGAACTTTTTACTAAAAGTGGAACAATACTGATAGGAAAGTGGCAAATGACCATTGCTGTTATATGTCATTCTACGACTGACATGGGCAAACTACAGCCCGCAGGGTAATTTAATCTGGCCCGCCTGATGCTGCCACGGCCAAACTAAAACCAAATTGATGTTTTAGCTAAAAAAAATAGCTGAAGGAATTTGTTGGTATTGCGATCAAATTCAGTTTTGGCACGAGGCTTGTTTTCCACTTTTGCTTTTGTAACGATGTAAATATTGTTCATAAAATGTAATACTTTACATCACCCTCACATGGCCCACCAGTCTAAATGGGCAAAATTGTTAATCCATGTTCCAAAAACCTCACCCCCCCCAGCTCTACATCAAGCCTTTTCGACTTATATTTTATTTGCTATTCACTCCAACTGAGCAAGACATAAAATGAGATAGCGGTCAGAGACTTATCGATCTAGTGGCGTGTTTCCTTTGCTCCGACTCAATAGCAACACCGCGTGTCTCATCACTAATTAATTATCAACTCGCTAATTATACAACATAATTCATCCAAAATCAATAGGCTATTGGTCCGAGATATGATGAATGCACATGCAAAATTTGGTGCAGATTCAACCTCGCTTTCGTGAGATATCGCGTAACATACGAACAGACAGACAGACAAACAAACAAATACCTATCAACATACTTACCGACCAAGATCGATAAGTAATAATTATCCACAGCTATATAATTATCAGAAAATCAATTTGTACCTGTCGTAACTCCCAGATACAAATTCTTTCCCTGTTGGGGAATAATCTATGTCAAGAACAGCATCAACATGATCTTTATGAATCATTTTTGCAGTCTTAAGATATCGCATATCGAATGTATGAAGGCTGAAAATAAAGAAGACCAAATAAAATACCTGGATTTTTTTAGTCATGTGCTATTCAACACAATGATGCCAATCATGCCATACACAAAAATGTCCAAATTGAATTGAATATTCACATACCGTACATTCAAAATAGTTATGCTTGATACAATAAATTCTTTATTTCATGAAAAACTTAGAATACTCATACTTAAAATATGTACCAAAGTTCTACATGATTTACATCTGATTTCTATTCCATATACTATGAAAAAAAATCAATACGAAATTTTTTTTCAAATTTTTTCTTTAAAAAAAATATCTTTATTAAACTACTGTAGTTTAGGTAAATTTCTCTGCAGAACACAAACCAATTTATTTATTGAATAGTGAATACATTCCATATTTGGATATACCATTTCAGAATGTTTTTCGTATAACAAATTATCATGGCCCTCTATAGATGTGCATGATTTGCAAATAAAAAAGCAAGTTAATCAAGACATACTCATGATCTTCAGATGCTGCAGTGAACATAAACGCTTCCATAGGATTCCATGCTGCAGCATTACATCGCATTGTCATTATAACTTTCTTTAACGGTGCAGATGCCCTGATGTCATATAATCGTATACTCCTAAAAAAGAGCAGTGTAATATATATAATATAATTTATAAGGTCAATATTGGAAAAGGAGGTATTTTTATTAGGAGAATGTGGGAAGTGGGTATATAAATCTGTTATTTCGCTGTGTAACATTTCACTTTGTGTTCCTGTGAATTTTGTATTTATGTAACAGAAAGTATGCAAATGTTTATGAAGTATATTTCGATACGGTATTAAACAGATGTTTTGGCTAAAAAATAGCTCAAGGAGTTGAGATTGCAATTAAATTCACTTGTGGGATGAGGCCTACTTCCAATTTTGCTTTTGTAACACTGTAAATATAATTCTGTCCATAATATGTAACTTTTTACGTCACACTTTTTGCCCCCAGTCCCAAAACCTTGCCCACCCCTATTTTAGAGTATGTTCCAAATGACCTGGGTTCTGGGTTCTTGTTCAATTACCGTAACCCTTTATAATAAATCTCATTTTACATTTAAATTGAAACTATGCAAAAGAATAAAGATAAACCTACCTATCTGATGCAGTACTAACACATATACTCGTTTCAACAGGATTAAATCGCACGCTGTTAATCGTATCAGTTCCCCAGGTATATGTACGTACTGGGTCTGCTTTTTCATGATTCCATATACATATTGATTCACCTGATGTTGCATACACTGGTTCTTTCCAATGATGGTCTATTCCAGTATATAAATGCTAAAACAAGAATGAATTTAATGCTCCCTACTGAAAAAATGATCAATATATAATTTTTCTATCTCCCCATACATATTGGAGTTGTGTTATAGCACAGTTCATTGCCAAATACACTAATTGAAATCAATAAAATTAAACTATAAAATCATAAGTAGCAGCCAGGGTTGGGGAGTCAGAGCCGGAGTCATGACATTTTGGTGGAGCTGTAGCCAAGCTTACTATATTAGATGAAGCTGGAGCCAGAGCTACCAAAAATTTTAGTGGCTCCAGCTCTTAACCATCTGACTATTTATTCACATTTGTTATTTTCTAATAGCCTACTTATACAAATAAATTAAATATCTATATATATTTAAAAGTTTTAATTTGAAACGCTTTTATCATTGGTCGGCAACCGGGCTGCACGCGAGCCGGAGAACGACAATGGGTATGAATCTGGAGTCCAGCCCCGACGTGAATAATGAAGCTCCAGAGATGGAACCCCTGTGATTTAAAACCAGCTTCCTAGCTCTGATAGCAGCAGTTATAAATCTATTCACTGTATATTTTCAACAAATCAGAATCTATCCAGTTTGATAAATAACTGATTAAATTTTATACACCATATTGAACACTAGATCATCAACTTGCAACATTAAGATAGAAAATTTAAAAAAACACTAACTTTTGATATGATTGTATTTAGAGGAGTTGAAATTGTGTCAGATAAAGCATCAGTCGTCCAATGTTTTATTGTTTTATCATCACCAACCGAAATAATTAAGTTTCCATCAGGGGAACAAGTTAAACCACGGACAAATCCTGTGTGAGCTTGAATATATTGTAAACATCTTTTTGTTGTCAGATTCCAGTATCGTATCTTGATTGAAGTAAACGATTAAAATTATATTGAAAAAAAAGAAGCTTAAAAAAGTATTATATGTCGTATTAGAATCCCATGGAGAACAGGAATGTGCGAGAGTTCCTGTAACAATAGGTCGATAACAGCTTCCTGCAATACCAAGTCCATACATCTGAAATAAATTACTGATCAACTATTTACATGGACTGGTACCAAGCCTTGGTAACTGGGGTCATAGTTCACCATATGAATAAGCCATTCTGTTGGCTTCCCCCTCCAAGAATATATATGAAAAATCTACTCTGTCATCATTGCCAAAATAAGAAAGAACTGAACTTTGAGATAAAAAAAATATATTCCTAGACAATGAACAAAACTGCCAGAAAATGAAGTTAGAATGTAAAATGTGAAGTTTGCCTTTAAAAATGATCACATCATTAATAATATTGAGACAATATAACTAAGTGATAATTTGGTTGAGTTTAGATTATTCCTGGTATTTTGAAAGCATGTGCTTCAAAGCGAGTATAAACATGTTCTACATATGAAGATCTGCAAAATGAACAAATTGACAAAATATCTACATCAAAAAATAAATAGCCTACTCAAAAAAATTTATAAGAATTTTTTGCAAAAAAGAAGCAAATGATTATCTCATGAATTTCTTGCTCATTAATTAACTTATAAATATGAATTGAGATATTAAAAAAAAAATATTACTTCTCCATCACATGATCCAGAAAAAATTGAATTCAATCGTTGTCCATTCTTGCACATACAGCTGACGCCATCTTTGTGGCCATCAAGGGAAGCTAGAAATGGTTTTGCAAATACTCGTTCCAGCTTCACTGCATTCAAAGCCCTTATATATTCTCTTGGTGCTTCAAAGGGATGAAGTGACGGATCATAGTTTCTTTGAACTAGGAAAAATTGCATAAGCAATAATGCTGAAATATTACTGTGTAGAGAAATATATACAATTTTATACTATTTCAATACAGGCACTAATAGAAATCTTTAGGTCACAATTGATAAGAACAATTATGACTTACCTTTGTGAATATCCCTGTTCGATTCTCTGATATAATCATCCGGATTTCTTGACAAAACTTTTATCTTCATAATTTTGACGCCTATTAACTTCAGTCAGAATTTATGGAAAGATAGATTATCTACTACAGTACTAGGTATGAAATAGGCTAGCTTTAAGACTTTGAAGCAAATCTGAAAAATAAGAAAAAATTGTGGGCACGATCACCATCATGACCAAGAGCTCGAGTGGAAGTGGTTGTGATAATAAACAGAACTTAGGTTACCGGTACCACAGTGGTGACTCCTCTACAGCCCCAGTCTGGATTTCATGGCCTTTTGAACGAGAAATCGGGCGTGCAATCAGAAATTCCCGAGTGCAAATAAGAATTCCTGGCGTGCAATTATAGCTTACAGCGTGCAAAAAAAACTGCGCCCGCGTGCAACTAACTTCAACATTAGATACCTCTCAATACATTCGCGTAAAATTACCGGGATTGGATAAAAATACTTTGAATCACAGAAAAAATGAACGTTTGACCTTTGACCCCCAAACATTATTTCTACAGTTTGTCACTAATTTTGAGAGTGTTTGTGCAACTTTGAATACCGGTACCGTTTAGTACATCCGCATAAAATTATTGGATAAAAATACATTGAATCAGAGCAAAATGAACATACTTTGTCAATAAGTTTGGGAGTGTTTTTACTTAGAATTAATGAATAAAAAATACGTCAAATCAGAGCAAAAATGACCGTTTGACCTTTGACCCAAAACATTATTTCTATACTTTGTCACGAATTTTGAGAGTGTTTGTGCGACTTCAAATACCAGTTTCACAGTACATCCGTGTTTATTTATTGTATAAAAAAATACGCTGAATCAGAGCCGTAACTGGCCAGCGTCGGTGAGGAGGTGATATTTTCGCCCATAACTTATCTCATGGGATTCCTATCATTCAACACGATATGGTCTTCTTCGCTTCGCATTTTTCGATCAGGCCAAATCTTGCAAGCTAGTATTAGTCGACAATTGTAGAGTTATAATTTTTTGGCATCTTTATACAGGTATATTACTGGGTCATTGATCTAAAGACCATTTAAACCGATTTACAAAGGTGAGCAATTGCAAATTTTCGGCGTGCAGAATTGAATTCGCTCGCGCGCATTTTTGCGGAGCGCTAGCGTCTTCGAGCGTGCATCTGACATGGAATCCAGTCTGGCTACAGCCCATGGGCCGGGTACACGGCCCATCTAGGCTACTGATCTAGTTGGGCCACGGCCCATTGGCGATGGGCCGTAGAGGAGTACTACTGTACTATGTGAGAATATTTAAATTGAGTAAAAGTGATCATTGGGTCCGGTGTAATTTAGTACCGGTACCGGTACCACCCACATGTACTTCTTGTTGGCCTGGCTCAATTTTTTCATATGTCATTTCTAAGCCCCACCTGACAACGTCACCAAAAATTACTCATGTACCAATGCATCAGTATTACCTTTCTAACCATTCTCCATGACAAAATGATTAAATTACTTACAATTTTCCTGCTGAAAACTTTGCTGTAGGCTATGTCATGTCAGTATGCAGGTATGTGGTAACTTCAAGTTGGCACATTGCACATGCGTTGTTGTTGATATTATTCATTTATCCAAAACTCCTGCCGGTATGCGGCGGTGCTGAGTTACAATACCGTACAATTTTATTTCGATCTTTCGTCTACAACAGGGGTCGGCAACCTTTTGTTGCTCGCGGGCCAAAATTAAAGTTGCAAGTCATTTGAGGGCCGCACATGTTTTTTAGGAAGTTGAAAAACCGAACGGATGGTACTTTTTATAATAAAGATCAAGCAGTGATACATCTCTCGAATATAATATAGACAATACATCCCATTTATTTAAACAATTATTTTTTGCCTGTAATAAATAGTTCAGCGCGTTCCCCTTCACCCAATCATTGAAACATCTACTCGCAGTTTTATATTTTGTTTTTCAGGTTACTTCAAAGTGATTAAATGAAGTAAAACACATAAGGAAAAAATCAAAAAAGACTCCTATATCCTGTGAAATAACAAATATGTCTGAAATCAATTGTCTGAAATCAATACCCAAGAATGAAAAACCTCACTTACACCCTTTGTAATCAATTTATTTCTATATCCTACTTTACTTAATTTATAGTAATTTTACTGTTACCGGTAACTTTAATTACTTATTACAATCTGGACTATAATTTGGCAATAATAGGCTCTAATTTGGGGAATGAAATGGTCTCGTCCACCTCTTCATGCACCCAATTCTGGCAACTTAGGTTGGGCAACTTGGCATTTGACTCCAACTATAATCAGCTTGGCAATATGTTTTCAATAGAATCTTACTTTTATATTTTAATTAACGATTAGAAGATCGATCAATTTGGCAATGGCATCCATTACAAAAATATCAATATGATGTGGGGAATAATTTTTTTTAATTTCTAGTATTTATTTATTATTTTTTTGTTTACTGTATAGTATATATACCCTAAATTTATTGCGTTTTATTCTTACTTAAATAACTTCTCAGTGGTTGTGTGTGTGTGTGGCATATTCATAACGTGCCAATGATACTATTATTCTGGGTGCGTTATTGGAAGCTAAATTTAGAATAGCCGTATAACACATAAACACTTGTGGTTAGCATCTGATTTAAATCGTGGCATAAAATTATATTCAAGTATGCATGTAAAATATTTCTTTGTCCTTCCCTTTTCCCAAATTCTTCAATCTGTTATATGTAAATGACCGTACGTCTAATAGCATTGTACAAAGGGTCCAACTCGTACTATCCCACATGTCAGATATTTACTAGTTTGGGTAGCTGGCTTCAAATCGATATATTCCTCTAATTATAAAATAATTTTGATTTGGAAATACACTATTTTAATAATGTAAACCCACGATTGAAAGACAACATTTCTTCAGTATCTGAAACCCATGGGCTATTTAGTAAAATACAGTTGCCCAGTGATATTTTTCTTCGGTGAACGTATAATGAGCTACAACTCTACTCAAACGCAGTCTACTGCTCGATTACCAACACCGTCGACAAGGAATATGATAAGTCATATATATATATAAATGTTCCAGCGACATGCATTATTTAGGTTGGTGGCGAAAGCCGTGTTGCTTTTAAGGAGCCAGAGCCGAGGATCTAGGACCTTTATGGCATTTTACATTTTCCTGAATTGTCTTAGTAAACGGGATTTGATTCTCTTAAAATAGGTTACTTGTTATCATAGTTAATACCACCGAACCTGTTATTAAATGCGTGTGTTACGTTCTTTTGAAATTTCTTTGCATCTAAAAAAATATGATCCGTGCTATATGATTTCTTAAAGTATAAAAATTATCACAATTAAAAACTGTAACCTAAAATAATCACAAATAATTCAATCAATCAATCAATCAAATCGTTTTTTATTAGCCATCCATGCAGGCAAACTGGCACAATAAAGTTAAAGCAAAATGAAAATATATATATATACATATTCATGACTTTGCCCAGAATGAACAGGATAACCGCGAAATGACCATTCGGTCTACCTGTCAGCGGCTACTTTGGTTAGGTAATTGTGCTTACGGTAATTCTGTATTCCCTACTATAACTTATTGTCTCCAAGACTGCGCCGATGATGCATCAGCAACTGTGTTGTCGGTTTATGTATTGACAACGACCGGAAGGTAAATTTAAATATCAGCCTGTAACAATTTGATGACAACACAAAGGAACCCACGTCTTAATCAACATTCCTATAGGTGATATCTTTTTACTATATACCAAACGTGGATTATACAAGTTTTGATGCATAAATAACGTAAACCATGCTAAATCTATTTTATCTCTGCTCGTGATCACCTTACCTTTCATGTCATAGACAAGTTATTATGACTACCCAAGTAAGAAACCTGCAATTGCTTGGAGTTTAAAAAAAAAGGATTTTCATCGGCCTTACATATCAAAACACTGTCTATAGCAGTGGTTCTCAACCGGGGGCCGATGGCCCCCAAAGGGGGCCACAAAGCAGTTCAAGAGGGGCCACGACACAAGACCAATAATTGATCATAAAGCAACTTAGTTTGCATACTTTTATTTTAAAACAAAATCTCCCGTTCAGGCGTTCACCGCAGTTTCATTACATGAACAGGTTATTTGCGATTTCAGGGTGAATTCACTTTCCCATACGTGAATTGTTTCATCATATTGCCCACAATACGAAAATGGAACGACAGTCGCATTGGCGTTGGCTTCACCAAAGTAAATCTAGATGACAGAGTGAATGTAGCTATGAAGTGGCATTTCGTATTCTTAGCCACTACTTAGCATGAAAGCTTCTTCACTGATAGTAGGCCTATGACTTGCCACAGCCCATCTGGCTTTTCTGATCTTGTCACCATCAAAACAAAATCTAAAAACCGTTTTGATGTTGACAGTGGCATTCGTCTCTGGCTGTATCAAAGACTGTGCTCCATATAAGAAACCTTGCAAGGCAGTCCCAAGTCCAAGATTCTCATTGATTGTATACTAAAAAGCTTGGACTTTTTTTTGTCTCTATATAGTTTGAGTTTTTTTGGATGGTGAACATGGGGGCCACGAGTGCAATAAGGCGCCAGAAGGGGGCCACGAGCCATAAAAGATTGGGAACCACTGGTCTATAGGTTTGAGTTATAGAATGTAAAGCCATTTGATTGCGAGGTCGAAACCATATAAAAAGGTAGAAATCGAGCGATTAAAAAATTGTTGCGAGTCTTAAGTAAATATAAAATAAGCCGTGCCGGAATGTCGAAATGAAACGTTTGTTGTTGCAGAAACTCAGTAAAATTATAAGATAATCCAAATAAATTATTTTAAAATGCATAAAGAAGTGAGAACAGATTCGAAATTATAAGTCGCAAAAGACATTCCAGGTCAGTGCGTAGATTGAGATTATCTTGAAAGAATATGATGAATAAACAAGCAAACATATTGGTTTATAAATGATTTTAAGGTAGAGATAGAAGGTTCTGCTGCCAAATACACACCGTTCGAGTAAATTTGTTATTTCAGTTATTTCGTCCACCTTAATGCTTATTACGGATAGTTTTATTGTCCAATTCGGAATCGGAGTTTAATTTTTAGTTTCAAACCATTTTCAAGTTACCCGAATTCAGATTTTTGAGTATCAGTCCATTGAAAGTCCATACCAGTCCATACCTTTTCAAAGATTTGTGTCTTTATGTGTTTTAATGGAAAATTAGGATTATGATATACTGGTACACAGCTGGTGAAGTTTAAATATGTTTTGACATATACATATATACTAATTAACTTATGCAGAGTTTATATCTATAGAGTACTAACATATAAAAATACCTAGTCGGTACCTTCAACACTTTACTACCGTTTATGTCTTCCGCATGTTGAATGTAGCTGAGTAGTGACTAATAATCACCTTATGTTATGTTATGACTACCTAACATATATAGAGTATAATAGCAAATACCTTTGAAAAGTTTGCGAATAAAAGAAAAGAATATTGTTTTATTGGATAAAATATGTAGTAACTTTATATATTTTGCTCATCGAAATTCACCTATAATTTAAAAACTACGTAAATGCAAATTATAGGGAAATTCGTGGTTATATAAAAAAGTGTGTCATCAGTGACCTCTTAGCTCATATTGTTTCAAAATATATCGGTCGAAAGTTAAATTTGGTCAAGCCTTCATCTGATGCATGCAGCATTGAGTGATGGAAGATTTTCATTTATATACCCGTTCTTAGTGGTACTTTAGGACACAGAGAGCAGTTTAGAATTAGGCTGTATATCAATACGTCTAATTACTATAATATGTTAAAATGGAATCTATAACATCTATACAACAACAAACCCGTGTGGTCTCCAATCGTGATGGTAGTATACATTCAAAGATCGGAAGCTTCAGAACAGTGTTTCCCAACCCGAGTCCGCGGTCTTAAATGAGTCCGCGGAGCGTTCGAATGAGTCCGCAACGAGCCAGAAATTCACTGCGGGCCGCAAACGTTTTTGCGAAACTTAACTATCAGCCAAGTTACAATTTACGTTAGAATTTACATAAAACATAGCAACTTTATTCACATAACAATAATCAAGTCAATAATAATTGGTTACTGAATAGGGCTGGGCATATATTCGAATATTCAACTATTAGAATAGCAATTTACTATTCAGAAATTTGGTGCCAGGTGACGCGACATGTCACTCGCGCGTCGCTTCATTGAACGATGAGATTTCACAACTCGCTTGCGGATTTCCGACGAAAACAAGAGTCTGCTGTGCACAAGCGTCGATAGATACCTAAGTGGTGTTTCTCGCGAGTTCGAACAACGAGGAATAAATAATTTTTTTTTTTTGGTAGGTAGTAATGGTGGCGACCCAAATTTCTTAAATTGGAAAGCGGCCAGACAAAATACTGAAAATGAAACGGAGAGCCCATAATTTTTTGTTTTATGGTGGGCCGCGACCAATTGAAAACACTTTTTTAGGCAATTTTCCCTTTGTATTCTTCGCTTTACTGCCCCCACATTGGTACGTGCAGTACTGCCGTAGGTGTTGTACGAACAGCTCAAATTTGTAGAATTCACAAAAATACGAATCAAAATATAATCGGGCACTTTACCACGCATTTTTGTGTCCACGGATTGTCATGATATTTTTTGAGTACTATTGCTTTTATTTCATCAACACAACCGCAAGTTAAAATGACCACAATTAAATTAATAATAAAGCAAGTCGACGAATATGTATTTTTGATTTACAAATATACTTTAAATATATTTTTATTAAGTACTAAAACAAGTTCTTTCTGGAAATTTATAGCAGATAGTAAGATTTTTCTAACAGCGATAACAAATTCGCAAGATCGCAAAAAATATGTATCAAAACTAAATATAATCGGGCAATATATGCTCACATTATTATGTTCGAAGATTGCCGTGACATTTTAAAAAACTAATGCTTTCATCGTGTCGTAAGTCGACGCAACCGCGAGTTACTATGAACACAAATAAATTAAAATAGAAAGACATTTTAAATTCTCGTCGTTGTCATGGATTGAATGTTGTGCGACAGAAAAGGCCATTGTTGAAATTTGTTAAAATTATGTTGTGCTTGGTTTTATTGCCCCCTGCAATAAACGCACCTTGAGTCCGCAAAGGTTTTCGTCGGTGAAAAAATAGTCCGTGACCAAAAAAGGTTGGGAAACGCTGCTTTAGAAGACATGGATACCAAACGGAATTATATGGCCATGGAAGGTTTGATGTTTCGCAAACAATTTTCTCTTATTCGATATATCTGGCCTTACTTTGTTTTAACGTCACATCTCAATATCTAAAAACGCCCAAAATTTCTCCTGGTTTAAAAGTCTAGTATAAATAAGTATGTTTGTTCAAAATTTGAAAGATTTTACAGATTATCATCCCTTAGTGTCGTCATCAAAATTATTTTGTCATCTACGTAACAATTGTTCATACACTGGTACAAATATCTAAGAAAATATTGATGTTCTAAACCTCACCTATATATAAATGAATATGCAACGGGTAATAACGGATGGCAACCATAAAACGGATCCAGACTAGTAGGGGAATCGATTAGGTAATAGATTAGATTTTATAGCACGATACGTACAAGCGAGCAATGTGCTATTTTTGAAAATAAATGAAAGGCACTCTATAATCAGCCCATCGGTATTTGAGAAAAACCAAGATGGATAGATTTCAATCATCGAACAGTTATCATTTCTTTTCAAAAAACATGAATCATAGACAAAGCGCCCACTGATTTGGCGACTGTATACAGACTCGACTCGAATTTGCGAAATACAATGCAATACTAGTTGTCGAAAAGTTTGGATCGATAGATGCATTATCACTGAATAACGACAAGTTGAGGGGAAAGGCAATTTACTCTCCATTGTGCCCGAGTTCAGGCTCTTCTTGGTCTTGGTCCATTTTGAGTTTATTTTAACTCGATATTTTGTATTATAAATTAAGCAAATGACTGACTGGAACTTGTTGATGAGAGACTTGATATTAAAGTTAGTCATGAGCTACAACGTTTTGTTTGGGTACACCTGGTGATAAAAAGTTAAGTTGGCGGGACTAATGCATAGTGGGGTAAATGTAGTTTTTATTCAGCGAATAAGAAATTCCCTTGCGACACACATCTTACTACCAAAATGCTTTGAAAAACGTCTGTCAAGTGTCCCTCTGTACCCCACTTGTGGGGCACATCCGGACAGACCCTGGGGCACAATGGGTCAGTCTGTCAAAGTTCAACGAATGTATGCTCTAAAAAATAAGCAATTATTCAGCATACTCGTCTAAAGAACAGGGAGACTTCAAATTTAAAGATTTAATATTTTTAAAATCAATGTTCAACTGAAATAGTTCCAATATTTTGACAAAAAATTTTGCAAACAAATTTGATTATTTCCTAAAATCTAAATCGAATCTAAATCTGGAAATATTATTGATTCTGGAATATATTCCATATTGGGCCATGGGTCGAAAAAAAACATAATCTTACACAAAATATACCGCATCTCTAGGTCTCTGAGCACTTATTGTATCAAACACTCTCGAATTTTGCCCTGTAGGGCATGTCCCACTGAACCCCGGTCCCTTGTTCCCCATATGAAACAAATATTTTCAGACCATCCCACGGCGAAATTCGGAAGGTACATCCACTCGCCAAAGTTATGAATATTTTACAGTGGACTAAAGCTGAAAAATATCAGACGGTGGTTTGTCATGTTGGAAAGGCTCAAAAAGAAAAAGAAAAATGTGGAACGGTGAAATTTTAGTCTCAACCTCCCAAAACAAATTTCACCTCATAGCTTGCGCCGCTGTACCCGTCCGTTGTCCGTTCGCGGGGACGTTGTGACTCACCGAAGGGCGGATTGAAACATCGAACCGCGGACAGGATTGCGGATATAGTATCAGTGCGAGATCTGATTTTCCACTGTGCCCCATGTCCCAACGTGCCCCATCTTCCCCTACAATATTGGTTATGACCACATTTATTTATTAGCACATTTGATCTGTTTCTGGCACTGAGCAAAAGCATGTTCCGGCCACGGAAATGGGATGATTAAATGTCATTCAAACTAAACAATAATATTTTCACGATGACTAACCCCGAATAATAGTAATGTTTTCAAATGAAACTTCACAGCACCTATGGAATCGTTTGTAATATTTTTATTGCTTGACAATGAACAACCTCCGAAAATATTTCATCTAAAGATTTAGAATTTATAGATGAAAAATACCACTGAGAAATAAATTCTTTAAAAGAAGTTGAAATATTATTAAATCTTAATCAGTGCTGGGTTCAAAAATTTAAAATTGGGTTTTCTCTCGTATCGCCCCACCATCAACAGGTTCTACGGAACGCCAAATATAATCGTAATCGTTAACTACGGTGTTGCATTTGTTTAACGTCTAAAACAAGAACGCGTTCATTCCAATAACGAGTTCGCACGAACCCGCTGAATCGTACCACGAATCTTAATCGCAATTATATTTTCGGGTTTTCCCAAGATATATTGCTTCGAAGTCCTACTTTACAATACTAGGTTTCAAAATCCCAACTGAAAGAACAATATTTCAATATAAACAACGATACCACGCAGCAAGTTTTTAATATTATGACGGTATACAACTGGCACGGATATAATTTAAAGGAAAACTCAGTCACGAAGGAGAAAAATTTTGTTTCATTCCCGAAGCTATTTTTATTTTAACCATAATATATATATTTACTCATTTCTTCGGACTAAATCTCATAACGATCTCATGACTCATAAAGCTGTCAATGTTCATATATCTCAAGTTTAGTAACGTTTCATGTCAGACATCTTTGTATGTGAAATATATTGTTGACATATTATTAAAAGTTGTATATTTATATATGGGTCGTAAATACAATTCCTCGCATAATTTGATGAAAGATATTACAAGGTCTGATTCAGATTATAATCAAAGGGTTGAAGAACTCTTTTTAAGCCGAATATAGCAATGATTGAAAATTAGAGCAAAACTTGAACTATTCACTTAATTGCCGCTGTATAGAGTATCGTTACAACATTTGCGCTGGCGCTCCCAGTACTATTATTAAGCTTCATGACCGATATCGAGAGTTGTAAATATGATTGGTCTCAAACTTGTTTCGGGATGCGTCATTTTTCCCACCAATGAAGTAGTGAGGCACATTGGCTTAAAACTTCGATGGTTAACAGCAGCATCAGTCAGGGCAACTTTTTTAAATAAATCCATTTGTTAATGATTCTTACAGCAGGGGTTCGCAAACTTTTTGATGTTACGGAGCCCTTGAAGA